GAGGCGATGGAAGGCAATAGTCCGAATCCTGACAACGTGAATAGTAATCGCAATAATATCATCGACGATCGTCGCGTTAGATCGATAGCATATCCAGGGTATGGAGACCTAGACCCGTTAGATAATCGGGCGGATAGCCAGATTGAGTAGGAGGCAGACGACGCCGAGCCGCACTCCTGGAGCCGGTCTGCCCTTGCTCCTGGTCCTACTGACCCCTCACCCAAGTCGGCACCCCCCCCCCCCCCCCCCCCTTCCTCCTTTCCTCCTCCCTCACCCACCTCGCAGGGCAAGGAGATCCTCGTCGCGACGTACGAGCGCATCACGGCCGTGCAGGACCGCCACCGCGCCAACTTTGCCGACGACGGCGCGTTCAACGGCTCGGGCGAGCTCAAGTTTGGCCTCATGGAGGTCGTGTACGAGTGGGCGAGGGGCATGGTACGTCCCGCCTTTCTCTCTCCCTCTCTCTCTCTCGAGCGCGAGCGTCATCCTCGTCGTCGTCGCACGCAACCCCGACTGACCCCCTCCCTCTACTCTCCTTCGCAGTCGTTCCAGCAGATCACGCAGCTGACCGACGTCCAAGAGGGCACGATCGTGCGGTGCATCACGCGCCTCGACGAGACGTGCCGCGAGGTGCGCGACGCCGCCCGCGTCGTCGGCAACGCCGAGCTGTTCCAGAAGGCCGTCAAGGCGCAGGAGCTCCTCAGGCGAGGGATCGTGTTTGCCGCGAGCTTGTACTTTTCGAGCGGCCCGCAGGGGACGTCGTAGAGCGGGCGTGCTGCTGCAATAGACGAGGTCTGCTGGGTGTGCGCCTGAGCGGTCCCAGCTCGCGAGAGAGAGCGAGAGCTGCGGGAAGAGGTTCGAGAGCGACCAGATCTCGAGCGAGCAAGCCAGCAAAGGGTACTCTCTTTTTCGCGCAGGCTCGTTGTCGCATGTCTCTCGCGACCGTGCGCACGGTAGGGTGGAACAGGGTTACAGGCACGGCCCGAGGGGGACGAGAGGGATCTATGCGTAGGCGAAACACGGACAAACGGCGACCGAGGGGGGCGACTGAGGGGACAGCGGCGTGGACTAGGGGTAGAGGGAAAGGGAGACGAAAGTGTCTGTGCAGGACGGAAGGACGAGGGGGACCGGGACGCGTGAGGAGGGAATGCTGGGAGTGTCCGTGAGGGAGGTTGAGGTCGTGAGGGTCGACGTTGGCGGCGACGGGTCGGGCGCGTTGGTCGTCATGGTCGAGGAGGGAGATCGCGGTCGTGAGATAGTGTCGAGAGAGGAGGGGGTCCGGTGCGCGGCCCTCGTGGGAGGAACGAGTCGAGGAGCGACACGGCCCGGCTCGCCTCACCGGCCGAGGACGCCCGCCCCGCCTATGAGCATGGCCGCCGAGCTCAGGGCGACGGCGACCCACACCTCTGCGCCGACGCGGCCGACGACCCTCGCGGCCGCGCTGCACCCAGCGCAGGTCCAGCCCTCGGCGAGCGGGGTGTAGGCCGCGGGCGAGTACAGGGCAAAGTTGATGATGGCGTTGTTGCCGTTGAACCTGCCAGCCTCGGCGGTGGCGTCTGCGCCGCGCTCGTCGTACACGCGCAGGGTGTAGGACGCCTGGGCGAACGGGATGGCGTTGGGCGACGACTGGGCGTAGGCGTACGGGTCCCACACGAGCGAGGTTTGCGCGCCGGGTACGACCGAGATCGGGTACGTGAAGCCGTTGGCCGAGCAGCGTGCCTCGAACGTGAGCGAGGTGGGCGTCACGCTGCGACACGGCGCAAGTCAGGGAGGGCTGCTCGACGACGAGGAGGGAGGAGAGAAGGGGAGCGCACTAGAGCGACGTGTAGTTCCAGCCGAACGTGATGGGGTTGTCCTGGGCGATCTTGTAGTAGGACGCGGCGGCGGTGGCAGCCGGGGTGAGGTAGGTGAGGCCGCCAGCTCTGCAGCAAGGGGAGCGAGGGCGGCGGGGTGGGGGGTCAGGGCACGGTGGCGGGGAGGGAGAGGGAGAGGGCGGGCGCACGGTGCGGTCTGCGGGATCGACACGGTGGAGGACGAGACGGCCTGGCGTGCAGCGAGGTGGTGCTGGTGGTGGTCGACGGCGGGTGGTTGGGCGACGGGGACGAAGGGACGAGGAGGTTGGGTCGGGCTCGCGGTCGGGGACTGGTGCGCGAGGACGAGTGCGGCACTGAGCAAGAGTGCGAGCAGCGCGTGCAGCATGACTGCGCTCGTCGCGGGGGCGGGCGGAGGACGACCACAGACGAGGAGCGTGGATCGACCGAGGTGGGCGACATGTCGCTCTCGACGGCGTGTTCGAGGGGCACAGTAGCTGTATGACAGTGTTACAGGAAGGCTGCACCACCTCGCACTCTACGCAGAAGCCGAGAGAGGGCGAGCCAGGTCGACGGCCATCTGTCGCCTCGTCGCCTCGCCCTTGATCTCTCTCGCTACCTCGCTCGCCCGCTAGACCCCACGCTGGTCCTGCGCAGCTAGAGCCACTCGACCGCACCACACCGCCACACCCTCGACCCGCACCCGCCCGCCCTCGCCGCCTCTCCCCGTCGTCGCTCTCGGTGAGTGGGGATTCGGCCGCCTCTCTCTCTCTCCTCCGCGTCGACTGACTGCTGCCTGCCCTGTAGCGACTCGCCGTGCCACCATGGGCAACAACCCGTCCACGCCCCAGGCGCCCCCGGGCTCGACTCGCTCGTCGCGCAACTCGCCCCGCTCCCGCACCGTCTCGCTCCCTTCCCCCGCCGACTCGCCCGCCCACGCCCAGCAGCAGCACCGCCCGCACTCGTCTCGCCGACGCAAACCCTCAATCGAGCTCCCCGACGTCCAGCCCTCGCCCCAGCTCCCGCGCCGCAAAGGCTCGGACCGCCCACCGGTCGTCGACGAGGAGCTCGACCCAGACCCGCCAGAGGGTCAGGGAGGCTCGCTCCGCGGCGCCCTCCAGGGCAAGGCCGACCACGTCGTGTACGGCCCGCGCCGCCAAGACGACGAGACCACCCTCCTCAAGACCCCGCCCGCCCTCGTCCCGACCCCGACCGCCGCCGCCGCCGCCGCCGCCGCTCCTCCGCCGCCCAAACCCGCCGCCGCCATGGCCATCCCGGGCACGGGCACGCCGCGCCCTTCCCCTCGCACCCCGGGCGGCGGTGGGCCCGGCGCCCGCGACGGCAGCCTCACCAACGCCGGCATGGGCGCCATCGGCGCGAGCCCGCTCATGGACCCGGACGACACGACCCACCCCGGGTTCGGCGCGAGCGCGCGCCTCACGAGTGCCGTCCTCATGAGCACCGAGAACATGCCCGTCGTTGGGAGCCCGCCCTCGCGCGAGGACGTGCCCGGCGCGCTCGCTCAGCGCTCGCGCGCGCTCGGCGCCGGCGGCTCGACGACGATGACCGACAGCGGCGGGAGCACGGCGAGCGGGCCTGGAGGAGGAGCAGGGTACGACACGCCCGACGCGGCGCGCAGCGGGACCGACGTGCGCCGCGTCGTGCCCTCGCCGCAGACGTCGTTCGGCGGCGCCGCGTCGAGCATCCTCGCGCCGTCGCCGTCGTCCACGACCGCCGCCTCGTACTCGTCGTCGGCCGCGACCGCGACGCCCGCCTCGGCGCTCCCCTCGCACCTCCCCTTGCCCTCGCACGACGAGCTCCCGATGCCGCACACGGCGTCGCCGAGCGCGCCGTCGGCCCAGCCCTCGGACACGGTCCTCGCGCCCGTCGTCCCGACCGACGCCCTCCCGCTCGCGAGCGAGGCCATCCCCTCGGGCACGAGTGTCATCGCGTCGCCGCCGGGCTCGGGCGGGCCGACGACGCCTACGGGCGGCGCGTTCGCCCCGACCGACGCGTCCGGCGCCGGCGCCGACGGCGTAGAAGGAGCAGGCCCGACGTACGTCGCGCACGACGGCAGCCGGGTCCCGAGCCCGGCCGTCCTCCTGCCGCCGGCCGTCTTCAACGCGCCTGTCGCGGCGCTCCCGATCCCGCTCCTGAGCGTGCCGAGCCAGACGATCGCGCAGAGCCTCATGGCGGCCGCGGTCGACCTCGGCGCGGGCGAGGGCGGCGTCCCGACGCTCATCAAGTGGAGGGACGAGGACGGGCAGGAGGCGGCGGACGTGAGCAAGGGCAAGGCGGCAAAGGGCCCGAGGGGGGTGTTCGTCACGGGCACGTTCGCCAAAGGGTGGAAGACCAAGATCGAGCTGCGCAAGACCGAGTGCGTCCCCTTTCTCTCTATCCTTCTCGAGGCGTGTCTCTCGAAGCAGCAATCCTGACCTTCCTCGCCGCGTGCAGCCCGTCCGACTTTTCGGCCCTCATCATGCTCCCGCCCGGTCCGCATCGCCTCAAGTTCATCGTCGACGACGAGTGGAAGGCGTCCAAGCACCTGCCCGTCGCGACCGACGCCGACGGCAACCTCATCAACTACCTCCAGGTGAACCCGCGCAACAGCAAGATCCCCGTCAACGTGTGGGCGCCGCCGCCGCCTCCTCAGCAGCAGCCTGCCTCGGGCCCGGCATCCTCGTCGACGATCAAGACGTCGACGGCGACCTCGGCGGCCGCGACGGGCGTGCCCGTCCCGACCGCCGTCCCGACCTCGGCGCCCGTCGCGACCTCGGCCGTCGTCGCATCGTCGACCACGACGCCGGCGACGACGCCGCTCGGTGCGCCGACGTCTCGAGCCTACGTCGCCGGCGGCTCTGGGTACCACAACGGCGTGTACTGGCCCGTCGGGCCGGACGAGGAGGGCGACGGCGCCGGCGGCGGGGCAAGCCTCGCGGCGGCGGGCGTCCACGACCCGGCCGACGACGACCACCACTGGTCGCAGGAGATCCCGGCCGAGCTCGTCGCGTGGGGCGAGTGGGAGCAGCAGCGCGACGAGATCGAGAGCGCCTACTACGCCGCGCACCCGAACGGGCCCGACGACGGCTCGACGCCGCCCGACTTCCCGCCGCCGCCGGCCTCGGCAGGCGTCCAGCCGCCGACGCTCCCGGCGCAACTCGAGAAGGGCCCGCTCAACCACGCGGCGTACGTGACGCAGGGCAGCGGCGACGACAACTCGATCTTGCCCAAGCCCGACCACTCGGTCATCAACCACCTCGCGGCGAGCCCGATCAAGGGCGGCTTCCTCAGCGTCGGCGTCACGACGAGGTACAAGCGCAAGGTGCGCCGGCTGCTCTCTCTCTTTCTCTCTGCGCCCTATGAAAGGCCCAAGTCACTGACTCTCTCCCTCTCTCTCTCGCCTCCTCGTTGGTCTCGCAGTTCGTCACCATCGTGCGTCCTCGTCTCTCTCTCTGTCGTCGACTCGATGCCCGTACTGATGCTCGTCCTTCGCGCAGGTCTACTACAAGGCGCTCAACCGGTAGCCCCTCTCGCGCTCGTCCCGACCCGACCCTCCCTTGCCTTCCACCTCGTGCACATAGCCCTCTCCTCTCGCCCTCTCACTCTCGTCGTCAGCAGTCCTGTCGTGCCCGAGCCTTTCCATCTGTACCTCGCCCGCCCCTTTCTGTGCTTGCCACCTCGCCCTTTCTATCCGTTTAGACCCTCTCTCGCCTCGTCCTTCTTTCTCACTCGGGCGCCTCTCATAGCTCGCCGACGTTGTGCAACGGCGCTCGTAGACAGACTCTCGGGCCCGTGCGAGCGAGAGAAAGAAAGAGAGGCAGGCTGGATTGCCCCGCACGTTCCGCCTTTTCTATCGGCGACCGCCCTTCTTCTTCGTCTGGACGAGCTCGAAGCCGTCCTCGTCGACGACAGGCTCCTCCCTCGGCCGGGTCTCGACGAGCTGCGGCGCGTGCTCCTCCTCCTCGATCCCGTCCATCTCGTCGTCCGACCCGCTCTCGTCAAACTCGCTCCCCTCGTCGCTCGACTCGTCCTCGTCGCCGCCGCCCTCGCGCCTCGCCTCGAACCTCGCGCCGCCGCGGTCCTGCGCCCGTGCGCGCTCGGCGCCCTCCCTGAACCGCTGCGCGAGCTCGCCCTCGGGCGAGTCGCCGCCGGCGGGCGTCGCAAGCACGCGTCCGAGGCACTCGCGCCACAGGGCGACGAGGTCGCGCGCGACGAGTACCTCGGAGCCGTCCTCGAGATCGACGTCAAACTCGTTGCCGACGACGTGCAGAAGCGTCGCCGCGACGTCGTCGGCGGCCGGGAGCGGGATCCCCTGCTCCATCAGGCTCGAGCTCGCGCCCGCGCCTGCGCTCGCGCTCGATGCGCCTGCCGACCCGGACGTCGCGGCCGAGTAAAACAGGTCGACGACGTCCTCGGCGATGGCCGTCTTGCCCTCCTTGCCGTCGCCGCCCCACCCGTGCGAGATGGCGAGCCGCAGGGCGGGCCACATGTCGAACAGGTCGAGGGCCGAGCGCGCAAAGAGGGCGAGGGCGCGCTCCTCGGCGGGCGCAACGGGGGGCTGCTGCTGCTGCTGCTGGGCGTCGGCGGCGGGGGCGGACATGCTGGGGGAGGGAGCGGAGAGGTCGAGCTTGATGAGGCGGCGGGGCGAGGAGAGGCCGTGGGGTGTTGGCGCTTGAGGGGGAGGCTGTAGCTGCAGTGTACTGGAGTGGACTGCTGCTGCTCTCGAGGTGGCTCGAGGTGTGAGGAGTGAGGACGGAGGACTTTTGGTCGAGGCGAGCGATGAAGTCGGCAAGCGAGCCATCCTCTCTCCAGCTCGCTCGAGCGACTCATTGAAGAGCGCAGTCTGCTCAGAGGATGCTACTCTCGGGCTCGCGGCAACTGCTCGCCCAAGGGTCGCCGTTCCTGCTCACCCGCACCTCCTCGCTCGGGCTCTCTCGCTCGCATTCTCGCTCAGGCTTGCCACGCTCTCTCTCTCGTTGCACATGACCGTCGTCGAACAAAGACATGCATCGAGGGCGACGCTACGGGCCGAGGGAAAGGCAAGGAGGAGAGGAAGCGGACGACGGGCGAAGAGGGCGGGCGACGGCGAGCTGCGGGCGGGCAGGGAGAGTGAGCTCTCGCTCGGCAACCCGAGAGGAGTAGGAGGACGTACAAGGCTGCTAGAGCGGAAAGCCGGGCGCCGTGTCGCGGTAGTGGTGCTCGAACGAGTGGCCAACCGTGTCGAACGTGTTCTCGCAGTTCTCGCAGAGCACTCCTTCATCGATGAGCGCGCCGCTCATGGCGTGCACGACACAAAGGAAAGGCTTGGACGCTTTGAGGTCGTCCCACACCCTCAAAGCCTCGCGCATCGCGCGGTACCACGTCGCGTCGGCGAGCGAGGCATCGTCGGCCGTGCACGCGTCGCAGAACTCGAGGGTGGGCTTCTCGAGGGCCCAGAAGGCGGCGTGCGTCTTGAGCAGCTTGAGCCACGCGTCCTGAAGAGGGCAAAAAGTCAGTGACGAGCGCACACGGGCGTGCAAGGCGGGAGGAGGACGCACAAAGGCAGTTTGCGAATCGCCGACCGCCTCTCGAACCTTCTTCTCGTCGTCCACGCGCATCATGAAGCGGAGCATCTGGCTCGCGGCGAGCTGACCGTTGCCGAGCTTGACGGCCGTCTCGAACGCCGTCCGATTTTGGTCGCTGGACAGGTCGTTGGCGAGGGCGGACCATTGCCTGCGGCTCGAGCGCGTCAGACGCGACTCGAGAGAAGGGATCAGGAAGTCTGAGGACGCACCAGCACTTGCCAGTAGCGATCGTGCGGACAGGCGCCGAATCGTACTTGTCGGCGAGTTTTGCAACGACGGGCCAGTGCTTGTCGTCGAGGTCCTTGAGCGGGTCGCCACCGTCGTGCGCGAGGTTGAGGAGGCGCAAGAACGGCTCGAGCTCGGCCTGGGTCTCGGCGAGATCGACGGGCGGGCCCTGCGAAGCAGCCACGGGGCCTTGTGGGCTCGCAAGCATGTCGGCGAAGACCTTGCTGTTGGCGGCGAGGACGGCACGGGAGGCCTTGAGCTCGACAGGCGGGTTGTCCGAGGTGCAGAGCGTGATCAGGTCGTCCATCTCGAAGCAGCTGCGGCGACAAGGACGGAAGGAGAGAGCAGGAGAGGAGCGAGAACATGTCGGGCAGGACGAGTCGGACTTTCCGCGGCAACGGTCGACCGCGAGGCTCGTGCGAGTCCCTCCTGATCGGCGAGAGCAGGCCGATGCGCTCGGCTACGAGAACGAGCGGGAGCCGGGAGCTGGAAGAGGAGGAAGAAGTGCGCTCAGGCCGCTCGACGGCGCAAGTGATCTCTCGAGCGTGCGGCCATTACGTCTCGCCGACAGCAGCTACAGCCGCCTCGACCACCTCTCGCAGCTCGAGCACCTGCTCCCTCGCCCTCGCCTCGCTCAGCCGGAGCGCGACCTTGCCGCTCTTCAGCCCATCCCTCGCTCGCTCCCTCGCCTCGTCCTCCATCTGCCGCACCGCCTCGCCGACGACCCTCCACACCTCGTACACGCGATGCCGCACGCCCGCCTCGTCGTCCTCGAGCGGCGCGACGAGGAGCTCGACCCACTTGGGGCGCCCGACGAGCGCGGCGACGATCGTCGGCGAGTAGACGAGCGACGTGAGGGCGCCGGCGGCGGCGAGACGTGTCGACGTGTCGGGCGAGCTCGCGAGTGCGACGAGGACGTGCAGCCGGGACGTGCTCGCCGTCGCTGCCGCCGATGGCGCCGGCGGTGCCGCGTTGTCGCCTGCCGCCGCCGACGCCGACGCCGTGACGGGCTCGAAGAAGGCGATGCCGCTGTCGCTCGCGACGACGTTGCACACGAGCTCGGCCGCCGCTCGACGCACCATCGTGTGCGCGCTGAGGAGGTACTCGTCGGCGACGACGGCGAGGAGGCTCGTGCCCGTCGGGCGGTCGCGCAGCGCGAGGCGCGCGAGCTTGTCGGCGAGCGTCGGCCCGACCGACGCGAGGTTGGTGAGCGCCATGAGGGCCTCGAAGCGGGGGAGGAGGTCGGCGCCGCCGGCTGCGGATGCGGGTGCGGCGGCGGGTGCGCCGAGCGGGAGGGCGAGTGCGGCGGCGGCTTCGAGGAGGAGGGGCGAGTCGGGCGTGGGGCCGAGGACGAGGAGCGGGTTGGAGGTGATGAGGAGCTTGGCGAGGCCTTGCGGGGCGGGCGTGTCGTTGGCGGGCGAAAAGGGCGTGGGGAGCTGGCGGACGAGGGAAAGGAAGAGGCGAGCCGCTCCTGCCTGCAGGAGGGTACCGCGCACGGCTTGAGGCGTGGCGAGGGCGTGGAGAATGCGCGCGGTAAGGCGGCGGGTCTGGAGGGAGGGCGAGAGGCAGAGCTGCCGGACGGTCGGGATGGGCGACGGGTCGTGGCGGACGAGGAGGGCGACGCGCTTGCTGACCGACTCGACCGACTCGGGCTCGAGCTTGGCGGCGCCTTTCGCGGCGGCTGCGGCGGCAAAGCGTTTGAGGCGCTCGAGCTGCGCCGCCTCGCCCTCGGCGTCCGGCGTCGGGAAGGCGGTGAGGTGGTCGAGGAAGGTCGCGAGGGCATAGTCGCGGGCGCTGCTGGCGGCGGTCGGTGCCGTCGGCTGCTTCGGGGCGAGCGAGAGGAGAGGCGTGAGGAGGGAGGTGCTGGTGGCGGTCGCCTTGATCGACGGCGACGGGTACAGGGTGAGGTAGGCGAGCGCCTCGAGCGCCGGGAGCAGGACCTCGTCGTCCGGCTCTTTGTCGCGCACGCCGAGCGGCACGAGCTCGGCTGCTAGCCGTGCCAGCTCCTCAAGCGTCCACCTGGACGGCGGCTCCTCGGCGTCGGCCTCGCTCGGCGGCAAGCCCGTCGCCGCGCCCTCGTCCTTGCCCAGCCGCAGCTTGACCACCGCCACCGCCGCGAGCGCCTTCTCGCGCGCGTCCTCGCCACTCACCGTCTCGCCCGGCGCGCCGAGGAGGCCCTCGAGCCAAGGTCCCGCCGACCGCCGCACGAGGGCGCGCATGCTCAGCTGCCCTGCAGCGAGCGAGAGCAGCTCGACGAGGGCGAGGCGCTCGCCTCGTGCTGCTGCTGGTGCCCTGGACCGTGCCGGCGGCTGCGAGATGAGCTCGACGGCGTCCTCGAGGTGGGACCGGAGGGAGTCGTCCTTGAGGAGGTCGGCGGCGAGTGGAGGAGCGACCTGGAGGACGGCGCTGAGGGTCGAGAGGCCCTGAACGAGATCACGAGAGTCGGTGCCGGCGAGGAGCGACTGGAGGGCGTGCTGAAGCGAGGTGCGGGTGGTCGAGGTGGGGGCTGGCGAGAGGAAGCGGGCGAGGGTGGCGAGGGCGAGGGCCCGAGGCTTGACGTCGGCGTCGAGAGCTTGTAGGACCTCGCTCAGGTCTGTTGGCGCCAGGTCGAGCGGTGGGGGACGCTTGAGGAGTGATTCAAGTTTCGCGGATGATGAGGTTGGAGAGGAGGGTGCGGGCGACATGGGGGACCTGGACGAGTGCGCGCACTCATTAGTTCGGTCCAGGAATCTCAGGCTGCCGGTAGAGCTCACCTGCAGCTCGGCTCGAGAGGTAGGACGAGGTGGGCGACAGGCGAACCCCGACTCGTCGTCGCGGCCAACAATGGCCAGCGCTTCTCGCTCAGCGCTCAGCTCCTGAGCAGTCTGCTTGCGCTCAAGGTGGCCCGGTTTAGGCAGACGAGCCCTTGCATCTCGCGCACCACTCTGTCGAGAGCTTCTCGCGTCGCTCGACGGCGGTTCAAGCTCTCGCTCGCGCTCTCAAAGGCTCTCGAGCTGCTTACTGGTCCCGGTCATGCAGAAGCATCTCTGTACATCGAAAGGGAGAGGGCGGTGGCTGAACGGGAGAGAGGGAGGGACGAGTCGACGAACGAGGAGGGTTGGCCGGTCGACGGGGCCGTGCGAGGGGGATTGCGCGCTCCTGCAGAGCGGTCCAGGGTCAGGTGCCGACTCGTGAAAGAAGAGAGGAAGAGGACTGACGGCGCTCAGAGGGGAAACTCGGGCGCCGAGTCACGGAACTCCTGCTCGAACGCGGCCGCGCGCTCGTCGAACGCGTCCTCGCACACGCTGCACAGGCCCGACGCCTCGCTCGCGCCGCGCGCATAGCTCAGGAACGGGTGACCGGCGCGCATCGGCTTCCAGTCGGCGAGGGCAGTGCGCATCGCCTGGTACCAGCGCGCCTCGGCGAGCGTCTCGCCGTGCTCCTCGGTGCACGTCTCGCACTGCGACAGGTCAGGCGGCTTGAGAGCGCACTCGAAGGCGTGGATCTTGAGCGAGGCGGTCCACTCGGCCTGTGTGACGGCGAGTCAGGCCCCGTGACGCTCGAGAAGGGGCGACGAGGAGGGAAAACGACGACGCACGAACTTGTCCTCGTGCCCGGCGAGCGCCCTCTCGATCTCGTCCTTGAACTGGTACTCGAGGAGGCGAAGCATGAAGTGCTTGGCGAGGTACTGGCTGCCGAGCTCGACCGCCGTCTGGAAAGCGGCGACGCGCTCGGGGCTGTCGGTGCCGTCGGCGCTGGCCCACTTCCTGCAGGCGCCTACTAGGTCAGCTCGGGCGCGCAGAGAGAGTACGAGAGGAACAGGAGGACGCACCAGCAGATGGCGAGAGCGGCGACCGAGACGCTGCGCGACTTGAACTGCTTGGCGAGGCGAGCAACGACGGGCCAGTCCTCGCACTCGAGCTCGCCGATCGGGTCGCCGTCGTCGTGCGACATGTTGAGGAGACGCAGGAACGGCTTGAGGTGCGCTGCCGTCTCGCACACGTTGAGGTAGGTCGTCTTCGAGTCGGCGAGTCGCTCGGCGAGCACCTGGCTGCCGACGCACAGGACGGCGCGCGACACCTCGAGCACGACGACCGGGTCGTCCGACGTGCAGATGGTGCAGAGGTCGCCCATGCTGCTGGTGAGTAGCGAGAGTGAGTGGGAAGAGGGAGAAAGAGAGAGGCGGACAGGGGCTGCAAAGTCCATGTTCCACAGGGCCGTCCCGCCGCAATCGAAGACCTGCAGACGCTGTACCGTCAGTGATACGTCAAACAGGAGAGAGAGAGGGCTATGAAGCGGATCCTGAGCGAGGGAGAGACGAGCGCTGGGTTGCACCTCATGCCGCCGACTCGCGCGCACCGACCTCCTCCTGCACCGCCGCTCGCTCCTCCATCTGCGCCGCCGCCCCGCCGCCGCGTGCGACCACCTCCTCAAACCTTGCGACGACGAGCCGATGGTCGCTGCGCACCATCGCGTCCCTGCGTCCCTCGTCGCCCGGTGGTCGTCGCCCGGCGAGGTCCTCGAACGAGTTCTGCACGACGCCGTACTTGCCGACCTTCCACTGCGGCTGTCGCGGCGAGACGGGCAGCGTCGAGCTCGAGGGCGGGGCTGCTGAGGATGGCGAGGAGGAGGAGCGGGAAGGGAGGAAGGCGGCGTTGGCGTAAGGAAGGATAAAGTCGATGACCTTGGGCTCGTCTGACGGCGTGAAGCCGGTGAACGTGTTGAGCGGGCCGTATCGACTGCGGGCACAGGGTAGAGCGTGTCAGATACTCGTTGACGGGGAGGCGGACGAAAGAGCGAGAGAGGCGAGAGAGTGCGCACCTGCTGAGCGCTCCCGGACCTGCGAGCGCCGACCCTCGCACGGCGAGCTCGTGCCGAGCATCGTAGCAGCTCGTCTGCGCCTCGTCGGCCTTCTCTCCTGCTCCTGGGCCCGCCTCGTACGGGTACCGCCGCCCCGTCAACACCTGGTACCCGTCCTCTTCGGCCGGCGAGTTGAGGTCGCCCAGGACGATGGCGAGCGGCTCGGCGCTGCCCTCGGCGCGTGCTGCAGCGAGCTCCTCGGCGACGAGCCGCAGGATGAGCTTGGCGCTCTGCGTCCTCGCCTCGAGGCCGCGGTCGTCCCAGTGCGTGTTGGCGACGAGGACCTCGGCCGTGCCGTCGCCGCCCTGGTCGCGAAACCGGGCGAGCGTCACCATGCGGGGCTGCCCGGCGTCCCAGCCTTTCGAGCCGGGCTTAGTGGGCGTCGGCGAGAGCCAGCGGTGCGTCGTCGAGAGGAGGGTGAGGCGGGACCGGCGGAAGAAGATGGGGACGGCCTCGCCCTTCTCGCGCCCGTCGTCGCGACCTGTTGCCGTAGCACTCGGGTCAGCTACGCCTGTACAAGCTCGAGAGAGGCAGGGGAGAGGGGACGCACCGACGCCGACGAAGCCCCACTCGTCCTCGCCCAACAGCTCCCTCAGGTCGCCGAGCTGGCCCCACAGCACCTCCTGGAACCCGATCACGTCGAGGTCCTCCCACCGCACGAGGTCCATGAGCGCCTCGCGCCGCTCGGCCCACCGCCGCTCGCCGTACCGCTCATCGGCGCCGCCTGCGCCGGACGACCCGAGCCCGACCTTGGCGCCGAGCGAGAGGGCGCTCGAGAGGACCGGGTGCCGCGCGTGGTAGTCGTACCGGATGTTGAGGCTGCCGATGCGCAACTCGCGGCCGCGGGCGGGTCGTGGCGAGGCCGAGGCGAGGCTCATCGTGGTCGCGGGCGATGACGAGGATTGGCGGACGAGGAGGACGGCGCAGAGCGCGACGAGCGCGGCGATGAGAGCGAGGGAGGGTGTGTATCTGATGCGGGTGCGTGGTGTAGCGCGCTCAGCCATGCAGTGGCTAGTGGGCGAAGTGAAGGAGGAGCGAGCCGAGGTGGGGAGCGCGACGAGCGTCTCGCACTTTCAAGCTTGCGACGAGAGAGAGACTGCTGGTGTACACTGTGTTTTGCAAGTTGCGAAGAAGACACATCGTTCTACCAGGCCGGCCCGTCATCGTCACCTCGCTCGCGCTCACCGCCTGGGCATGCCGCGGCCGGGCATGCCGCCCCTGCCCGGGGGAGCCTGCTGCTGCTGCTGCGCACGACGACCGTCCGAGTGAGTCCGAGGCGCGCACCGAGAGAGAGGAGAGAGCGAGGGACGCACGGCAGATGACGGCGAGCGGACCGTCTCGTCGACGCTCAGGACGACGCACGCCGCCTCGGTCGCGCCCTCGAGCGCGTTGACCTTGACGAGCGCAGGCTCCCACACGAACCGTTCCATGTTGTCGGCAACGCCCATGCCCTTTCCGCCGCCAGCCTCCTCGACGTCGTCGTCGACGCTCACGCCGGCCCACGTGTCGCCGCGCGCGTGCAGCATGCGCAGCTTGTTGAGGACGTCGGTCGCGTCGAGGCCGGCGTTGTCGCAGATGGTGCGCGGGATGACCTCGAGCGCCTTGGCGTACGCGCTGATGATGAGCTGCGCCTTGCCCGGGAGCGTGCGCGCGTGCGAGCGCAGGTAGGCCGAGATCTCCATCTGCAGCGGCGCGAGGGGGGGGACGAGCAAGGGCGTTAGTGAGGGTGCATGGCGAGGAAGAGAGAGAGAGTGGGGCGCACCTCGGTCGCACCACCGCCGGCCACGACGGTGCCGTTCTTGACGGCGCGCCGGACGACCTGGACGGCGTCGTTCAGGCTGCGCTCGACCTCGCTGATGAACTGCTCGGCGCCGCCACGGAGCACAAGCGTGCACGTGCGCGCCTTGGGGCACCCCTCGAACAGGTTGTACCGCTCGGCGCCGATCTGGCGCTCCTCGAACACGTCGCACGAGCCGAGGTGCTCGTCGCGGATGTCGCTGCACGTGCTCTGGACGGCGCCGCCGACGGCGCTCACGACGCGCTTGAGGTCGTCGGTCGCGACGCGGCCGGCGCAGAAGATGTGGCGGTCGGCAAAGTACTGGGTCGCGAGATCGCCGATCGGGAGGCGCGAGAGGACGACGGTCGCGCCCGAGTTGGCGATGAGCTCGAGCTTGCGATAGATGATGGACCACTCGGCGTCGACGATGGCCTGGTACTCCTGCAGTCGGGCGAGACACGCGAGACGCCGAGGGAGAGGGTCAGTGACCCGGACTCGAGAGGGGGGAGGGGCAAGGGGAGGGGGAGAGAGACGCACCGACACCTGCTCGACGCGGACCTCGGCGTTGTCGCGCTCGGCCTTGAGCTCGAGCTCGACGTTCAAGCACAGGACCTTGGGGTCGAGGATCTTCTTGGGCTGCTGCTCAAAGCCGGCGTACGAGAACGTCTTCTTGAACGCGACGCCGCGCACGAGGAGCGACTCCTCCATGCCGCCTCCGGGCACCTTCTTGATGCCAATCAGGGCCGGGTCGAGGACGGCCGGGTCGAGCGTCTGGACGGCGTCAACGACCATCTGGGAGAAGAACGGCTTGGACGAGTGGATGAGCTTGGACGACATGGCCGTCGACGCGCACTTGAGGAGGAGCGAGCGGAAGTCCCTGTGCGACGATAGGCGTGTCAATAGGGGGGAAGAGAGAGAGAGAGAGAGGAGGGTGGGGACGCACTCCTCGTTGGACGACTCGACGGTGACGGCGAGCTCGTTGACACGGGCGACAGCCTGCAGAGATAGAGTGTGTAAGTACGTCGGCCTTGCAGATGTACACGCTCGACCCACAGAGGGCGGGAAGGAGCGCGACTCGAGACGGGCGGACGCACGAGCTGGGCGGCCTGGCGGTAGGCCTTGATGATGACGTGGGGCGACACGCCGTCCTCGATGAACTGCTTGGCCTCGCGCATGAACTCGGCGGCGAGCAAAGTGACGGACGTGGTGCCGTCGCCGACCTCTGCGTCCTGGGCGCGGGCAATGTCGACGAGGGATTTGGCGGCCGGGTGGACGACGTCGAGCAGTTTGAGGATGGTGGCGCCGTCGTTCGAGATGGTGGCACGGCCGTCTGCGCCGACGATGAGCTTGTCCATGCCGCGGGGCCCGAGAGTCGAGGCGACGGTGCCGGCGATGGCGAGGCAGGCCGAGATGTTGCTCAGGAGCTGCGGGGTGCCTGGGTGCGCGCGGGTGCGAGTCAGTGGGTTGGCCTGAGTGGCAGTGCGAGGCAGTCTGGTGGCTGCAGCTTACCCTGCGAGGTGTCGGTGCCCTCGCGGAGGACGAGCACTGTCGGGTTCTGGCGACGACGCGACGAGGGAGGGCGGGGTCAGTTGCGGCTCGTCGAGGGTGTGCGAGAGGGCACAGTGCGCACCATGGGCATGCGTCCAGCCATCTTGGTGCTGTGGTCGACGAGGTCGGGAGCGAGCTAGATGAAGCCACCGCGACGACGAACAGGGTCGACCCGCGCCTCCACCCTCCTCGCCCCTCGACCACCTCTAGCCGCCCAGTGCTGCACGCAGAGCTACTCGCCACCTCTGTGCGAGTACATCGAGCCCGCGCACCCCCCACCTGCGGCCATGAGCGACCCCGCTCCCCCTCCTCCCTCGGCCGGTGCCGCCGACCTCGACCCCAACAGCGCCCGCCCGGCCAAGGGCGTCCTCGAGGTCATGAGCCAGGCCGGCGAGCTCCTCGAGATCCCGCTCGTCGACATCTTTGCCAACCCGAGCGACGACGCCGTCCACGAGCAGCTCGTCGACCTCGCCCGCCTCCTCGACACGGAGCGCGCTCCGGTTCTCGCCTGGGTCCGCCTCGTCGACACGTCCTTCCTCCACGGCCGCACCCGCCACGCCCTCCAGTTCGCCGACCAGGCCCTCGCCGTCTTTGCCCGCCCCGGCGCCAACCCGCTCGACCGCGTCCCGATCCTGTGCCTCAAGGCCAACATGAGCCTCGCCCTCGCGCGCAAGGCCCCGAAACAGAAGCTCGAGCACCCGTCGACCGGGCCCATCCAGCTCCCGCGTGACCCGCACCACCCCGAGGCCGCGCTCGCCGGCGCGACCGTCAACAGCGCCGGCCGAGACGACCCCATGCTCAAGGGCGAGTACCTGTACCGCGCCGGCATCGACCTCGACCAGGCGGGCCACATCGACCCGGACAGCAAGGTCGTGCGCGACATCAAGGCCGCCTGGCTCCTCGCCCAGGGCCAGCACGACTACGCCCTCAAGCTGTGGGACCAGATCCTCGCCGACGAGCCGACCCACCTCATGGCCCTCATGGGCCGCGCCCGCATCCAGTTCTCGCAGCGCGCGTTCCGCCCGGCCCTCAAGACGTACCAGCAGGTCCTCACCCTCCGCCCCGACTTTCTCCCCGACCCGAGGATCGGCATCGGCCTGTGCTTCTGGATGCTCGGCGACCGCGACAAGGCCCGCAGGGCGTGGGAGCGCAGCATGGTCGTCGTGCGTCCCCCTCTCTGTCTCTCCTTCCTCGGCGCCCACCTTCCCTCGATCGGCCCGGCACTGACCGCTCGCCGCCGGCTGCAGAACCCGAACAACAAGTCGCCCTCGGCGGCCCTCCTCCTCGGCCTCCTCCACCTCAACGCGTCCAAGGACCCGCTCCACCCAGGCGGCTCGACGGCGCGCACGGCCGCCTACGCGCGCGGGCTCGCCCTCATCCAGGCCGCGTTCAAGAAGGACAACACGTCGGCGACGGCGGCCGCCATGGGCCCGATCGCGTCGCACCTGCTCAGCACGGGCGGGCCCCACGGCGCCGCGCTCAAGCTCGCCGAGCGCATGCTGTCGTTCGCCGACGCGCGCCTCCTGGTCGCCGAGGCGCACCTCGTGCGCGCGCGCGCCCTCGACGCCGACCCGCACTCGAGCGCGTTCGCCGGCGCCGAGCTCGAGCGCACCTACACGGCCGCGCGCGACGCCAACCCGGACCTCGTCATGGCGCACCTCGGCCTCGGGTCGGTCCACATCCGCCTCGAGCAGTTCCCGCAGGCGCTCCACACGTTCGAGACGCTCCTGCGCCGCCACCCGCGCTGCGTCGAGGCGCTCGTCGCCCTCGCGAGCATCCACGCCCACCTCGCTTTCACGTTCCACAGCGTGAGCGACGCCCAGGGCGCGCGCAAGAGCGCCAAGCAGGCGTACGAGCAGGTCCTGCGCGTCTTTGCCGCCGGCAAGGACAAGGGCTCGGCGGCGGCCGCGTCGGCGCTCACGGGCGAGGACCTGTCGGTCGCCAAGTCGGAGCGCGTGCGGGCCCTCGCCGCCGACCGCGACCTGTACGTCGAGATTGCGCGCCTGTGGGCCGACGAGGAGCCGAGCGTCGAGAAGAGCCTCCAGGCGTGGCTCCAGGCGGCGAGGATCGAGCAGGACCGCGCCGACGACGCGGCAGAAGACGCGGCGGCGGCGAGGGCGGCGGCGGCAGCGGCAGCGGCGGGAGGAGATGGAGAGGGCGCTGGCGAGGTCAAGGCCAAGGTCGAGGAGGGCGATGGCGAGGACGCGGTCGACCCCCGCATCCGCAACAACATCGGCGTCCTCTTCTTCAACCGCCGCAACGGCACCTCGTCGGCCGCCCTCGACCCGTCGTCGTCGTCAGGCGGCGCCGGCCACGGGCAGGCGCACCTCGTGCGTGCCCAGACCGAGCTCGAGTTCGCCGCCGCGAAGCTCGGCGCACAGGTCCAGGGCACGTTCGACGGCGGCGAGACGGACGCCCAGGTGACGTGCGTCGGCTTCAACCTGGCGGCGGTGCGCGAGGCGCTCGGCGACGTCGAGCGCGCAAAGGCCGAGTGGAGCGGGCTCCTGCAGGTGCACCCCGAGTTTGTCGACGGTGCGTCCCCTCCTCTCTCTCTCTTCCTCCTTCCATCTTTTTCTCGCGAGATCTGCGACGACGGCGTCGGTCTGGCCCGTGAGCTGACACCGTCCTCCTCGCCCCGCAGCCAAAGCCCGTCTCGCCCTCCTGGCGCTCAAGACGAAGCAGCCCGAGCAGGCCCTCATGGCCGCCACCCTAATCAAGGAGGGCCTCACGTCGAACCCGAGCAACGTCGAGTTGCGCGCCCTGTACACCTACTTCCTCATCGAGACGGGCCAGTCGGCCGTCGCCATCAACTTTGCGCGCGACACGCTCAAGTCGGTCGCCCGCCACGACGTGTACGCCATGTGCGTCGTCGGCACGCTGTACTACCAGGACGCGCGCGAGAACAAGCACCCGTCCAAGGAGGCGCAGCGCGACCGCGCCGCCAAGTACGTTCGCGCCGCCGAGTACTTCGACAAGGCGCTTCAGCTGTCGCCCCAGTGCGCGTTCGCCGCCCAGGGCCTCGCCATCGGCCTCGCCGAGGGCATGTTCGGCAACGGTCCCGCCGAGGCGGGCGCCGCCGCGACCTCGGGCTCGTCGTCGTCGGCCGCCGCCGCCGCCGCCGCCGCCGCGCAGCCGCTCACCGAGAGCCAGGCGCGTGTGCGCAACTCGCGCGACGCGCTCAACATCCTCACCAAGGTCAAGGAGAGCGTCAACGACGCGAGCGTGTACGTCAACATCGGGCACTGCCACTTTCTGCGCAGCGAGTTTGACCGCGCCATCGAGAACGTGCGTCCGCCTCTCCCTCTCTCCCCTCTTCCGTCTCGTTCCCTCGAGCGGGTCGAGCGAGTCGCTCATGTCCCTCTCCCGCTCGCAGTACGCGACCGCCTCTCGCCGGTACCTGCACGGCAAGAGCTCGTCCGTCCTGTGGTACCTGTCGCGCGCCTACTTCCACAAGGCCGAGTCGGAGCAGAACTTTGCGGCGCTGCAGCACGCGATCGAGTTTGGGCAAAAGGTGCGCCCGCCTCTCCCTTTCCCGCTCGCTCGGCGCCGGTACTCACGTCGACTTTGGCTCGCAGGCGACCGACCTGCGCCCGTCCGACCTCGTCAACAAGTACAACATGGCGCTCTTGAAGCAGACCGGGCTCCACATCCTGTCGCAGGTCGCCATCGAGAAGCGCACGTCCCTCGAGCTCAAGGCGGCGTACGAGCACCTCCAGTCGGCCCAGATGTGCGTCCTCGGCCCTCTCTCTGTCTCTCTCCCTCGCCCTCGACGCCGACTGACTCGGGATGCCCTCCCCTGCACAGCCTGTTTGAGGAGCTCACGTCGGCGACGCCCGACCCGTGCCCGTACCCTCGCGACATTGTCAAGTCGCGCCGGTCGTACGCCGCGTCGCTCGAGCGGCGGTTCCAGGGCATGCTCGACGCGCAGGACGCGTACGAGGCGACAGAGGCGGGCAAGCTCGAGCAGGCGCGGCGCGCGCGCGAGGAGGAGCAGCGCCGGCGCGACGAGGCCGAGCGCGAGCGGCTCGCCGTCATCCAGCGGCAGGCCGAGGCGCTCGCCGAGCAGCGCAAGCGCATGCGCGAGGAGGCCGAGCAGTGGGCGGCCATGAGCAAGGAGTGGGTCGACAACGACGACGACGACGAGGGCAAGAAGAAGCGCGGCGCGGGCGGCGGCGGCAAGAAGCGCAAGAGCACCAAGCTCAAGGGCGGCGACGACGACGCGTTTGGCGAGTCGGGCAGCGACGACGACGAGGGCGCAAAGCCGGCCAAGAAGAAGCGCGCGAAAAAGGTGCGCCCGCCCGCCCGCCGCGCTCGTTCCCCTTCCTCCCCTCCTCGACCCGGTCTGACCTCTCCTCCCCTTCCGTGCGCGCAGGACAAGGAGCCCAAGGCCAAGAAGGGCGGGCGCAAGAGCAAGGCGGTCGAGGCGGCAGGAGGAGAAGGCGGCGACGCGCGGCCGATGGACCTCGACGAGCAGTACGACGAGGACGACGAGGACGCGCCGATCCGGTCCCGGCGCCGCAAGACCAAGTCGAGCGGGCTCGTCAAGTCGGCGTGCGTCTCTCGTTCTCTTCTCGGGCTCGCCGAGCAGGGGACTGACCCTCTTCTTCGCGCGCCCGCAGCGAGTTCATCCAGGACAGCGACGACGACGACGACGAGGGAGCGGGAGAGCCGTGAGGGTCGCGTGCAACGAAGGGACGCTTGCCCACCTGTTGCTGGCTGTGATGCGCGTCAGGCGAGAGAGCGGGGAGGTCGCTATCGGCTTGTCGGGACGGCGAGGCTCCGCTCTTGGCGAAGATGCTCGGCGGAGGGGAGCGAGTGGGAGAGCTGCACCGCCTTTGCTCGTCGTCTCTCTCGTCCTTGGTCCACCTTTGCTGCTCGAACACGAGAGCAAGCCGCTCAGCTACACGCCAGCCAGCCTCGCGAGCCGCCGAGCACATCTCGGACTCGGTCCTCCACCTCGAGGTGCGTTCGGCTTGCCCTCGCCGCTCTCCCTCCTCCCGTCCCCCCCTCGCCCTCAAGAGCTGATCAGTGCGGTGGTGTGTGTGCGCGTCGTGCAGGTCCACGTCGCCGACCCAGTCGTTCCGCCCTCTAGCGTCCGCGCTCCCTCTCCCCTCTCCTCCACCCCGCCTCGGTCCGCCGTCGCCGTCGGCAACTCGCCCTCTCGTCCTGCGACTCGCGTCGACTGCGCCGACCTCGCACAAGCACGCCCCTGTACCGCCTCGACCCGCCGCCAGCTCGAGAGCTCCACACCTCGTCGCCGTCTATCGCCTCGCTCAATCTCGCCGGTCCCCCACGTCTCGGTGAGCCCATCTCGTTCAGGCCTGCAGAACCTCTCACGAGCACAGCTGACCTTGGATGTGCGCATACGCAGGCCCGTCGTCCACATGGTCCGATCCAGCCTGTTCTCGCGCCGTAAGGACACGATCAGCGTCTCGGTCCTCGAGGACACGCTCTTCCTGCACCCGCCAAGCTCGCCCGCCTCGCCGACACCGCGCACGTCGGACGAGTTCGCCAACCAGGAGCCGACGCACGACCCGATCCTGCACGGCCAAATTTGCCTCGTGTGCACGGCGCCGCGCAAGGCGCGCAGGATCCGCGTCGAGCTCGTCGGCCGCGTCACCCGGCACGGCGGTGACGGGTCGCACAACTACGAGAGCTCGGTTTCGCTCGACAAGCACCTCGAGATCGACTTGCACGGCGAGCGGCTCGAGACGGGCACCCACACGTGCGTCGACCGCTTTTCCCTCTTGTCCGTCTCTCCTTTTCTGAGCGGACGAGCCTGACTCTTAAACATCGGCTCGACGCACAGCTACGACTTTAGCTTCATCATCCCGAGCTCGACGGCGGTCGGCGAGCGGTCCAACTTTGGCACGGTCCGGCACACGGGTGAGCTCCTCCTTCCCACTCGTCTTCTTCCCTCTCGCCCGCCCTCTGTCTCTCGACCCTGACCCTCTCTCGCCTCCTACAGTCCGCGCAGTGCTCGTCGGCGTCGGCTCGTTCCAGGACCTCGTGTCGTTGCCGCGCCCGATCTACCTCATCGCCAACCCGGCCGCACCAGGCGACCTCCCGTCGGGCCTCGAGATTGACGTGCGCCACACCCAGTCGGAACTCGGGCCCATCTCGCTCCACATCTCGTCGCCGCACCTGACGGTCGCGAGCCTCATCTTCTTGAGCGTCTGTTTCGAGCAGCCCCCCGAGGGCATGAAGATCATGTCGGTCCAAGCGTTCGTTCGGCAAGAGTTCGAGATCCATTGTGCGTCGACGCGCTCTCTCTCTCTCTCTCCTTTCGCGGCGAGGCGTACTGATACTGCTCCCGCACCCGCAGATTCAGACGAGCAGGTCCCCGTCAGCAAGCCGCCGCTGCAGCGCAAGCTCCTCTTCTACATCGACTCGTGCGTCTCTCGCTCTCTCCTCGTCACTCCTTCTCGCCAGGGTACTGACTCGAGCCACTCACAGGTCTACGCCTCTCGCCCACTCGACCGACGACCTTCTCGACCGCGACCACCTGTCGCGAGGCGCACCGCCTCCTCTCGCCTACGAGCCTCGAGCGCTCCTCCCGCAGCCGCTCGCTCGCCTCGAGGGCGGCAAAGAGTGGATGTACGCGCGCGTGACGCGCATCCCGGACGACGACTCGGTGCGGCCGACGACGCTCGAGGGGACCGACACGCCGATCCGCGTCAAGCACCAGCTCGTGTGCCAGGTCCGGTACCGCTTCAAGGGCAGCAGGAAGGATCAGGTCCTCGAGATGGCGAGCGCCGTCACGATCGCGTCGGTGCGTCCGCGAAATCTCCCTCGTCGGCATCGTCTCTCCTGCCGGCGGTCACTGATTCCTTGTGAACGCCTCGGTCGCAGTGTTGCTGCCTCACGTCGTCGCTCCTCCTCCCCGAGTACCGCACCCGCCATCACGCCTCGTCGCACCTCACCGGCTCGTCGTCCCTCCCGTCATCCGGCTTCGCGACACCCTCCTCCCGCTCGCGTTCGGCCTCGCCCGGCCCCGACGCCGCCCTCTCGTCCCTCGCCTCGGGCTCGTCCATCGGCGTCGACTCGCCGACCGGGTCCATCACGCCGTTCCACCGCCGGTGTCTCTGCAACACGCCGCTGCAGAAGCTCGTCGACCAGGAGGGCGAGCGCCTGTGCGGCGCCGCAGCCGCCATGAGCCAGAGCCGCTCGCGGTCTCGCGCCCCCGGCGACGCGCCAGGCCGCAGCCGCAGCAGCTCGCGCACGCTCCTGTCGCCGCCGTCGTCGTCCGGGTCCGGGACGCCGCTCGGCTCGCGCTCGCGCTCGACGAGCGAGCTCCGGCTCGCGCCGCTCGGGGTCGAGCACGACGAGGCGTCCGAGCGCGCTCGAGGGCGGGCGCGCGACGTTGCGCGACGGGCCGTCAAGGCGGGCGAGACGTACCCGGTGCCGCGCGAGCCGTACTGGGGCCGGGGCGAGCTGGGTCCGTGCGGCGGTGGCGGCGCGGCGGGAGAAGGGGCGGGCATGGATTGGGAGACTCAGGCGGCGGCTCTCCGGCCGATCAGGGCCGTCGAGGTTGGGACGAGCAGAAGCTTGGCGGCTGGCGGAGGTGGTCCCGTCGGGCGGCAGGTCGTTGTCGGCGCGTGAGCGGGCGAGCCGAGCCCGAAAAGGCGCAGCCCACAGTGGCCCCTTCTACCACTTTTCACCTTTCGTTGCAAATAGACATACGTCGTTCTGTGCACTCTCGAGCTTGCTGGCGAGCGCGATCGTCTCGAGACAGCGTGAGAGAGCGGCACGAGCCCGCAACTCGGCCTTCTCAAGTTCCTCGCGAGCGTTTTCTACCTCGACAGCAAGCGCGAACACACCGGGCACGTAGCGGAATCGTGCACAGACACTCTCGACACGTCTCTCGACAGCTCGCTAGGCAGGTAGTGCTCGTCGAGAAGGAGATATCGACTCGATGCAGCTCTTGCGTCGCTCGTCTAAATCTACTTGGCCGCCGCCTTGGCAACGTACCGGCTTCGAGAGCGGAGGCGCTCGCCGTAGAACCACAACAAGGGAGTCGGCGTGGGTAGGAGAGGGGCCGTCAGTCGAGGTGGAGGAAGGGGGGGTCCGAGCGGGAGAAAGAGAGAACGGACCGAGGGCCAGCCGATGATGATGGCGACGGCGGCGAGGATGGTGCAGCCCCAGCCGTAGCCAATGCCGTCGTACATGTACGTCGCGAACCACGGTCCCTCTCGAGCCTGCTGGCGAGGCGAGAGAGCTTTATCCTCTCGAGAGCGAGAAGAAGTCGAAGAGCCGCAACTCGGCCTTCTCAAGTTCCTCGCGAGCGTTTTCTACCTCGACAGCAAGCGCGAACACATGGCTCCATACTAAGCACCCACTTTCGTGCCCCAGCATCGAGCGTCGCCGTCATCCGCGAGAGAGAAAGAGAGAGCGCGAGCAGCAAGTTTCCCTCGAGCGCTCGGTCCTCGCCCGCACTGGCCACAAGCGGGTGTCCAGCTCATCTAGACGTCTCGAACTGACGATAGAGCAAGACTGAAGCCCCGAAAGCGCAGCGTGGCCAGCTCAGAAGCGGCGCGGTCCTGTCGCTCCGCACAAAGACGGCGACGCCGAGGGTGCGCAACTCCCTCCTCGTCGCAGGGAACGGCCTCAGTCTCGAGTGAACGTCTCGCTCGGCCGATCGAGAGCAGAGCGGAGCCGAGAAGAGCAGAACTGCGAGCTCGAGCGCGACCCTCTCCTGCTCGTCCACCTTCTCGAGCGCAGAGTCGTGAGTCAGACCTCGTCTGAGGGTCCTCGACTCGGCTCGATCCTTGAGCATACGTCTCGATAGGTCGATCGAGAGCACAGCGGACCCAAGAACAGCAGAACTGCGAGCTCGAGCGCGACCTTCTCCTCCTCGTCCTCCTTCTCGAGCGCAGAGTCGTGAGGCTGACCTCGTGGGAAGGTCCTGGACTCGGCCCAATTCTCGAGCATCCGCCTCGATAAGTCGTTCGAGAAGAAAGCGGAGCCGACAGGAGCGGAGCTGCGAGCTTCTCCTCGGCAGCTCTCGTCTTGGGAAGGCCCGCTCGGACCGCCCCTGGACCTGCTCTCTCTTTGCTCCCTGACGCTCTCTGTTGACCGACAATGTACTCAGAGTGGTTCGAGATGCCTCCTGCCGTTGTCTCTGAACCGCAAGGACGGAAAATGGGGCAGAACAGGGGATCGTAGCAAGGTCGTAGCACGTGCTGCGAAGACGCTAGGGGAGGGAGGCTCGAGCGATTCTCGCGCGTTTGCTTCTGCCGGGACGTTCATGGCGGGTCTGGCTGCAACGGCTCAGAGGATTGAGGAAGGAGAGACCGCAAGCCAGCTGGACGCAAGAAGAGCAAGGCTGCGGGCTCGAGCGCGACCTTCTCCTCGTCGTCAACCTTGCTGAGCTCAGTCGTGAGCGCGACCTCGTAGGAGGGTTCTCGACCGGCCCCAATCCTCGAGCATACGTCTCCATAGGTCGCTCGAGAGCAAAGCGGTCTCGACAGGAGCAGAACTGCGAGCTCGAGCGCGCCAATCTTGTCTTCGTCGTCGCTCGCAGCGCAGAGTCGTGAGGCCGACCTCGCATACCGCGCTCTGACGGGACGCTCCGCCCGTAGGCCACATCAGACGGTCTCTTGGGCATCTCAGCTGCAGTCCAGCGTGGCTTGGGCGACCGTGAGCGAAGCCAGTCTGGTTCGAAACGCAGGCTCGACGGAGCTCATTCTCGAGCACAGCGCTCTCTGCACGGTCGCCGCGCCCGTGGTTCTACTCACAAGGGCTTCTGAGTGTCTGTGAGCAGGCGTCGCTCGCACTCGGCCATGCGTGAGGAGGGTGAACCGGGCGCGAGGAGGCGGGTCGACGTGGCGCGCGCGTTCTCCTCGGTTCGCTTTGGCTCGCTCTCTCGCCTCGGCTCGTCGCACTTACGGCGCGCTCCGGTGCTCAGGCATGCAGTGGAAATAGCTCGAGTCGCTCGTGACCTTTGCGAGCCGGTGCGAGCAGTGGAGCGAGGGGGAAGAGGGCGCGAGGGAGGGACCCGATGCGGGCGGCGTCTTTTGACCTCTCTCTAGCTCTTCTCTCGCAGCTTCTTCTGCCTTCTCTTGACTCGCAGTTGGTCACTGCGAGCTCGGAGCAGCTCTCGAGCCCCTTACCTGGACTACTTTCGACTGGAAGCGAGAGGAAGGGAGCGAGTCCGTCTCCTTGAGAGGTGGTTCCGGGTGGTGCTGTTCTAGCCACTTGCAGTGCCTCTCTCTTTCGCCAAAGTGGCTCGACTCGAGCTCAGTGAGGTGCTCGACAGGTCTGCTTACGACCGAGCGAGAAAGAGTAGCAACTGGGAGAGAAAGAATAGCAGCTCTCGCTTTGAAAAGGCTAGCTTGGTTCTCTCTCTACCTCCTTGCACACGGTCTCTTTTACCTTGTCTCGACTCGAAGTTGGTCAGTGCGAGCTTGAAGCAGCTCGCGAGCACCTTACCTGGACTACTCTCGAGTCTGGCCGAAAGGAAGAGAGCGAGAGACTGTGCTTGGAAAGGTGACCTCCGGGTGGTGCTGTTCTAGCTCCTTGCAGTGCCCCCAGTTCTCGCTCGAGTGGCTCGACTCGAGTTCAGTGAGGTGCTCGACAGGTCTGCTTACGACTGAGCGAGAAAGAGTAGCAACTGGGAGAGAAAGAATAGCAGCTCTCGCTTTGAGAAGGCTAGCTTGGTTCTCTCTCTACCTCCTTGCACACGGTCTCTTCTACCTTGTCTCGACTCGAACTTGGTCAGTGCGGGCTTGAAGCAGCTCGCGAGCACCTTACCTGGACTACTCTCGAGTCTGGCCGAAAGGAAGAGAGCGAGAGACTGTGCTTGGAAAGGTGACCTCCGGGTGGTGCTGTTCTAGCTCCTTGCAGTGCCCCCAGTTCTCGCTCGAGTGGCTCGACTCGAGTTCAGTGAGGTGCTCGACAGGTCTGCTTACGACTGAGCGAGAAAGAGTAGCAACTGGGAGAGAAAGAGTAGCAACTCTCGCTTTGAGAAGGCTCGCTTGGACCTCTCTCTACCTCTTCTCTCGCTCGTTCTTATGTTCCCTCTCGACTCGAAGTTGGTCAGTGCGAGCTCGGAGCAGCTCGCGAGCACCTTACCTGGACTATTACAGCCTGGCAAGCTCGGCTAGTGCAATGCGTGCGGCCCTGGATCCTCGGAGATTGCACCGCCGCTTGTCGGCATTCCCCCCTTCCTCTACCTCGACAGCAAGCGCGAACACACCGGGCACGTAGCGACATGGTGCACAGGCATCTCTCGACACGTCTCTCGACAGTTCTCCATGCAGGTCGTGCTCGTACAGAAGGAGAAATCGACTCGATGCAGCTCTTGCGTCGCTCGTCTAAATCTACTTGGCCGCCGCCTTGGCCACGTACCGGCTTCGAGAGCGGATGCGCTCGCCGTAGAACCACAACAGGGGAGTCTGCGTGGGTAGGAGAGGGGCCGTCAGTCGAGGTGGAGGAAGGGGGGGTCCGAGCGAGAGAGAGAGAACGGACCGAGGGCCAGCCGATGATGATGGCGACGGCGGCGAGGATGGTGCAGCCCCAGCCGTAGCCAATGCCGTCGTACATGTACGTCGCGAACCATGGAAAGAAGCAGCCAGCCATGCTGCGAAAGCAGATCGTGGCTGCAAGAGCAGATGCGGCATGGAGAGTGTACCTGCAGGACGAGAGAGAGAGAGAGAGAGAGAGAGAGAGAGAGAGAGGGAGGGAGAGGGAGAAAGAGAGAGATTCCATTTTCAAGTCGCCGGTCGTGAGCGGGTGCTCGGGCGCTGAGCGAGAGAGTGAGGCGGACGTACAGGTCGATGAGGTAGCTCGTGCTGGATTGGAAGATGATAATCATGGAGAAGCCGACAAGGACGAGGCCGACATCTGCGCGAGGGAGAGTCAGCAGGCGGGGAAAGGAAGGACGACGACGAGGGGGACGGACCCGGGAAGATCCAGTGGATGCGCTTCTCTGCGCCCCAGCCGTACATGAGGAGGCCGAGAGGGAGAAAGATGCTGGCGGGAATGACTGAAAGGGGAGGAGGAAGGGTCAGGCTCGAGGCGAGGAGAGAGAGCGGGCGAGTTTGGGCAAGGCGGCTCACCGAGAGGAAGACGGAACTCGGGTCGGCCTTTGCCCTCCTTGGCCGTGAGCTTGCGGTAGATGACATCGAGGTATCGTGCGCCTCCTTGCCTGCGTGAGGGAGAGAGAGTCAGGCGCCGGGCCGAGTTGCCACGTCACGACCGTCCAATCGAGTGAGAGTGGGCTCACGAGGCGATCATGAAGCCGAGGGCGAGCGAGAGGTAGTGCAGGCCCGAGATGCCGACCGACTGGCCGTAGACGCCACGGTAGATGGCCGAGGTCGTCGTCAAGACGAGGTAGATGGTGCCGTCTGCGCGCAGCGACGAGGGTGAGCGACGGCGCTCTCGTGCCGCGAGGGAAGAGGAAGAAGACGCACAGATGAGGCTCAGGTAGGCGGTGAACAGCTGAATGATGGGCTCGGTCGCGATGAGGGCGAACGGGCGCAGCATGCCGTGGACGACGACCGATCTGTACGACTTGCGGCCCGACTTGACCTCGTGAATCGTCTGGACACGGTCCGAGTCGAACGGGAGGCCCATGCTCTTCTTGATCGCGGCCGCCTGCTGACGAAGGAGGACGGGCCCGTACGTCTCGCGCAGCCCGAAGAGGCCGATGAGCTGAACGAGAGCCGAGAACTGCAGGTGTGACGGATGCGTGAGTGACCGTATCGCGACTGGGGCTCGATACACAACGTTGAAAGGGAAAGGAGGGCGAGAGAAAGAGGGAGGTGGGGAAAGAGAGAGGAGAGAAGGCGACGCACGATGGTGGTCGAGATGAAGATCCAGCGGTAGCCGTCGTTCGGGACCTTGTCGACGATCCACGCGCCCATGACGGGTCCGAGTGCAGGTCCGAGAAGCGGCCCGAGGCTGTACAGCGCCGCGCCTTTGCCTCGCTCCTCGGCTCGCCACAGGTCGGACAGGACGCCCGCCCCGACCGACAGCGGCGCGCCGCCGCCGAGCCCGGCGATGAAGCGAAACACGATAAAAGCCGCCTTGTTGGGTGCCCAGGCGCACACGAGGTTGAAGATGAGGTACAGGAGGTTGGCGAGCTGAAGAACCCGGATGCGACCGAAGATCTCGCTCGCCGGGCCCCAGAACAGCGGGCCGACGGCGAACCCGAGGACAAAGATCGACACCGTCATCTCCTGCTCGAGGCTGCTCGTAATGTCGAGCTTGGCGGCGACCTGCCCAGAAGCTGGCGCCATCATTGAGGACGAGAGAGGTCTGCGGGCGAGGCCAAGAGTCAGTGCGAGATCTCCTGTCCGAGCGGGATGGACGTACGCAAGAAGAGTGAAGCCGGCGACGCTGCAGGAACGAGATTGAGTCAGGCGATGCTGCGAGTCGAGGGCGAAAGAGCGAGAGGGGACGCGCCAAAGAGTCGCGAGCGTTCTCCTGCCCTTGGTCCAGTTGAGCGGACACGCCGGGTCGTCCTTGCCCTTCCAATCCACCACGATCGTGTCCTCGTCCGCCTTGTCGCCGTCTCGCCGCCCCTTCTCGAGGTCGCCCGCTGCGTCAGCCGACCTCGCCGGCGCCGACTCGTCCTTCTTCCCTCGTCGCGCGCTGCCGCTCCCGGCCCCGCCGGTCGAGGCGGCCTGGCCGTCGTGGAGGGTGATGGTGCTGCTGCGGCGGTCGATCGGCGTCCCAGGTGCGCTCGAGTCGGCCGGACGCGAGGTGGAGGTCGAGTGCGAGTCGCGCGAGGTGGGCGAGGGAGGGTCGACCGGTGGTGGTGGTTCGACGCCCTCGATGGGGCCTATGGACGCCTGGGTGACTTCTTCGTGAGCTGGCGGCATAGCTCGAGCCGGTGCGAGAGCGCGAGAGGCGGGGAAAGGTCGTCGCTCTCATCGGCCGTCCGCCGTGCCGAAGGGTCGGCGCCGGCCTTCCCGCGGGACGTCCATTTTCGTTCGCAGAGCAACCGTCTGCTCTCTCTTGCACGCGGTGGTCTCGCAGAGAGAGAAGCTCGACAGAGAGAGGACGGCAACGGCGCGCAGGCTCGAGCGTCTCAAGCGCGACGAGAGACGAGGTCCAACGAGAGAGGTCTGTGCATTGCGAGAGTTGCGAATAAGGAACAAGAAGGGTCTATCGGTCTACGAGTCGCACGTCTGGATGAGACGGTTCTTGGGGAACTCGCGGCCGGCGTCGGCGTACGTGACGACGAGCGGGTCCTGGTACAGCTTCGGGTTGCGGTTGATGTAGTCGACCGTCGGGTTCTCCTTTGGGTCGCAGCCGACTGTGTGCGCAAGGGAGCCGTGTCAGGTCGACGATCCTGAGAGAGAGAAGAGACGAGGGAGAGGGGAGGACGGACCGGAAATGTGGTCGCTCGGCTGGTACACTCGCACGTAGTCGATGCGGAACTTGGACGGGAAGTCGAGGTTGTTGTAGTCGATGACGCCAAAGTTGGGCGACATGGCGAGGTTGAAGCTGAGGTCGAGGAGAAGGGGGACAAGGTCAGGCTCGAGGCGGCGAGGCCGAGGGAGAGAGAGAGGGGAACGAGCGCGCGACGCACATGATGTACATGGGCTCGGCCGTGACGAGTCGCTGCCCGATCTGGGCCTCCTTGTTCGGGCCCATGGCCTTGTCGCTCAGGCGCCACATCCTCTCGCCGCCCTGCTCCCACGTGATGGACCCAGTGCCCCACCCGTCCTGCTCCGACGGCGTGTACGCGACGCCGTACGTCTGCATGTTGTCGGTCGAGTTGTCTGCGCGCAGAGATGAATGTCAATGAGGCACACGAGAGAGAGAGAGAGAGAGAGGGTGAGGACGCACAGGTCGACGAGTCGGTCAAGCACAGGCCCGACGTGACCTGCTGCGTCGCGCCGCCGAGGTACGTGTTGCCCGGGCAGTCCTCGGTGAAGTACTCGACGTACTCGTGCGACGAGTTGATGACGCGGTAACCCGGGTTGAACGGAGCCTGCGCGAGGTCGGCGAGGTGAGAACAACTCCTCGAGCTCGACGGCGACGACGAGGGGAGAGAAAGATCGGACGCACCCATTGCGCACTCATCGAAACGTGCCCGAGGCCCGTCGCAGGCTCGACCGTCGCCTCGAGGATGTCGATCTCGGCGGCGCCGCTGCACGAGAAGAGGAGGGTCAGGACCGGCTCGGGCGAGGAGAGGGCAAAGACGACGGCGACGCACCGGCCCTTCCACGTGCCGTTGGCGTACTGCGGGCCCGGGTGGTCCGTCTCCTCGGGGCACGTGCACCGCGAGAAGCGCTGGCCCGAGAGCCAGCTCAGGTCGTCGTCGTGGTACTGGTCGCCCTCGGACGGGTCAAACTCGGGCAGCCCCGTCGCCGGGTCCGTCTGGTTGGGGAGCGTGCCGACGTCGCACGTGTCGTACACGTACGGCCACGTGCCGTCGAGCGAGCCGCCGTAGCCGGCGCGACCTGCGTGGGCGGCGACGTGCGTGAGCGAGAGGGCGCAGAGGAGGTAGGGGAGGACGGTGGGACGGACCGAGGTTGCTCATCATCCAGGCTGCGGGCCACAAGCCCGTCACGTGCGTGTCGCCGGGAAGAGAAGCCGCTGCAGGTGTGAGGAGAGAGCCGTCAGGGCTCGTTCGGCGACTCGAGGGAAGAGGGAAAGGAAAGGGGTCGACGTACAGACCTCGATGTACCCTCCCACGAAGCAGAATTTGTTCCACGACTGAAGCATGCCGCCGAGATAGCCCATGTTGTGCGAGTCCTCGAGCTCCTCCTTCGTGAGCTCGATGACGAGTCGGCCGCCCTCGGTGTAGATGTTGCCCGGGTCGTCTGACGGCGAGGATCGAGGAGGAGGGAGGGAGGATCGTGTCGAGATGATGGGGGAGGAAGGGAGCAGAGGAAGGTGCGTCAGGACGAGGACAACCTCGACGAGGGGCAAAAGGGAGGGGACGCACGCCACTCGACGTCCTGCGTCTGCCAGTACCAAAGGCTGTCGAGGGAGAGAGAGTCAGGACGTGTCTCTCGAGAGACAGAGAGGCGAAGAGAAGAGCGAGAGAGGGACGGACTCGACGGCCTCCCAGTAGGGGTCCATGCCCGGGTAGAAGAGGCGCCCGTCCTGGTTGAACTCGTCCGAGAAGACGAGCTGCATCTCGGTGCCGTCGGCCATGGTGCGCTTGAGGGCCGCCTCGGGCGTGTCCTGGTCGATGAGGCCGCGAAAGTTGGGCAGGTCGGGCACCTGGCCCGAGCCGTTGGTGCCGCCGATGCCGGCCGCGCCGAAGCGCTCGGGCGTGAGGCTCGTCGCCCAGTTGTAGATGGGCCACCCGGCAAAGACGCCGACGAGCGCGGTCGCGATGACAAAGATGGCGACGAGGTTGAGCAGGCCGAGGAAGCCGATGCCGAACACGCCGTCGCTGCGCGAGTTCTTTGGCTCGACGAGGCGGTGGTCGGGCCCGACGCGTTCGAGCTTGGGGCCCGGGTCGTGAAAGTCGTCGTCGGCCTCGACCGAGTCGTCGTGGTACAGCGAGAACTCGTCGGCGCCGAGGTTGTACCGCGCGAGGGACGACGTGCTCGACGACGGCGAGGCGCCGTTCGGGACGCCGAGGGTCGCGCCGTGCAGCGACGGCGGCGACGACGCGCTGTGGACCGACTGGGACGAGCGCAAGAACTGCTGTGTCGGGACCTGCGGTAGGGAAGCGGGAGAAGGTCAGGTTCGGGCTCTGCGTTTCTCGAGTCGACGAGCTCGAGGAAGACGCGACGGACCCATTCTGCTCGGTCGCCGCGCATGGCCATGGCCTGCTCCTTGCCCATGGCGTGCGTGTACTCGTCTGCGAGGCTGGCCGAGCTCGTCTGGGCGCGCAAGAGGGCGGCGCCGTAGGGCGAGTGCAGGCCGCGAGGGCTCGAGGGCACGGCGTAGTGGCCGTCGTCGAACGGGTTGGTCGTGTTGCTGTTCTCGCGGCTGCGCGAGGTGGTGATGGAGCGCTGGCGGAGGTGGCCCGACGGCGGGGTCCAGGCGGATGAGGCACCGCCTGGTGGAGGGCCGGCCAGAGGGTGGTCGGGCATGGCGAGGGGAGGGGGACGACGCGGAGGGCGAGCCGCGGTCGGGTGCGCAGGCGAGTCGCACGAGTCGAGGCGAGTGGATGGGCGAGAAGGAAGGGAGGGAGGGAGGGGTCGGGCAACGAGGCGCGGACGTGCTCGAACGGCGACGCGATCGAGAGTGGAGGGAGCTGCGGCGAACGGAGCTGGGCCTCGCGACGAGGGCGGCGGGGTGGTGGTGGTGCACGGGAGCGAGTGTGGGAGGGGACGGAGAGAGAGAGCTCGTCGCCGAGAGTCTCGGACAAGCCCAGGAGCAAAGCGTTGGCGGCGCGTGCGTTTGTCGACCCCGCATTCTCATCGCGACCACGCCAAGTGCTCGCGCCGCAGCCTCGCAAAGAGCTGGCGCGCTTGCTCTGTAGCTAGCTCGCACCTTTGGACACGTAGGGATCCAGCGAGCCAGCAGCGAGCGTTCGAGAGCGGCGTGAAGAGCGAGTCGGCGTCTCGGCAATTTTGTCGACCGCAGTACAAGTTGCAGACTGGCTGCGCTGCCGGCTCGAAGCTCGTGATCATCAACTCACGGGTTCGAATCAGCTCAATGAGCGAAAGAGCGAGCGTAGAGGGGCGTTGGAGGACTCGGCGGCGAGCGACGACGGCGACGACCTTGACCCGCCTCTCGCTCCTCCTACACCCTCAGTTCCGCCCTTGCGACCAGCTGCACGCCATGTCCGACGATGACTTTGTGCGTCGAGCCTCTCACTTCTCCGGCACAGGGCAGCACTGACGAGCCTGCCCCGCCGACAGATGATGGACGAGGACGAGGTGCGTCAGCTCTCGCCAACAGCTCATCTGGCCGCCGTTGCAGCTCCCTGAGCTGCTCGGAAGGCTTCTGCTCGCCGACAGCGAAGCTGACCCACCCTTGCTCGCGCCCTTCCCTCGGCCTCCTTCCGCCCCCACCTCGCAGGACTACGGCTTCGAGTACGAGGGATCCGACAACGAGGAGGACGTCGTCGACGTCGAGAACGAGTACTACACCGCCAAGTGTGCGTCCCGCTGTCCTCTCCAGGCGCCTCAAGCCGCGTCTCGACCTGACCCACCTCCTCCCTCCTCCCCGACCCTGCCTCTCCTCCTCGCCCTCTCGCCACCGCGCCGCCTTGCCCACACTGTGTGACATGTGCCACAGCCCAACGCGACACGCCCGATACGGCCCTCGCCTCGTTCCAGAAGATCGTCAACGACGAGACGTCGCGCGGCGAGCAGGGCGAGTTCGGCTTCAAGGCGCTCAAGCAGATGACCAAGCTCACGTTCAAGCTCGGCCGGTACGACGAGGCGCTCGCGCACTACAAGACGCTCCTCACCTACACCAAGAAGGCCGTCACGCGCAACGTTGCCGAGAAGGCCATCAACCGCATCCTCGACTATGTGAGCGCCGACACCGGCCTCGGCCTCGACAAGATGCAGGAGTTCTACGAGGTGACGATGAGCGCGCTCGAGGAGCAAAAGAACGAGGTGCGCCCCACCTCTCGCCACGGTCGTCGACTGCGCGAGCGCGAGCTCACGCCTCGTACTTCCTCCCCTCGCAGCGCCTGAGCACCAAGACGAACCTCAAGCTCGCCAAGCTGTGGCTCGACCGCCGCGAGTACGCTCGCCTCAACAAGGTGCGTCCCCAGCTCTCTGGCTTCCTTGAGAATCGACTGCTCACCTGGCCCCCTCGCCCGCAGATCCTCAAGGAGCTGCACGCCCAGTGCGCCCCCTCGGACGACGGCGCCGACGTCGACTCGTCCAAGGGCACGACGCAGCTCGAGGTGTACGCGCTCGAAATCCAGATGTACGGCGAGATGAAGAACAACAAGAAGCTGCGCGAGATCTACGAGAAGAGCCTCCGCGTCCGGTCGGCCATCCCGCACCCGAGGATCCAGGGCGTCATTCGCGAGTGTGGCGGCAAGATGTACATGTCGGAGAGTGCGTCCTCCGTCTCTCTCTCTTGCGTCACGCCCGTCGTCGGCGGCGTCCTCGTCCTCGTCGACTTGACTGACCCCTCGCTTCCCGCTCGCGCCCGCAGAGGACTGGGGCAAGGCGCAGATCGACTTCTTCGAGGCGTTCAAGGCGTACGACGAGGCCGGCTCGCCGCAGCGCATCCAGGTCCTCAAGTACCTCGTCCTCGCCCACATGCTCACCGAGAGCGACATCGACCCGTTCGACAGCCAGGAGACCAAGCCGTGCGTCGGCTCCTTCTCCCTCTCTCGGGCGTGCACTCCTTCAGGGACTGTGCGCCCTTCATTGAACGGGCAAGGCATTGACCCACTCGCCCTCGTCCTCAGGTACAAGAACGACCGCGAGATCTCGGCCATGACGGCGCTCGTCGACGCGTACCAGCGCCGCAGCGTGCACGAGGCCGAGAAGATCCTGCGCAGTGCGTCCCGCTCTCTCTTATTCTCTGCGTCCTCGCGCCCGTCCCTGACGAGGTCCGTGCACCCCCTCCCCCTCGCGCGCAGCCAACCGCGAGACGATCATGGACGACCCGTTCATCCGGGGCTACATCGACGACGTCCTGCGCTCGTTGCGCACCCAGTGGATCCTCGAGATCATCAAGCCGTACACGCGCATCGAGGTGTCGTACCTCGCGAGGGTGAGTCGGCGGTCGTCCTCTTGCGCAAGGGCGGGCTCGAGACGCCTCGCGACTCCCGCTCGACGTCGACGTCGCTGTTGAACTCGACTTACACCTTCCTCCTCCACTCGCAGCAACTCGGCATCTCGGACGAGCAGGTCGAGGAGATCATTGTCGCGCTCATCCTCGACGACAGGATTGCCGGGCGCATCGACCAGGTCACGGGCCGCCTCGACCTCGACAAGCAGTGCGTCAAGCTGTCTCTCTCTTCCTCTCTGTCGCTCGACCCGTCGCTGCGGCGGCTCGAGCGGCTGGGCCAACGGCGCGGGACTTGACGCTCTCTACTTCTCGCGCAGCACGGCCGTCGAGACGCGCCGGTACCAAGCCCTCGACAGCTGGACCGCCCAGCTCACGGCGCTTCACACGCAGCTCATCAACAAGGCGTCCCAGGCGGGCCAGGATCGCAGCGGGCCTGGCGGATCGGTCGGCGCTGCGCCGTGGACGACGGGCGGCGCGAGCGAGGTCTGGGCTTGAGCCTCGGGTCGCTTGGCGGCACCTCGGCGGTGCTCGTCAGGGAGGGAGAACGAGGGCGAGGGACAGAGAGGGTGCCCGCTTGTAGCTGTATGTAGATCTCGCTTTCGTTCCTCGTCGTCCTCCCCTCGTTCGTCCCCCTCGCGCTCTCTCTCTCGAGCAGCACTCGCAATTGCAGTTTTCGATACCCGGATCGCTCTCGTCTCGTCCCTCGCCGTCGCTGCAGAGAGAGGTAGAGAGCAAGCGATTCTCAAACGCGACTCGTCAAGCTGCTACAGCAAGCGCTCAAGCCCCTTCCTCGCCCCCTCGCTCGACCCGCTCCTCCTCGCTCCCTACTCGACCGACGCTCAGCCGAACCTGCGGGCACGACACGCTCGTCAGGGTCTGTCGGGCCACAGAAAGGAGAAAGAGGACGCACACCGCGGTAAAGGCCGTGCACTCGCCGATGAGGTCGAGCAGGGGCGCGAGGTGCAGCCTGCCGACGGCGAGCGGCGACACCCAGCCCTTCTCCCTGCGGACGCGACGAGGACTCGTCAATACTTGACGAGGAAAGAGAGAGAGAGAGAGGAGGACGCACCCCTGCTTGGCCTCCTTGCGGAACTGGAGCCCGCACTCGACCTGCAGGCCAATCGCGTCCCTGAACGCCTGGGCGACCCTCGCCCTCAGGTCCTTGGTCGCCGTCGACGTCGGCGACTGGGACGGCGCGACGAGCATGTCGAGCAGGTCGGCAAAGACGAGCGGCGAGCGCGACACCTCGAGGCGGGTCGTGCCCGGGAGGCCGAGCGAGCGCAGGAAGCCCGACGTCGTGTACAGGATCTCGCGGGCTGCGGACGTCGAGGCGAGGTGTCAGCACGAGACTGGGCGGGCAGAAGGAGGAACGAGGGACGCGCTCTGGCGCTTGACGACGGCGAGGCGCTCGTAGGTGACCTGGACGTCGAGAAGGCGCTTCTGCAGGCGGCGACGACGACGACGCTCGTCAGTCCGCAGGAAAAGAAGAGAGGGAGAGAGGCAGGGACGCACCTCGAGGGGCATCGTCGTCGACTGGTCCTTCTGCGTCGGCGCGACGAGCGGCTCCTTGCCCTGCTGGCGTTCCCTCCCGCCCTCGCTCGGCTCCTCGACCTGCTCGCGCCCACCCTCGCCGCCGCCCTTGCGCCCCTTGCCCGCCTTGTGCGACGACGAGCGCCCGCCGCTGCCGCACCCGAGGAGCCGAGCGAGGCCGTGCATGCCGCCCGTCGACGCCTGGGCCGCCTCGTCGTCCGGGTGCTCCTGCGGCTGCGACGACTCGGCGGCGCCCTCGGGCTGGCCGCGACTCTCCCAGTCGCTCTTGGGCTTCTTCTTGCCGCCCTTGTCCTTGTGGTGGTGCTCGTGGCCGGGGCCGGCGGGAGGGACCGGCCAGTCGGGGATGTCGATGGCGGCGAACGTGCCCGGCTGCGGCGCCTGCTGGGCGGCCGCCTCGCGCGCCTCGAGCTGGACGGCGGGCGAAAAGGCGCCCATGTCGGCGTCGAGGCCGACGTCCTCGGGCAGGATGAGCGACAGGTCGGTGCCGGTCGTGAGGGCGCGCGTCATGTCGGTCTGGCCGCCGAGGAAGTAGGCGAGGTTGCCGTCGAGGTCGCGCAGAGGGAGGACGTGCAGGAGGTTGAGGAACGGGGTGCCGTCGGCGCGGCTGCGGGAGCGAGGGGGTCAGTGACGCTGCGAGGGTCCGAGCGCCAGGGGAACGAGAGGACGCACTAGTTGAGGACGATCTGCATGACCTCGTCGCCGCCCTCGAGACGCTTGCGGATGTTGCCGACCGCCTCGGGCGCCGTCGCCTTGCCCTGGAGGAAGCTGCGGGCCGAGGCGAGTCAGCAGAGAGGTCGAGAAGGACGCCGCCGTCGACGACGCTCGACGACGCGCACGGCTCGGGGCGGTCGAGGAGGAGACAGAGAGAGGGGACGCACCGGCAGTTGCGGCCAATGATCTGCTGGGCCGAGTAGCCCGTGAGCTCGCAGAAGCCCGGGCTGACGAGCACGATCGGGTCGTCGCGCAGGCGCGGGTTGGTGAGGAGGAACGCCGAGCCGATGCCGCCGCGGTCCTCGACGCCGAGCGAGTACTTGCGCAGCTGCGTCTTGGTGTGGGCGAGGAGGCGCGCCTTGACGAACCGCTCAAACTCGGCCGCAAAGAGCTTGGTGAGGAGGTGCTTGCTCGTCGAGTCGAGGCCGGGCGCGCCGGCCCTCACCTTGCGCAGGGCGCCGAACAGCTCGCGCTTAACGTCGTCGGGGATCTCGACCTTGGGCTTGGCCGACTCGACGAGGTAGGCCTGGTATATGCCCTTGGCGCCGAACCCGGCCTGCTTGGTGAGGCGAGACAGGACGAGCGTGTCCTTCCACAGCTCGAGGTCGGCGAGGGCGTCGTTGTCGGGCGAGAGGGACGCGAGGTAGCTGCTGAACTGGGCGTAGCCGAGCGGCGTGGCGACGTAGGCGGCGAACCGAGGGAGCGACAGGAGGCGCGACAGGCTGTACGAGATGGACGCCTGGAGCGTGCTGAGCGGCGCCTGGTACGGCTTGGACGTCGTGCCCTTGCCCGTGTCGTCCTTGGACAGGGGCGGCGGGAGATTGGGCAGGTGAGGGACCTGGGACGGCGGGAGGCGCTCGGGCGCAGGGGCAGGGGGCGCCCACTCGTCGAGCTTGGCGTGCTCGGTCGTGTCGTAGCCGCTGTCGGAGAGCGAGAAGCCTGCGGGAACGAGGCGAGGGGGTCAGCTCGTGCGCGTCGTGGTAGAGGGCGAGGAGGAGAGGGAGGAGAGGGGACGCACCGCCGCCGCTGCGAGCCTGCGAGTGAGGGCTGCCCTCGGCCGAAGAGCCCTGTGCGCTGTACGAGCCGGCACTGCTGCTGTTGCTGCGTGCGGAAAGGGCGAGAAGGGAGGAGGGGAAGGGAAGGCGAGTAGAGGTCAGTGCGGGGCCGAGGCTGGGGCGGGAGCGCGAGGCGAGGAGCGAGAGGGTGGCGCACCTGCCGTGGCCGACGGGGGGCGAGAGAGGCTGCATGTGCGTTTGGTGCTGCGGGTGCGCCATCTCGAGTCGGGACGAGAGGACGACGAGACGAGAGTGAGGGGAAGGAGGGAAAGAGGAGGAGCGCGACCGGGGCGCCGAGCCGACCGACCTCGCCTCGCGCAGGCCGCTCGCTCGACCGCGCAGAGTGCTCGAGCAAGTACCTCGAGCTCTCGCTGGCGCGCATCGAGCCCTGCGGCGGTTCTGGGAGCGCGCGCAGCGTGACCACCGTCGTCCAGGCTCGTGCGCTCCTCTCGACGACTCGCCCGCGCCGACGCCCACCTGCCGCCGCCTCGTCAAGAGTAGACGAGCTGATCTGAGCAAGGGGGGAGAGACAGAGGAGGAAACAGCCTCTCTCGGAGCGAGCAGAGCTCGCGACCTCGCGCCGTCGGACCGTCACCCGTCGCACCTCCTCCTGCTCCTCACCGCGCGCCATGATGGACACACCGAACGACCCGAGGCGTTCCACAGACACTGCACCCGCCGCCGCTGGCCGCTCTACTCGTCGTCCTCGCCGCCCTGCGCCGCCGCTGCCGCCGCCGCGCGCTCCGAGGGCTTCTGGGCGTGCGCACCCCACCGCGCGATCGGGTCGTCGCGCTTTGCGCCTGCGATCTGCCACTTGAGCTGCGTGCGGAGGACAAGGACGAGTGGGGGCGAGAGAGAGTGGGTCAGGTCGCCGACGAGAGGAAGAGGAGGAGAGGGCCAGAGAGAGGGGACGCACGTCCTGCTGCTGGGCGAGGGCAAAGACACCGACGGGAACGAGGACACCCCACACGGCGGCCTGGCGCGACGTGGTGCGCGTGAAGCGGAAGAAGCGCCAGATGTTCTCCCTCTGGTGACGGGCGGGCGAGGCGAGGAAGACGAGGAGGACGACGAGGCGACGTCAGCTCGTGCGCGGTAAGAGGGGAGGGGAGGGGCGCACCATGTAGTTCCATGCCTCGACGCCGGGGTCCTTCTGCAAGCACGGGGAGACGAGAGAGGGTTAGGTCGGGCGGGAGATGGGATGGCGAGGGGGAGCGGGGAGAGCTCGCCTTGACGGGGTCTGCGGCGACGAGGCGGGTCAGTGCTGGCCTGTGCGAGGTGTGAGGGAGGGTGCGCACCGTATCCTGTTGCTCCTGCCATGGTCGCTGAGGGTTGTGGTGTGCCAACCTCGTCCTCTCCCTCTCTCCTCTCGACGTCGTCCTTGGCCACCCGCCTCGCTCTCGCAGCCGCTCTGCCTGCCCTTTCGCTCGACTCGAGCCTCGCATGTCTGCCTCCCGCTACCCGGCACTCGGCGAGCCAGGCCCGAGCACCTCGAAGCGCCGCCGAGTCGACACCCTCGAGCCCGAGACGGCCCACGAGCGGCACCAGCGCCTGTACGCCCTCAAGCGCTCGTACGACCGAGGCAGGCCACCGCCCAGACCCGCTTCCAAGCACGAGCTCGACGTCCTCAAGGAGCGCCACCAGTGCGCCCTCGCTCCCCCCTCCTCCTCCTCGATTCTCGTCGAGCGCTCGCAGGCTCACTCTGCTGCCTTGCTCTCCCTCTCTTGCTGCCAGGTTCGTGCGCGACAGCAACGTCGATCCCGCGACCCTGTCGTGGGAGGACCAGCTCGCGTTCAAGCACTGTCCGTCCATTCTTTCTCCTGCTCGACCTCGTCCGTTCTCACCGGTCGCTCACACGCACTCGTGCGCCGCAGACGAGACGCTCTTCAAGGAGTACGCGATCGTCAACCTCAAGCATTACAAGAGCGGCGCAGTGAGCCTCACGTCCTCCTGCTGCCCGGTCCGCCTCGTCCTCGCCCGTCCTGACCCGCTCGCGTCGGCTCACAGGTCGCGCTCCGGTGGCGCACCGAGACCGAGGTCCTGTCCGGCATCGGCCACCTCACTTGCGCGTCCCTGCGCTGCGCCCACCACGAGCCCTCGCCGTCGCTCCTCGCCGCGCTCGAGCTCGACGACGGCGCGGCGCCGCCCGACCCGGACGACGAGACGCCGCTCGTCGACGCGCGCCTCGAGGAGCTCGAGGTCCCGTTCGGGTACGACGAGCGCGGCGAGCGCAAGAGCGTTCTCGTCAAGGTCGTCCTGTGCCGCGAGTGCGCCAAGAAGCTGCGGTACGGGCGCAGGAAGGCCAAGGAGGACCGCGAGAGGACCGCAAGCGGGTCCGTCTCTCTCTCTCCCTCTCTGTCTCGCCGGCCTAAGGAACTGACACGGTGCTCGCGTAGGGCGGTGGCGGTGCGCTCGTCGAGCAGGGAGCGAAGCCCGCGGCGAGAGCGGCCGGACGAGGACCGGCGGCGCGAGCGGGACGACAGCAGAGAACGAGTACGTCCCCCGTCCGTCTCCCTCCTCCTCAAGAACGTCACTGACTCGGGGACGTGTGCGCAGGACTCGTCGAGGCACAGTGGGCAGCGTGCGAGCAGCCGGCGCGAGCGCGAGGGGGAGCGATGACAGGGCCCGGCGGCTGGCGTGACCGGTTTGAGCGAGGGCGAGCGCAATGTGTCTCTGAGCAGTTCTGTCGCGACGAGCGAGCGCAGGCGAGCAGGTCGAGACTGTGCGTCGCTCCGAAGAGGTCGGCGGGCGAGCGAGAGCTTAGAGCATCTGTGCCCTCAGAGCGCATGCGTGTGCGGTTGGACCGGCAGAGCTGCAGCGAGCATCTCTGCTCTGCGCTCAAGGAGAGCGTGCTCATGCTGGACCCGGACGAGGCTCGGAGGAGAGGGAGAAGCGAGCGAGCTCGAGGCGGCGACGAGGACAGGTCCGTGTGCGCTTGTTGGACGGCGAGCGGGCCCGCCGAGGTAGGTGCAGCGTGGGCGGCTTGGCAGCTGTCCAGCTGGTGGAGCGAGGCGGCGAGAGGGTGAGGTCGGGAGCCTCCAAGCTGGCCGCTGCTGCTCGTCGCCTCGTCGCCCCCCCTCCTCTCGTCTCCCTCGCTACAGCACTCCAGCGGCCCACACGTCCACCATGTCGGCCCTCTTCTCGTCTGCCCGCACCGCCGCCCGCGTCGCCCCGAGCACCCGTGCTTTCTCCAGCACGCCTGCCCCCCAGGCCACCCTCCGCGAAATCGAGGGCCGCATCAAGTCGGTCGGCAACATTGTGCGTCCCGCCGTGCCCCTTGGTCTCTCCCACGATTCTCCACGAGTACCCTCGAGCGACCGCCAACTCGCCGGAGTGGGCGAGCAGCTCGCGCCCGTGTGGCCCGGTTGCGATGACCCCCCCGCTCACTCGCTCGCACTCTGGCCACGACTCGCACTGACCCTTGCACCCCTCCCATGACCGCAGGGCAAGATCACCAAGTCGATGAAGGTGCGCCCCATCTCTCTCGCCCTCCAGCGTCGCACCCCGGCTGACCTCGCCTCCCCCCTCCCTCCCCCTCTCGCGCCCACAGATGGTTGCCGCCTCGCGTCTCGCTCGCGCCCAGCGCATGATGAACGAGGCCAAGGCCTACGGTGCCGCCAACAACGCCGTCTTTGAGCAGTCGGACGCGGCCAAGACCGAGGCCAAGGTCGAGAAGATCCTCTACATCGTCGCCTCGTCCGACCGTGGCCTGTGCGGCGGCATCCACTCGTCGGTCGCCAAGGCGGCCCGCAAGGACATCCTCTCGGGCGAGGGCGCCGGCAAGGAGATCCGCGTTGTCGCGCTCGGCGAGAAGCCCAAGCAGCAGATGTCGCGCGGCGACGGCGCCAAGGACATCGAAATGTCGTTCTCGCAGATTGGCAAGTCGGTCCCGACCTTCAACGACGCCCTCGCCATCGCCGACAAGATCGAGGCCGAGAACTTTGAGTTTGACAAGGTGCGCCCGCTCGTTTCTCCCCCTCGCCCCGTCTAGGGAGGCACTGACTCTCTCTCGCCCGCCCGCCCGCCCGCGCACAGGTCAAGGTCATCTACAACAAGTTCCTGTCCGTCATCTCGTACGAGGCCGTGTCGCTCGACATTTACTCGATGAAGGCGCTCCAGGGCTCGCCCGCGTTCGCCGCGTACGAGGTCGAGGGCGACGAGCTCGCGGGCGACCTGTCGTCGTTCGCGCTCGCCAACGCCATCTATGCCGGCCTCGTCGAGGGCTTTGCCGCCGAGATCTCGGCCCGCCGCAACGCCATGGAGAACGCGTCCAAGAACGCCGTGCGTCCTCGCTCCCCGTAACTCTCCCTCTCGCGCCGCCCGTTCCTGACCCTCTGCGCCCCGCCCCGTGCGCCCACAGGACGAGATGTCGGCCAAGTACCAGATGCAGTTCAACCGCATGCGCCAGGCCGCCATCACCAACGAGCGTGCGTCCCTTCTCGCGCCCTCGTGTCCTCCTCTCGCGACCCTCTCACTCACCCTCTCTCGTGTCCCTCGCGCACAGTCGTCGACATCATCACCGGTGCCTCGGCGCTCTAAGCGTCTCGTGCCGTCGTCGCTGGGTATAGATCTGTAGTCTGTCGAGGAGCGAGGGAGGAGGGGCCGGGCGAAGAGGTCCGATGGAGGAAGGGGAGGGGAGATCGCGAAAAGCTGGCAGTTCCTTTCGAGCGTGCATCTTGCGTGCATCTCTCGAGAGAACGAGAGAGGGTGTCTCTCACTGAGCTTGCGAGCGGTGCTCGAGGACAGGCTTGCGCGCTCTCGATGTTCCTCTCGTCGGTCCGAGAGCGGGCGAGTCGAGCGAGACGGCTTCATTGGCATCGAGAGCTCGATCTACTCGACGAGGTCAAACGGAAAGACGTCCTTTGCGCCCTTTGGCGTGACGGCCATGACCTTGTACTGTGAGCCCATGCCGCCGTGGTAGACGAGGCGCTTTGCGGCGCTCTCGATCTCCTTGCGGCGCTCGTCGGTCGACGCACCGCGCAGGAGGCCGGCGAGGCGGGGCTGGAGGCCGAGCGAGGTGAGGAAGCGCGACTGGGGGAGCGGGCCGTGCGTCGAAGCTTGAGTCGGGGAGAGGGGGGGGGGGGGGGGGGAAAGGGGTCAGGCGACGGGTTTGTGAGGGCCGAGGAGGGGAGAGAGGACGGACCGAACTCGCTCATCGACTCGGCGAGGTAGCTGAAGTCGACGTTGGCCGTCAGGTCCGTGTGGCCCGGCTCGGTGAGCGGGTCGACAACCTGGTGCTTGCGGAAACCCTGCATCGTCATGCCAATCGAGTCAGTTCTCGGTCGCGTACGCCGCACGGGGCGCTCGCGAACAGTCGAGAGAGCGAGAGACGCACCCGCCAGCTCCTGCCGAACGCCTTGGCGTCGCCATAGTCGACGACGAGCCCTGCCCCGCCCGCCGGCCCGCCGACGAGCCTCGCCGTGTCGCGCGCCACCTCCCAGCTCGACGGGCTCACCTCGATGCGCGACCCGATCGGGAGGCGCGCAAAGCGCTGCGCCGTGAGCGAGCCGGCGCCGCCGGGTGTCGAAGCCGGGGGAGCGGCTCGTGCGGCTGAAGGCGCAGGCGAGGACGGCGACGAAGCGGAACGAGGGGGCGCGCCGAGCGTCGTGTCGACGTTAAGGGTCAAGGGGCTCTTGCTGACGGGCGCGGCGGCCGAGTTGAGGTCAGGCTGGAGGTGGCCGGCCTGGACGACGTTGGGGAATGCGGCCTGCGCGAGCGACGTGTACAGGGCCGAGGCGGGCGTCGCGCCGGGCGCGAGGACGAGGCGCAGAGGCTCGTGCGTCTTGGCGCTCGCGCTGCGGCGGGAGGAGGTTAGGAGGGGTCGTCAGGGTCGGGGCCGGCGGCGAGAAGAGGGAGAGGAGGACTGGGGCGCACATGATGGTTTTCGGGTCGGCAATGTCGACGAGGACCTCGCGCCAGCCCTTTTGCGTGTTCTGCGAGTGGGTGAGAGGCGTGAGCGGTGCTCGAGACGAGGAGAGTCAGGGAGAGGGGACGCACCTCGAAGATGTGGATCGGGAGGGCGTCGAAGAACTCGTGCGCGATCAGGATCGTAAACTCGTCCTCGGCTGCGAGCGATAAGGCTGTGTCAGGTTGTTGCGCATCGAGAGAGGGAAGGAGAGCGAGCGCACACTGCGGTACGGCCGCGACGTCGGCGTGCCACTCGACCGGCGTCTCGCCAAAGCCCGTCTCGACGAGGCGCGCCTTCTGCACCCGCTTGAGCTGGTCGCTCTGCTCGACAAGGTGGATCGACGAGATGGGCGGACGAGAAGGCTGAGGGAGGGCGCGGAAAGTCTGTGCGCGCATCGAGAGGGTCAGGAGGCGGGACCTTTTCGGACGGCGAAGGAAGAGGGGACGTACACGCAAGATGTCGGCGAGGAGGGTTCCTCGACCAGGGCCGAGCTCGACGACTCGAACACGCTTGGGCGAGCCTTGCGCGAGCCACTGCGTGACGTACCAGATGGCGAGAAGCTGCGCGCGAAGAGGTGGCGGTCAGCATGACTACTACGAGAACTCGCTCAGCCGTCGCTGCACGGCGACGTGCGAGGAAGACGTAGGGGCACGACGCGACGCACCTCGCCAAAGACCTGCGAGATCTCTGGGCTCGTGACAAAGTCGCCCTCCTTGCCGAACACGGTGCGGGTCGTGTAGTAGCCGAGCGTCGGGTGGTTGAGGCACAGCGTCATGAAGCGCGGCACCGCGAGTGGACCGTGTGTCTGCAGAGGAAGGACGAGTCAGCCGCCGATTGGGAAAGGAAGGGACAGGGAGAGAGGGGCGCACCTTGATCGTCTCCTCGAGGACGGTGAGCAGCTCGCTCGGTGGCGGCCTGCTAGGGGCGGACGACGGGCTCGCCGGTGTGGCAGTCGTGGGAGCGGGTGCAGGAGGCGGCGGGCGCTCGGCGTCGGGACGGGACTGGCCGACCTGCTTGACAGATGGTCGAGGGCCGGACGGCGGCGTCGGCGGACGAAAAGTCGAGTTGGTGCGGCGGCTTGCGTGCGAGGCGAAAGGGCTGGCGGTGGCGGTCGCAGAACGACGGGCGACGCCGAAGAGCTGGCTGGCCTGCTTGGCGGGCTGCATCGTGAACGGAGAGGAGGGTCGAGGAAGAGGGTGGGAGGATCGGCTCTGGCGCGTGTCGGTTCGAGTTGAGGGCGATGAGAGAGCTATTGCGAGTGCAGACAAGAGCACGACTGAGCTGCAGGACGACGAGGGAGCGAGTTGGCGTCCTAGTCGGACAAGTTGCAGGAAAGCGATGAAGTCAACCTCGCTTCTCGCCCTCGCTCCTCCACCACAGCCTGCGACCCAGTACCGACACTGTCGAGATGAGCACCGGCTCTGTCGCCCGCCCCGTCACCAACGCCCTGCGCGCCGCGTCAGCTCCACTCGCCTCGTCGTCTCGCACCTCGTTGTCGCTCGCTCCGGCTCGTCCGGCACCTCGCCCTCGACTCCAGCAACGCAGCCCGACACCATGCGCGTGCTTCTCGACCTCTGCCAGCACCTCGAGCTCGTACCCGGCAGAACAGCCACCTCGTGCGCCCGCTTTCCCCTCCTCCCTCTCGCCGTCGTCCGGCAACCCGGTTCCAAGCTGACTCTCGAGCCCACGCAAGCAGCCTCGGCCAACGCCGCTCCGCCTCGCAAGAAGCGCACCATCCTCGACCTACAGGCCCTCAAGCGCAAGAACGTCCCCATCACAATGCTCACCGCCCACGACTTTCCCTCGGCCCGGTTCGTCGAGTCGGCAGCGCGCCTCTCGCCCTCGTCGTCCCCAACCTCGTCGTCCTCTGCCGCCTACCCTCGAGGCGTCGACATCTGCCTCGTCGGCGACTCGCTCGCCATGGTCGCGTGCGGCTACTCGTCGACGTCGGACCTCACGCTCGACGAGATGCTGTACCACTGCCGCTCGGTCGCGCGCGGGTGCACCACGTCGCTCCTCCTCGCCGACCTCCCGTTCGGCACCTACTACGCATCGGTCGACGACGGCGTGCGCGCCGCCGTCCGCCTCGTCCAGGAGGGCAAGATGGACGCCGTCAAGATCGAGGGCGGGCTCGAGATTGTGCCGCTCGTGCGCCGCCTGTCCGAGGTTGGCATCCCCGTCATGGCCCACATTGGCTTGACGCCGCAGCGTCAGGCGGCCCTGAGCGGGTACCGCGTCCAGGGCAAGACGGTCTCGAGCGCGCTCAAGGTGTGGCACGACGCGCTCGCGCTCCAGGACGCCGGCGCGTTCGCGCTCCTCGTCGAGGCCGTCCCGAGTCGGCTCGCGGCGTGGATGACGGACCGCCTCAAGGTGCCGACGATCGGCATCGGCGCGGGCCAGGGCGCGTCGGGCCAGGTGCTCGTCCAGCTCGACATGCTCGGCGTCGACTCGGACCTCGGCGCCGAGGGCAAAGGCCCGCGGTTCCTCAAGCGGTTCGCCGACGTCGGCGAGCAGGCGAGGCGGGCCGTGCGCGACTACGTCGAGGAGGTGCGCCTCGGGTCGTTCCCGAGCGAGGGCACGCACACGTACCCGATGAGCGACGAGGCGTTCGAGGGCTTCCTCGCTCGGCTCGACGAGGAGGAGGCGGCCAAGAAGGCGTAGCGGCCGGCGTAGATGGAGCAGGTTGTGCGGCAGCCTGAGAAAAAGAGCGGCGCGACGCCCTCGTTATCGACTGGAGGTCCGCCCGCACTCTTAAGAGCGGCGAGAGCGACGAGGAAAGCGTCCTTTTCCGATTCGTGCGACTCTCGGGACGACGGACACGAGAGACTGTGTGAGAAGCGCCCTTGTACGAGTGGAAGCTCGAGGTGCGACAGGGCCAGAGGTCAGGCGGATTGAGTCCGGCCGCCCACGACCGAGAGAACCGTCCCCGCTCTTGGCCAACATGCCCGCCTGCGGCCCTATCTGCGCCTGAGTGCTCGACCTGCACCTCCTGCCGACCCAGCGAGCCACCGAGCGTCCTCGAGGATGGCGCTGCCGCCTCACCCGCTCCCCTCTCGTCCACCGACGACGCAGCCGGTGCCGCCTCGCCCTCCACCACCGCAAGGGGCCCGGCCACCGGCACAACCTCGACCAGGAGTCCCACTGTCCCTCCCCTCGCGGCCCTCGTTCCTCCCGACGCCGCCGGTCGCGGCCACCGTCCCCGCCAACTCGCTCTCCACCCACCCGCCGCCGTCGGCAGCCTCGCCTCGCGTCCCGGCACCAGGCACCTTCCCGCCCGCCTCGCCAGCACCTTCACCGCACCTCCGCACCGCATTGCCGGGCGCCGCAACCGCAGCCGGCGGCGCAGCGGCCCCGCTCCCCTGGCCCACGCAGCTCGAGGCCGGCCAGGCGACGACGACCGCCCAGCTCATCGAGCTCGGCGAGGGCTGGGTTGTGCGGTACCGAGCGTGGAAGGCGCCCGCTCGCTGCCTCGACCCGCCCCTACCCGTCGACGCCGCCGCCGACCTCCTCGCGTGGGACCCGCTCGCGCCGGCCTGCGCCTCGTCGTCGGCAACGAGCGCCGCGGCCGCCCGCAAGCTCGCGAGCTCGACGGCTTCGTCCAAGGGCGATGATGCGGCGGGTCCGCCGAGCAAGAAGGCCAAGAAGGGCGGGCCCGCTGCTCGAGGGGCCGGCAACGCCTTTGACGAGCTGCTCGCCGAGGAGCTGGGCTCGTCGACGCCGGCGCTCGGCGGGCACCCGTCGCCGTCGCTCGGCACGCCCCTCGGCTCACCGTCCCTCCTCGGGCCTGCGTCCGCCGCGCCGCCGCCACCGACTACCCGTCTTCCATCCGCGCTCCGAGCCGCGATGACCGCCGCCGCCTCATCCTCCTCTTCCACCGCCGCCGCCGACGTCGGCCCCTCGACCGCATCGCCCGCTCACGGCAGCGCCAGCCCCGACTCGGACTCGTCCCCCTCGTCCCGCCTGCGCGCGCGCCTCTCGGCCCTGCGCGCCGCCGCGCCGTCCGACCCGCTCGCCCTCGCCGAGGCGCACCTCGCGCAGCGTGCGGCGCACGCGCGAGACGACGGCCGGGACCGCCTCGCGCTGCTGAGCTGGGTGGGCTCGGCGACAGTGCGCGTCGGCGGGCGTGCGGCGTCGGCCAAGGGCAAGGGCAAGGCGCGCGAGGGGGACGAGGCGGCGCCCAAGAGGGAGAGGAGCGAGGAGCGCGAGGGGGACGAGGGCAGGGAGGGCGAGGGCAGGGCGCTGTGGGTGTTCGGGGTCGTGCGAGGCGGCGAGACGGACGCTGAGGGGGTCAAGCTCGACGATCTCACGTTCGAAGGGCTCGAGCGTGCGTCCTCACTTCCTCTACTTCTCTCCCGTGCCGTTAAACATACTGACGAGCCTCTTCCTTCGACAGCTTTCGCGTCAGGCGAGTTCACGCACTCCTCGCTCTTCCCGGCGCTCTACTCGGCCGCCAAGTCCGCCTCGTCGCCTACTTGCGCCTCGCCCCTCTCGCTCCCCGCCCACGCGTACCCATCGGCGCTCGCCATCTCGGACGCCCTCGTCTCGATCCCGCTCATCGCCCAGCCGCCGCCGCCGCAGACGCTCGTCCAGGCCGCCTACGAGTCGTTCCGCAGCGCCATCTCGAACATTCTCCTCGACGAGCTCGTGCAGCAGCCCGTACCCGACACGCGCTGCGTGCGACTCGGCGCGAGCGTCGTCTTCCTCCCTCTCGCCGCGCCGACCTCGTCCACCTCGAGCTCGATCCGGTTCGCGCCGCTCTCGCCGAGGCCCGCCCTCGAGCTCTCGCTCGCCCCTCTCGCCCTCAACCGCTCCTCGATCCACCTCCAGAGCCGACTCGCGCACCTCGCACTCGCACCCCTCCCTCCTCACGTCGACGCCGGCGCCCGAGTCCGCCTCGCCCCGCTCGACGCGCGCGCGACCTTCCTGCGCGCCCTGCGCCTCCCGTCCTCGCGCCGCGCCCAGCTCGACGCAGAGTGGACGCCGCACGTCGCCGGCGCGTGCGGGAGCGTCGCCGAGCCCGACCGCACGCAGTACGTCCTGTGCGCGCTCGATGCGCCGGGCGGGACGGCGGCGACGAGCGGCGACCGCGTCGAGGTCGTCTGGCCGAGGGCGCTCGTGCTCCTCGACGGTGAGCGCGAGCAGGCGCCGTCGGCGGCGCGCGACGGCGAGCAGAAGGCTGCGGCGAGCGAGCCGAGCCCTGAGCGCCCTGCCGCGGCCACGTCAGCTGCGCCCGTCACGTCGGCGGTCGCGCCGGTCGCGCCGCCGAGCCGAGCGTTCCCCGGCGCGCCCCTACGCGCCCGACTCGCCGGGCAGCTCCTCCTGCGCGGGCGCACGAGTGGCCGCCGGCGCGGCAGCGAGGGCTCGAGCGCCGGCGACGTTGGCCAGGCGGGCGCGTTCCGCAGCCCGGTCAAGCGCCGCACGGGCGACGTGTGGCGCTGGATGGGCGACGAGGGCCGGCGACGCGAGGAGGAGAAGGAGAATGCGGCGCGGCGAGAGGCCGAGAAGGACGCGAGGGACAAGGAGGCGGCCGAGGCGCAGGCGCCAGAGTCGGCGGCGGGCAAGGACGACGACAAGGTCGTCGCGTCGGCTCACCTTCCAGCTGCGGCGCCCATCAACATGCGCACGCCGATGAGCCTCGGCGCGTCGTCGACCGAGGCGCCCAGCCCCGCCGAGCTGTTCTCGTCATCCCTCCACCCCATCCACGCCGGCGCAGCGCACCCTCCTCCTCCCTCCTCGACTGTCGGCGGCCACGACCAGTCGCACGACACCCTGCACGGCATGGACATCGACTTTGGCTTGGGCATGTACCCCTCGCCAGCCGAGCCGGCCGGCCCGCACGCGCCTGCGCCCGTGTCGACCAGCGCGCCCATGTCGACGCTCGAGACGGCCTTCCCCGAGTTCGACTGGGGAGATGGCACGTTTGGCACGAGCGGCATGAGCGGCGGCGGCGGAGGAGGAGCAGGAGGAGGCGGAGGAGGTCAAGGCGGCGGGCGCGGCAACGACGGCAACGGCGGCGGGTACGACGACGGCATCATGCTCGGCCTCACCGACGACGACTTTTCGTTCTTCGACGCGCCGACGCCGGCCCGGGCGTGTCGTCGCTCGCGCTGTCGATGCCGATGCCGCGCCGCCGCTCGCACCCGTCGCAGGCGACCTCGGCCTGTCGACGATGCCTTCGGTCTCGGGCATGGACGCCGCCTTCGACCTCTTCTCGTCGTCGGCGCCGAGCGACCTGCCCGGCATGACGTCGACCGTGTCGACGTTCGCCGCCGACCCTGCCCTCACGAGCACGACGTCGCCCCAGTTCCCCGAGGGCCCGTCGCCCGCCCTCCCCTTCTCGTTCGGCGCGTTCGACGCGCTCACGCCCAACGCTCTTGAGCTCGCGTCTACCTCGCCGGGCGCAGCGGCGCTCGCCGCCGGGCCGTACTCGCCCGTCGTCCTCCCCACAGCGTCCGCCACGCCCGCGTCGCTCGCCCTCGTCCCGCACACGCCCCACCCGGTGTCCTACTCGCCCATCATCGTCGGCCACGCGTCGCCCCAGGTGTCGCCCGGCCGAGCTCGCGCGCTGTCGGCGTTCGAGCCCGTCGCGTTCGACCCTGCCCAGGCGGCGCTCGACGACAAGTATGACCCGCGTCGCGGCAAGTTCGGCCTGCCGAGCCCCGACTCGGACCACGAGGGCCGAGCGCTCGTGCACCCGAGCGCGCAGAGCAAGGACCGCCGCTCGTGGTACTCGGCCGTGTGCGACCCTCGGATCGCCCTCGCCGAGCGCTTGCGGCGGCAGCGCCTCGGCCCGGCCAAGCCGCCGACGCAGAGCAGCAGATTGCACTGCGGCGCCTCGTCGAGCGCGACAGCCGCGGCAGCGCCGCCGCCGCCACCGCCGCATCGGGCTTGGGTTCGTCGTCGCCTCGGCGCCGCACTCGGCCTCGTTGGCGGCAGCATCGAGGGCGGCTCGCCGTCGACGTCGCAGCACACTGCCGACGAGGCCGACAGCGAGCAGTCGAGCAGCGACAGCGAGAAGGACGACGCGATGGACGTCGACCGGTCGCCGCGAGCCGGGCGTGACTCGGACGACGAGCCGCACGACGCCGAGGCGGACCGCAGCCTCGACGCGGCGTTCAGCTCGTCGCTGCTCGCCGCCGTGTCGTTCGTCAAGCGCGGCGTCGAGGCGTCGAGCGCGGCGCAGTACGTCCTCTCGTCGCAGGACGGCGCCAAGGTCGACCCGGCGCGCGACCTCACGTACCACGTCGTCACCGAGCACCTCATGCACCTCCCCGACCTGCGCGACGCGACGCTCGCCTTTTCGCGCCGGCCTCGCCGCACGAGCATGGCCATCGCGTCGCATGCGCTCGCCATCGCCTCGACCGCGCTCGCCGCCGTCTGCAGCACCCTCAGCCCGTCGCCGCTCTTCGCCGACCACACGGCGCTCGCGTCGCTCGAGCAGGAGGATGCTCCCGCGTTCCTCCTCCGCACGCAGCAGTGCGTCGTCGAGACGAGCTGCGCCGCCGTCGACTTTTGGCGGCCAATGGGCTTCGAGCCGCTCCCGGGCGCCAAGAGCGTCACGGCGTTCGTCGTCTACGAGGACTCGGGCGCCGAGGTGCACGACACGGTCAAGGAGTGGTTCAGGGCGATCGGCTCGACGTACGAGGTGCGTCTCCTCTCCCTCTCTCTTGCCTCGTCGGCGAGCCTGTAACTTACGCTCCCTCTCTCGCCTGCAGGGTCTGCGTCTCGGCTCGCACACGCCTGGGACCGTCCCGGCGTCGAACAACTTTGCCGGTGTCCAAGACGGGCTCGTTCCGCTGCCGGCGGGGCTCCTCTCGACGAGCCAGCAGCGTGAAGAGCTCAAGCTTCTCTGTACGTCCTGCCTCGTCCTCTCTCTCTCTCTCGCATGCTCCTCACTCACTCACTCTCGTTCGCAGATACCGCGTTGTCCGACACGTCCAAGACGGCGCAGAACACGGTCGTGTACCTCATCGCGCCGCTCGCCGACTCGCCGCTCGCCCAGGGTTCGCCGCTCGCGAGCATCATCCACCAGGTCGGCAAGAGTCGACATGGCGCCTCGGCCGTCAACATGCTCCCGTGCACGATCCCGATGGCGTCCCTCGCGCGCTCGGGCCCCTCGACGTCCACAAGCTCGACCGCCGGTCGCCTCGCCCGACTCGCCTTCTCGGTGTACGACCAGCTCCAGATCCCCGTCGAGCGCCTGCGGTTCCCGATGCCCGAGACGTTCCCGTCGGCTCGACCGCCGCCTCTCGCGCCACTCGGCCCGGCCATCCGCCTGTACACGGCGCCGGCCGTCAATGTCGCGCCGGCGGCGTCGTCGCGCGCGGTACAGTTCTCGCTCAGCTGGCCGCCGATGGCGCTCGAGGTCGAGCACCGTCACCGCCTCCTGCACGTGTGCTACACGTCGCGGCGGCTCGCCGAGGACAGCGAGCAGGAGTGTCTCGTCGTCGCGACCGTCGACGAGAAGGGCGAGTCGTGGAAGGTCGCGCCGAGGCTCATCAAGGCGCCGGTCGGTCCACTCGCCGACGTACAGCGCGTGCGCCTCGTGTGGAGCTTCGTCAAGTCGCTCGTCGACGCCGTCGACGTCGAGTGGCGCATCGTTCTCTGCAAGCTCGGCGAGCCGACCGGGCTCGAGGCCAAGAGTGCGTCCTCTCCCTCCCTTTCTACTACTCTCTCCGATCGTGTACTCACCTTCGCTCGTTATCTGTGTGCAGCGTGGGACTCGCTCCTCAAGGAGTACCTCGCCGTCGTCCGCCGACCTCTCCACGTCACCTTTGCCTGCGCCGAGCTCGACCCAGCACTCGCCGTCCTCCCTCGCCACGCCTTTCCTGCGCAGAGCTCGGCGGCGTCGTTCACGTCGATCGAGGACGGCCAGGCGTCAGTCGCCGGGAGCGTCGGCAGCGTCGGCAGCGGCAAGACGACCCTCTTTGACGCCACGCCGACGACCCTCACCTACACGCCGACCGAGCCAGTCTCGCTCAGCACCCTCGCCTTCACTCCCGCCGCATCGTCGTACTTCCTGCACGTCCCGCGCATCTCGTCGCACGCCCACTCGACCGTCGACCTCGGGTCGCCCATCGACCCGTCCTCGACCTCAGCCTACGCCGTCCACTTCTTCCTGTCGCACGCCTCGCGCACCTCGTCGTACAAGGCGACCCTCGGCGCGCTCGTCGGCGACGTGCGCCGCAGCTTTGTCGAGCTCGCCGCGCTCGGGCAAGTGCGGTGGGGCACGAGCGGCCGGCTCGCATGGCACCTCGAGGCGACCGGCCTCGCCCTCCTTCTCGCCGAGCAGCTGTCCTAGATCTTCCTTCCTCTTGTCGTATTCGTCGTCCCCTCCACCCTTCCCTTGCCTGTCTGTCGGCATCGCATCGTCGCCCTTCTTGTTGCCCTCCCCCCTCGCTCTGTCCTTCGCACCGCACCTCCGTTCTCTCCCAGTCTCTTGCATTCGAGCATCTTCCACGCCTGTATCATGCCCTTGTGCGAGCGTGGAGCACGTGCGACTCGGCGCTAGCTCGAGGCTCGACGCACGGACCTTCGCAAATCGACCTTCGCAAGTCGACCTTGACCTCTCCCGAGACCGCGCATCCTGTGTCCTCGCCGCCTGCCGCATCTCAACGTTTGCGGACGAGCTCTGCAAGCCGCAACGAGCTGGTGTGAGTCCGCAGAGCTCGCCGCAAAGAGCAGAGCGGGACGATCCCGCCTCGACTCGGCCACGCTTGCTGGCTTTCTTGCTCTTCCTCGCGCTCTGGCTCCTCTGCTCCGCCTCTCCTGCTCTTCGCCGACTACTATGGACGACCTGATCACCCTGCGCACCTCGGACGACCCGCCCGTCGAGCTCAAAGCCGCACGCTCGGTCCTCGTCGCCGGGAGCAAAGTCTTTTCCGACATGCTCTCGCTCCCGCAGCGCACGACGACGAGCGAGGACGGCGCCATCGACGTCGCCGAGACGGACAGCGAGCTGTCCCCGTTCCTTCGTCTCCTAAACCTGTCGCACGACGAGGGGAACCCGCTCGAGGAGCTCAAGGTCGACGACTGGCCCGTTGTCGCCCGCCTCGCCGACAAGTACGACTCGGCGACGGTCAAGGGTCTCGCTCTCGGCATGTACTGGTACGCACTCGTTGTCCTCTTAGGCTGGTCGGGAACGACGCTGACCCGCGCAACGCCGACAGGAAATGGCGCAGCGCCGACTCGGAGCACGTCGCGTCGTACCGGACGGCGGCCGCACTCTCGGACAAAACGCTCGCCAAGTTCTCCCTTTTCCGACTGCTCCAAGACGGCCAGCAAGAGATGATCGATGCGGCGCTGCAAGGGCGCAAGGACGAGCTCGTGCGTCCTCTCGACCTTTTGCAAAGCTCAAAGCTGACCGTCTCTCCGCCAGGACGTCTGGATCGGCAAGCTCAAGCTGCACGCTTTCGAACACTCGCTGACGGATCTATACGTCACCAATAGCCCGTTCTGCTCCGGGTGCCTCAGTATCCGCGTGACGGTGCAACGGCCAGATTGGGACTCGGCGATGCGCAGCTCTATGGCGCGCTGGACGGCGCAGAATGCCGGTGCGCCATTCCACAGGAGTATCACGGGCTGTGCCGAGAGTCGGGAGGCGTGCGCCAGTTGCAGGGAGACTGCCGGACCTCGCTTCGACCAAGCGTACCGCGACTCGGCGCCCGACTTTCCCCTCTAGCCTCTCAGTGCGTCCCTCCCTCTCCTCCCACTCGTCCCTGTCGACGTTCCCGCACCAACCGAGCGACCCACAGCCCTCCTCCCGCCGCCGCACCCTCCCTCTCGCGCGCACGGTCCTCGACCTTCCCAAGTCGCTCTCGCTCGTTGTGCCCTCCCTCGCGCCCTCTATCTCGTTCTTGAGCGTGCTGGAACATCTATTGCGGCGGTCTCGAGCGTTGCGAGTCGAGAGGAGCGAGCGAGCGAGCGAGCAGGAGAGCGCGACGAGGGCTCGAGCCGGTGCGACGACGGCGAGGGGCGCAGCGTTTCGACGACAGCGAGTCTCGCTCAGCGCTCGAGAGGCCGAGAGGACCGAGACGAGCGTAGCACAGGATGGCGCTCGCAGCGCGCAACGACGAACGCTGCCTCGACGCCAAGATCCCTCGCCACGACACACAGCTCTCATTCGCCGCCGCTCGCACAAAAGAAGAGAACGACCATGCTGCGATGCACCTCCTGCAACCACTCCGTCGCCCCTGTCTGCTCCTCGCCGATCCTCCTCGACCCTCTCGTCCAGACCCGACGCGAAGCGAACCTGCGAGTGCGCGCGAGAGGAGGGGGGCGGGTCAGCTCGTCTGCTCGGGCACGTCGGCGTGTGGCGGGTGCTGGTTGCGGGTGCGGTGCTGTAGCGCTGCGAGGCGGGCCGATCCCTCTGCGAGACGAAGAAGAGGGTTAGCTCGTCGGTCCACGACAGGCTCGAGAGGGGGAGAGAGAGGGAGGGTGGGACGCACCAGTGTAACTATGAAAAGCCATCACGGCCCCACAATGGGAGCTTTGGCTCTCCCTCCGCCCCCCGAGGAGGACGAAGGTGACGAGGATTGACAATACGCAAAAATTGGCGGATGCGGATCATCCGTGGGACGTGTTGGCGGGCTGCAGGCGGGCGTGCTGGAGGAGGGGGTGAAGGAGAGGGGGCGTACAGGTGGGGCGAGAGGCGATGAGAGCGGGTTGCTGTCAGGTGAGGGAAGGGAGAGAAGGGAGATGAGCTCGAGTGCGAGGGTTGCCGCGCGCGCGCGAGAGCGCATACAGCGAGGGAGGTAGGGAGGGGAGACGCACCTAGTTGTACAACACGAGATACTGCTGGAAGACGCTCGAGTCGACACGCTCATGCCTCGGCGGCGGCGTCTGGTGCTGGCGCACGAGCTGCGGCTTGCCTCGCCTGCTCGACGAGGAGCGGCGGGGGCACGGCCGCCTGCCACAGGTACTTTGACGCGTGGCGGATAGGCTCGTAGTCCTTGTCGGCGGGTGTGGTGCGCTTGCCCTGCGTGCGTGCGTTCGGGCAGAGGGTGAGCCGGCTGTGTGAGGCGAGGAGGGGGGAGGACGAGGAGGGGGAGGGGGGGAGCTCACCTTCCAGAAGTGAACGCCGTACGCGCGACCGTGGAGCTTGCCGTTGTCGGCCGGGGTGAGCTTGACCTTCTTGACCTCCCAGCGGCACGAGTTGTCGCCAGTCGAGGCGGCCGAGCTGGTCGGGACGGGGAGGCCCTTGCCCGCCCAGCGCGACTCGTACACGGACGCGCCGAGGCCGTTGCGGGGGAGGAGGGCGAGGAGACGAGGGAGCGGAACTGGGACGGCGCGCTGCATCCTCGGGGCCGTGTGAGGATGGGAGAGCGAGAGAGCTCGGCGGGGAGGAGAGCGACACCGGGCTGGCTCCATCCCTCGGCCGCACCCAGCTTGTGGACTGCCTTGCTCTGCTCCAGCACCGCTACAGACCCTCTAGCCACCAACCAAGACCCGTCCGACCTTGCCCCGTGCCACCCTCGCCTCGCTTCCCTCCCCTCCGCACCGCCTCCCTCATCACCTTCCTCCTCAACTCGCCCGCCAGCCATGCCTCGCAACGACTCGACCGCCCACAAAAAGTCCAAAGGTCCGTCCCTTCGATCTCCTGCGCCCGGCCCACCCGTCAGCGCGTGCTCACTCTCCTCCTCCTGCAGCAACTCCACCCGCCAAGAAGACTGCGTGAGCCCGCTCGTGCCACTCTCGTTGCCCGCCTTCTCGCCACGCCTGCGAGGAGCAGCACTGATAGGTGGGTAACGCGTCTCACAGGACCCGCAAGGGCAAGTCGTCGTCGTACAACGCCGTGCGTCCTCGACCTCTCGCTCTCCCTCTCCCTCGCCTCCCAGCGCCGACACTGACTCGCGCGCACGCCCCCACCTCGACGAGCAGTACATGAACACCAAGCTCGCCGAGCTCAAGAAGGCCGACCCGGCGCTCAAGCACTCGGAGGCGTACGAGCAGGCGTTCGCAGAGTGGAAGGTGCGTCGCGCTTGCGCTCTCGCCCTCCTCTTGGCTCTTCCTGTGCCTCTCCGTACAGCCAGCAGAGATTGACGGCACTCTTCACTGTGCGCAGAAGTCGCAAAAGGGCAAGATAGCGAAGTGAGCGCTCGAGCGCCCCTCCTCGTCGACGTCTTCCTCTCGCTCTTGCCCTCCATCTAGACCTCCCTCTCGTCCCTTGTTGTCTGTAACGCCTGCGCATCGTCGTCATCTTCTCCAAAGGCCGTGCGAGAGAGCTAGCGGGCGCGCACAGGAAGCTCGAAGGACTCGAAAGAGGAACCCGCTCCGGGTCGCGCTCACGGACCTCTCGCTCCGGCTCTCGTTCCTCTTGCTCTCGCTCCCACGCACACGACGAGCCGCAGAGAGAGATGTATGTACGACTCGCTTTGCACACGCTTTGTAGAGGGGAAGATTAAGGTACGGCGAGGCTAAGGGTGTCGGGGGAGGGGGGAAGAAGATTAGCGAGAGGAGGGGAGAGGAGCGATGGATGAAGGGGTTGGGCTTTGTACGATGTAGGGTGGAGTGCGGGGAGGAGCTTGAGCTACATGTGGGTGGTGAGGAGAGGGAGATGAGGGCGAGGGAGAGCTGGCTCGGTGATCGGGGGTGCGAGCGCCCGAGTCGAGACGCGGCGAGGGAGGGACGACGACAACGTTTAGACGTCGACCATGGCGCCACCGAAGCCGTTGCCGCTGCGCGCCGAGCGGGCGCCGGCGAACAGGGTGTACGCGAGCATGAGGGTCACGATCTGCGAGAGGGAAAGAGGGGGAGAGGGTCACTTCTCGCTCGCCGGGCTTTCAAGAACGAATCCCTGTCTCGACGGGCGACCGCCGGACAGGGATCCTTGAGAGAACGAGTGCGAGAGAGAGAGAGGACGCACGACAAAGTTGATCCAGCCGAACGCCTCGAGCGCGTTGAGCGTGTGGCAGTGGGGCGCGTCGTAGTTGCCGCAGTCGAGCGAGCCGCCGAGCGAGGCGGCGAACGCGGCCGTGCCGGCGAGCCTGTGCGACAGTGTGAGCGTGTCAGTCTCATGCGTCGAGAAAGGCCACGGCGCAGCAGGCGTGGGGAGACCTGAACCGCCCTCGCGCCAGCGAGCTGGCCGCGCACGACGCAGAGAGACGGGGGCGTACCAGAAGACCCAGGTGATGAAGAGCCACGCGACGTGCGACGCGATCGAGAAGAGGAACGAGGTGGTCGCCTTGAGGAAGCCGACGAGGTAGAAGATCGAGAAGAAGAACGTCCACAGGCCGGTGAAGAGGAGGAACCGGACGCGGTCACTGCGGGGCGTGTCAAGGGAGAGTGTCAGTTGCAAGGTCGCCCAGTCTAGCCCCACCTGGACGACCGCGAGACGGCCGCCGAGGAGGGGGGGGCGGAGAGGCGCGGCGGCGACGCACCGGACCGAGTTGCTCGGGTAGTTGTTGTTGGAGTTGTCTGTTGCGAGGGGGGCAGGGAGCGAGTCAGCGCTGCCTCGCGCACGAAGCCGAGGACCCCCGCCTGAGGCGGTTCTCGATGAGGAAGGCCGGCGGCATGACGGCGGAGGCGGGTTGAGGCGAGGGGGTGAGGGGGGAGGGCTCACAGGTGTTGACGAGGTACGCGGCGATGGCCCACTCGATGAGCGAGAAGAAGATGAGGAGCGAGAAGGTGACGACGTGGCCGCGCTTCTGCAGGACGAGCGAGGACGAGGTGAGCCGACTCGCGTCCAGGTTCGGCAACCTCTCGCAGAGGCGAGGGGGGAGGGGGACGACAGGAGGGAGAGGGGAACGCACGGTGTGAGTGTCGAGGCCGGGCATGGTGAGAGGCGGAGAGAACTTGTGTGGCTTGAAGAGGGAGAAAGCGAGTTGTGGTCGAGGGCGAGAGAGGGAGAGAGGGGGAGAAAGTACCGCGGCGCTAGCAGCAGAGCGAGCGGCGATCGTGACGTGACGCCGCTCCCAGCTCGCCTCGGGCCCGACCACGCTCTTCCAGCCTCATCTCTGTCGCTGCCCAATTTGTACACTCTCCGTCGTCGTGCAACCCAAATCGCACTCACACTCGCGGACAGATCGTCGTTGCACAGCTCGACTCGGACACCGCCTCGCAAGTCCTGGATCCTCGCCTCGCTGCTCACTTGGCCTCGTCCTGCTTGCCCTCGTCCTCGGCCTCCTGCATCGACAACGCGACTGCAGACACGAAGGAGAAGAGTCAGCGAGAGAAGAGCAAAGCTGGCGAGATGAAAGAGAGAGGTGGGACGCACTCGCTCGCGCAATGTCGTCCTCCTCGTCATCGTCGACCGTGTCGTCGAGCGCGCCCTCGTGCCCCTCGCCCATCTCGACGTCCTCGACCTCAACGTCGTCGACGCCCGCACTGAGCGCCAACGCCCGCTTGAGGTCCTCGTCCTCGTCGTCGTCGTCGCCACCCTCGCCCGCCTGCCCCATCTCGACCTCGCCCGCCGGCGCCGGCGCCGAGCCCTCTGGCGGGCCCTGCAGCATCGTCTCGGAGCTCGTCGGGAGCTGGGCGCCCGTGAGCTGCGCCCCCTGCGGCTCGGTCGCCGGCGTCGGGTCCGTGGTCTGCGTCGAGACGCCCTCGGGCACGGGCTCGAGAGCGGCGGCGGCCGACGTCGACGTCGACGCGTTGGCGGCCGCTTGGCGGGCGCGCTCCTCCTCGAGTGACATGCGGAGAGCCTGCGAGCGAGAGGGAGATTCAAACGAGGCCTACGCCGTGAAGCCGCCGCCGAGACGAAGCCGTCGGGCAGAGGCGAGACGAGGGAAAGCACTGCCGACGCACCATGGCGAGCTCCGGGTCCAAGTTGGGGTCGACGCCGAACTCGTCGGCGTTGGCTCCTCCTCCACCTCCCGCACCGCCCATGTCGTCGTCGCCGGCGCCCTCTGGCCGCAAGATGGCGCTCTGCATGACGCGCTCCGACAGCAGGTGCGGGCCGGGCTCGACCGACAGGAAGTGCGAGTTGTCCGACGACGACGTCGCCTCGACGAGCGCGGCGAGCTTGGCGTCGTTGGATTCGGGCGCGGCGGGCGCGGCGGCGGTCGAGGCGGCGGACGAGGAAGAGGGGAGGGACGGGATCGAGAGGTCGACGTCGGGCGTGCCGAACGAGATGATGTCGAGCGCGACGTTGTTCTTCTTGAGCTTCTTGCCGAGCTGCGCGCGTGAGAGAGACGCCGTCAGGGACAGGGAACGCGAGACGAGGTAGGTGCAGACGAGGTCGGACGGACCTTGACGAGGGCGGCCTGGCTGTCCTTGAGCGGACTGCCGGCAAAGACGACGATGCGCTGTCGCTGGTTCTTGTTCTGGCGGTGCTTGAGCGCGAGCTGCGGGAGGTGGCGGCCAGGGTTAGCCCCGCTCACGAGGCGAGGAGGACGAGGACGAGGCGACGCACCTGAGCGACCTGGATGCCCGTCATGAGGTCGGCCTCGCCGCTCGACTTGACGTCGTGAAGGGCCGCCATGACCTTGCCCTCGTCCTGAGTGAGCGTGACGAGGACCTCGGGCCTGTGGAGAGGTGGGGAGGAGGAGAGAGGTCAGTAAGATCTGGCCTTGGAGCTCCTGCCGGACGCTGTCCATGCTCTTGTGCCAGCTCGAGATGTCGCTCGCGCCGTGCTCGGCCCGCCAGAGGCGCCGTGAATGCTCGCTCGTGCGAGGGCCTCGTCATCATCGTCGAGCTCTGTCGAGCGACGAAGCGACCAGCTCGGGCGGTGGGGACCGGCTCGCCGGGGCAGGCGAGAGAAGTGGAGCTCGTGCAGGAGCACACGGTGGCTCAGGAAGGGGCGAGGAAGAGAGGGCGAGGGAGAGGAGACGCACCCCTTGCCGGCCATGACCATGAGGCCGACCTCGTTTTCCGGGTGAGCGTTGATCTTTGTGCCCATGATGGTAAAGATGCAGTCGGACTGGGCCTGGAGGCGGTTGGCTGCGAGGGGACGTGGGTCAGTTCGGCGGGTCGACATAGACTCGGAGGAGGGACGAGGCGAGGGGCGCACGGATGAAGTCGCCGTTGAGCGAGTGGGCCGAGTTGTCGAGCACGATCATGGTGGCCTCGAGCGACATGGTGCTGGTGCTCTTGCTCGAGAGGCGAGCGTGGTGGAGAGAGCCGCCCCCTCGTCGACGTCGCTCGCTCTCCGCGTCGAGCCCTCGAGCAACTGTCGCGCAGAGCTTTGTGGGCGTGATCAGGTGCACTTCGACACCGTCAGAGAACACACTGTCCCGCTCATCCCGCACAGAGAGACACATTTGCCGTCAGCTTTGCGCGACGACGACGACGAGCACCGCCTCGCGCTCTCGCTCCACCTCGAGCCCACCAGCTGGGCACCTCTCGAGCCTGTCCTACAGCTCCTGTACGCAAGCACAGCCTAGCGAGCACAACACCTCTCGCCTGCGCTATCGTCCTCGCCGCGCACCCCCACCTCGACCTCGCTCCCGACTGTCCGCCTCCAGCGCCGAGCCAGCAACGACTGGCACTGCAGCGCGCACTGCATCCCTGTCGCAAAGAGCTCTACTCGCACCCGACGACCGCGCCGCACAAAGGACTCGCCGCGTCATGGCCCTCTCCTCGTCGTCGTCCCGAGCGGCGCACACGATCCCCATCTCGCAACGCCTTCCCCCGACCCTCGTCCAGCGCGCCCACCTCGTCCTCTTCAACGCCTCGTTCCTCGCCATGATCCTCGTCCTGCACGCCTTCCAGCTGTGCGCCATCCCCTCCCGCACGGGCAAGCGCCTCGCAAAGGAGGCGTTCGGCAGCGTCCTCGTCGCCATCGTCGCCCTCTTTGGCCCGTCCAAGCTCGTCATCACCGTCCAGAAGGACGACGGACCCGGTGGCGTCGCGCTCGAGGACCTCGTTGTGCGCGACGCGAGGGGCAAGGTCGTCCGCCTGCGGCTCGACCGCGAGGCCGTCCTCGTCTCGAACCACCAGGTGCGTCGTCGAGTCCTCCTGGTCGAGCACGTCGTCTTCTTCTCGGAGTGGGACTGACCTCGTAACTCCGCGTTGTTCTTCTCGTCGCACAGATGTACGCCGGTGCGTCCCGCTCTCTCTCCCTCGACCTCTGCGCACGAGCGAGACGCGGATCCTGACCTTCTCGACTCGCCTACACAGACTGGATCTATCCCTGGATCGCCATGTCTTACGCCGGCGTTGCCAACGGCCTCGTCATCGTCCTCAAGGCGTCGCTCGAGTGGGCCCCTCTCGTCGGTTTCGTGCGTCCTCGCTCTCTCTCTATTTCGCCGACACCGAGCCCGAGCTCACGCGAGACATCGTCGTACCACAGGCCATGCAGCTCTTCCGGTTCTGCTTCATCAACAACACGACCAAACCGCTCGACAAGTCGAACCTGGTCCCGGTCGCGCGAGAGGCGAAACGGCGCGGCGAGCCGTACCAGTGCCTCCTGTTCCCCGAGGGCACCCTGTACTCCAAGTTGACGAGGCCCAAGAGCAAGGCGTACGCTGAGAAGGTCGGCATCGTAAGTCGGCGACGTTCCTCTTTCCTCCTTTTTCTTCCTCCCTCCTTCCCCGGCCCGAGGCGACCGAGCGATGCCGCCGTCCCCGAGCGAACGTCTCTCGTGGATGATACTGACTCTGTCCTCTCGCCCGCAGCCCGACACGACGCACGTCCTCCTCCCTCGAGCGACCGGCCTCCACCACACCCTGACGGCGCTCTCGGCCGCCCCGGGCGCGCCGTTCCCGTCCCTCACCCTGTACGACCTCACGATCGGGTACGCCGGCGTGCCCGCCCAGGGCTACGCCCAGGACTACTACCGCCTCCAGACCCTGTTCGGGTACCGCGTCCCGCCGCCGACGGTCCACGTGCACGTGCGGCGCGCGCGCGCAGCGCACGACGTGCCGCTCGACGACCGCGCCGAGTTTGACACGTGGCTCCGGCGCAGGTGGGACGACAAGGACCGGCTCATGGCGCACTTTGGCGAGCACGGCCGGTTCGAGGGCGCAGAGGGGGTCGGGGACGAGCGCGCAGAGCTCGACATCCGGTTGAGGGCGGTCGACTTTGCGCGCATGGGCGTGTGCGTCGCGACCGTGTGTGTCGCCGTGCGGGCGCTGTGGTGGACGTGGAGCGCGGTGGGGAGCGTCAAGGGTGGTTGAGCGGGTCGAGCGCACTCTCTTTCAATCGCAGCACTGCCATCCTTTGCCTCTCAACATCTCGGTGTCTCGAGAGACGCTGCTGCGAGGCACGTTGTACGAGAGAGCGAGAGCTACTCGTCCTCCCGTCCTGCCTGCGCACGAGCCTCCCTCGGCGGCGGCCGGCCCCACTGCGGCCTGCGCCTCATCGTCGCCCGCTCGCCCCTCCTCCAGCTCTGCTGCCCCATCTCGCTCAATCTCCTCGCTCGTCCGTCCTGCCCCTCGCCGTCCCCCTCCTCCTCTGCTCGCCGCCGCGCCGCCTCTTCGTCCTGCTCGGGGAACAAGACCCGGAGCGCCTCGCGGCTGTGGGGCGCGCGCATGGCCTCGGCCAAGCTCGCGCGCTCCTCGTCGGCGCGGCTCCCGCCCTCGAGCTCGTAGATGGCGACGAGCGGCGCCGCCTCGGAGCGCAGGACGCGCGTCGGCAGCGCGCGGAACGGGTCGTGCCGCCGCGGGCGCGCGCCGCCGCTCGACGAGGCCGAGAGCGAGAGGGACGACGGCGTCGACGAGAACGAGCTCGACGACGACGAGGGCCCGAGCTGTGCGGCGAGGTGCGCGCGCGACTCGCGCAGGAGGAAGACGCGCAGGGCGTGCCGCCCCCAGCCTCGGACGTACGCTCCTCCCCGCTCGTCGCCCTCCTCGGCGCGCCGCTCGAGCGCCCTCCCGCGCTTGACCTCGGCGGCGTACAGCCACAGCATGCTCGTGAACGCGTGCGGCGGGACCACCCACCCTTTGCGGCCGTCGGTGCGCGACAGCTCGGCGGCCCACCGCGCGTTGCGGAAGACGCGCTCGGCGAGGCCGGTGCGCCCGGCGCAGGCGAGCGCGTGCAGGAGCGTCGTGTAGAGGTACGGCGAGCGGCCGGTCGAAGGAGGAGCGCGAGACGCGCCGTCGCGGTGCGCCGAGAGGAGGCGCGAGGTGGCGTCGCTCGCGGACGGGGACGACGACGAGACGGCGTTGGCCGTCAGGTCGAGCTCGGGCAGGAAGCGGAACACGAGCCGCTCGATCTCGTCGTTCGACGCCGTGCGCGCGACGTGGCTGATGAGCGTCGGCGCCGTGCGCTCGGACCCACTCCCTCGCTCGTCGTGCTCCTGCGCCCGCCTCAACGCCCGCTCGACGCCGCGCTCCTCGCCGCCGTCGAACGCGCCGAACAGGACGTTCTCGGTCGCCGCGCTCGGCTTGAGCCCGAGCTCGTGCATGCGCTCGAGGACGGCGAGCGCGACCTCGGGCGACTCGAGGCGGTGCAGCGCGTACGCGAGGAGCGCGTTGAGGTCGAACAGGCCGAGGGCGAGCGCGCGCCGCGCCGCGTCGACCGACAGCGCTGCGCCGAGCGACGTCACGAGCGTCGTCGACGCCGCCGCCGCCGACGACGACGAGTCTAGGACGATTTCTCGCCCGACGACGTCCTCGAGCACTCGCCGCAGCGCCTCTCGCGCCATCCTCGCCGCCGTAACGTGCGCCCGTGCATGTCGGCGCCTTGTTGAGCCACGCTTGAAGAGGAGCGGCGACGGCGCGTCGGGCACCTTGACGAGGAGGTGGACGAGCGCGCCGATCGCGCCCGAGCGGTCGGCCTTGGCGGCGCCTCGAGGACCCGGCTCATCGCGAGCGAGGCGGGCCCACGAGTCGTCGAGCGCTCGCGCGAGGTGCGCGACGGCGCCGAGTGCGGCGAGCGACGGCACGGCGGCAAAGTGGCGTTGGGCGTCCCGCATCTGCTTCGACAGGCGACGGACGGCGCGCACGAGCGACGTCGGCGACTTGGTCGGGTCGTCGAGTTTGGCGAGCCAGTCGGCGCAGAACTGGGCGGCGACGTCGAGCTGCTTGGCGTGCAGGGCGAGGTCGATCGAGCGCGAAAGGGCCTCGGGCGTGCGGCGACGGCGCAGGCGGGAGAGGGCGAGCGAGATCGAGAGCGCAGTCGAGGCGTGGGTGCGGTCGCGGGCGATGTGAAGGAAGAGGCGGTCGAGGGAACGGGCGGGGAGGGATGCGGGAGGTCGCAGGGACGTCGCGGCGGGCTCGCCTGCCGCGACGGCGCCGAGCGACTCGGAGGGCAAGGTTGCGCCGTCCCTGCTCCACGCCTCGACGCTCGGCGACGCGGTGCGCTCGCGCGGCCGCTTGGCGAGCGCGACTCGCGGCATCGACGCCGTCGGCGGCGTCCCGCCCTCGACCTCGGCCGTGGCGCGGTCCCGCTCGACGCGCTCGTCCCACCTCTCGGCAGCGCGCTCGTCTCGCGAGCGAAGCACCGCGCCCCACATGACCGTGTCGAACTGGAGCGCGTGCCGCGTGATGCGGATGGCGACGGGGAGGAGCGCGTCGGCGGCGGGTGAGGGTGTCGGGGTGGCGAGAAGGCGCAGGATGGCATGCAGGGCGGCGGCAGCGGGTAGCCTCCACACCCAGGTCTCGGGAAAGATGAGAGGGGTGGGTGGGGACGAGGAGGATGAGGGCGAGGGTGGATCGGGGAGGAAGAGCTTTGGCTCCTGGTTGACGAGGTGGAGCTGCCGGAGCGTGAAGGCGGCGTCCTGCGGCGAGGCCGGGATCTGTCGGCGGAGCTGTGCGGCGAGGCGGAACAGCTGCAGGTTGGGCGGGTTGGGTCGCTGCAGCGGCTGAGCGAGGCTGAGGGTGCCGCGGTTGTCCTGGGCGGCCTGCTCGGCCTCGGCGGTCGCCCGGCTGGTGGCTGCTCGCGCGCCGATGACGGGGATGAAGCAGGTGGCGAAGCTGATGGTGCCAATGTGGACGAGGAGGAGGGACGGCGACAGGGCGGCTCTCGGTCGGACGAGGGACGGTCGAGGAGGGGCGAGGGTCGAGAAGCCGGGCGAGCGCTGCAGTGGCCGGCTCGCCGGTACTCGCCGTGGTCTTGCACCGTGTAGTAGCCCTGCCGAGCGCATCTGTAGAGCGGGCAGAGAGCGAGAGTCAGGCTCGAGAGACTTCATCGCCAGCTCGCGTTCACTCCCCCCGTCCTCCCTCCGTCACGGCACTGCTGCACTCGCCGCACGATCTAGGCACTCTGGTGGCCCGCATATCGATCTGGCAAGCGCGAGCGCAGGCCCGCAGGCTTGTGCTGCTGCCGCCGGCTCGAGTGGTCGCGAGGGGAGGAGATCTTGGGGGCAAGGGAGAGCGAGGGACGCACAGTAGCTGCTGCGACGCTTGCTGCCGAGTCTTCTGAGCCTCGTGCGACCACTGTGGGCTGTAGCTGGCTCGGGTCGGATGCGAGAGGTGACAGGCAGAGGTTCGATCGCGCAGCGTCTCTCGAGCCGGCGACGACGAGAGCTCACTCTCTGCAGGCACTCGCGCTTTCGGGCTGCTCACGGGGTCTACATCTCTCCGGGTGCCTCCCCGATCAACGACGCTGAGAGGAAAGACGATGCGGCTGCAGCTGCGAGGTGAGGAGAGGGGAATCGACAAACGGCGACGGGCGACGAGGTATACGACACGGCGAGAAGGGGGCGCGGCCGGCAATGCGACCATGAGGGCGAGGGTATGGACGAGGGGAGGCTGGGGGAATAAGGGGCTTGCGAGAGGGCGGGTCTAGCTGGCGAGCGATGGGTCGATGGCTGCGAGCGGGACGTGCGCGCGAGGTCAGGACGCTGACGGCGACAGGCCGACAAGGAGATATGCAAGGCGACTCACCCTTGATCCAGTCGAGCATGTCGCGTAGGGAAGGGGCAGCGAAGAAGTAGCTGCGGCGGGAAGGGTGCAAGGTCAGCCGGACTGAGAGCCGAGTCGAGGAGCGGGCCAGGGGAACGAGACGGCGCACCTGTTTTGGGGGGTGAAGATGGCAAATGCGTGCTTGCGCTGCAGAGACAAAGGACAACGAGGTTAGTGGTCGAGGACGAGGAGAGGCAGGGAGAAAGCGGGACGCACCTCGAGCATCTGCTCGATCTCGGGCGACTGCTCGACGCGCACGGTCGACACGTTGATGACGGCCGCCTCGTCGACCTCCGAGTTGGACGAGTAGACGTAAAGGTACGGCCGGCGCAGGACGAACCAATACTTGCGCCACTGGTTGCTCGTCGGGTCGCGCAGGAGCGAGAGGATGCCGCGCTTGTTGACGGCCTCGCTGCGGGACAGGGGGGGACGGTGTCAGGCACTGTTGCTCCTTGAGAGAGAAGGACGAGAGGGACGTACGACCGAGAGACAAGGGTCGACGAGCCGACGAGCTTGGGCGGCGACGGCGAGGTCATTGGCGGTGACGGCGCCGAGAGGTCAAGGACGGCGGCGACAGGCTGCTCACGCTCGAGCGACACCTGCAGGCATGTGACGTCAGTACTGCTCGACGAGGGGAGGAGACGAGAAAGAGAGAGAGAGATTGGGCGCACCTCGCCGGTCGGCCCGAAGCGTTTCTGCCAGAACGCGAGCACGAGGTTGATGCGGTCCTCGGGCCTCGCGTCCTCGACCGTCGGCAGCGTGAGCTCGTACGCGCCGAGCACCGCCCTCGTCCCCTCGACGTCGGCCGTCCTGCGCTTGGCCGCGCTGCTCGAGTCAAAGTCGCGCACGAGCGACAGCCCTCGGGGCTTCCACCCGGCGAGGAGCTCCTCGCCGCGCACGTACGTCTCGGACGTGTCGAGGCGCCACACGTCGCCTGGCTTGCGCGTCGTGTGCGGCCGCAGGACGACCGAGAAGACGGCCGACACGCGCGACAGGAGCTTGGTCGAGTTGAACAGGGTGAGGAGCTTGGACGGCGACCGCGAGTCGCGTGACGAGATCGTGACGGCGATGTCCATCGAGAACAGGACGGGCGAGGTGCACCCGGCGACGTCGACCTCGAACGAGAGGCGGATGAGGGCGCGCGAGCCCGACGGCGTCGACCGGTTCAGGTGCGGCGAGTCGTGGACCGAGCTGTCCCACGCCGCCGCGAACGAAAGGGTCGCGATGCCGTCGTTGGCGTACTGCGGGCGCGGGGTGCCGATCCCTCGCAGCTCGGCGTCGGCGGCCGACGTCGCGGCGTGGGTCCGACCGCGCGAGTCGAGCATGCGCACGTTGCCGAGCGACACCTTGGACACGCGCCGCCAGGCGAGCGCCCGGCCCGAGTTGTGCGACAGCTCGAGGACGAACCGGCGCTGGATGCCCTGGCGCAGGAAGAAGGCGCCCGAGTCGAGCGCGTTGGCCGAGACGACCTGGACGGGCACGTACTCGCCCGCCTCGCCGAGCTCGCGGATCTCGACCCTCGCGAGGACGTCGTGCTGCTGCTGGCCGATGAACTCGGTCTCGGGCCGCCTCGTCACGTCGCCGTTGGCCGGGTCGCCTCGCACCGGCGGCGCGTTGGCGACCTTGGCGAGGGTCGGCGCGTCGCGCGCCTCGTCCCAGCGCTCGATGCGGTCAAAGTGCGGCAGGCGGACACGTGCAAAGAGCGACACCTGGCCGTACGACTCGGACAGGTGGCGCAGGACGTCGGCCGTGAGCTTGACCTCGGGGCGCCGCTCGAGCTTGACCGCGCTCGCCGGCGTGCTGTCGAGGTCGACGGGCTCAGACACGAACGTCTCGTCGTCTTCTGCTGGCGCACCGAAGAGCGTCGCCGTCGAGAGCTGGAGGTGAACCGCCGCGAACTCGGTCTTGCCGAACCCGGACACCGAGTCGACGACGACCTCGAGGACGAGCGTGCCGCCCTCGACGAGCGCACCTTGTCGCACGTTGCCCTCGCAGACGCCGTTGGCATGGCCGTTGGTGAGCGAGGCGGACGAGGACGAGGGCGGGTTGCGGATCTCGACCGGCTTGAGGCGGAGCCGGCACGAGCCGATCGGGTCGGCGATGTAGGGCGAGTAGACCTGGAGCGTCTGCGTCGACGGGAGGCCTCGCGCGAGGGGCACGAGCGAAGCGAGCGCCTGGCCGACGAGCGAGAAGCCGCCGGGCGGAGGCGGCGACTCGTGGAACGGGTCGTCGGCGGTCGCGGCGAAGTGGCGCTTGTACTCGGGCTTGTCGAGCCACTTGTACGCGTTGCGCATCTGGACGAGACGCTGCTCGAGCTTGGACAGACTCCAGATCGACAGGACCTGGTCGCGGCGGTCGAGGACCTTGACGCCGACACAGGGCTTGAGGCACGCCGCGAGCGCCGGGTCGCCGACCTCGTCGATGTCGCCGAGTCCTGCGACGCGCTCGCTCGCCGAGGTCGGGACGTCGCGCTCGACGGCGACGAACTGGAACGAGACGCCCTTCTTGAGCTCGCGGCTCATGACGTTGACCTCCTTGAGGACGACGGCCTGCGACAGGGCGTCCTCGGCCATGCGCACTCGCCGCCTCGTGCGCCACTGGGCGACGACCTTGCGCGCGAGAGGCTCGTGCGCCGGCTCGAGCCGGGGCCACTCGTCGAGCAGGTCGGCGAGCTCGTCGGCGGCCGAGTCGCCCGTGCCGGGCGAGGCGGCCGAGCGCAGCTTGGCGATGCGGCGCCGCTGCGCCTTGAGCTGCGCCTCGAGCTGCTTGACCTTGTCGTGCGCGGCGCGGTCCTTGTCGCGCTCGGCCTCGGCCTGCTCGAGAGCTGCGGCGGTCGAGCTGCTCGAGAGGGTCGGCGTCGCGAGCGGGAGGTGGTCGTCGGCGTGCTGCGCCTTGTCGCCGTCGATCGAGAGGTCGGGGAGGTGGCTGAGGGTGAGGGTCGAGTCGGCGAGGCTGGTCGGGTCGGTCGCCCAGGTGCCCGTCGAGAAAGGCCGCCCACTCGCCGACTGCTCGCGGTCGTCCTCGTCCTCGTCGTCGCCGTCCTCGGTGACCGAGTCCATGAAGCTCATGCGGCTCTCGGGCCGGTCGCTGCCGCCGCCGAGGCTGCTCGCCGTGCGCGAGTGCCGCACGCGCAGGATGCTCGAGTACAGCCTGCCGAGCTCCTCGTCGGGCAGCTGGTCGAGGTTGACGTCGCGCCCGTTGACGTTGAGCCGCGCCGAGACGGCCTCGCGACGGGCGAAGGACCAGTCGGCGGCCTGGTCGGCCGACGCGGGCGAGTCGGGGCGGGTCGCAGGCGACGACGACGTGCCCGGCTCGTCGTACGAGTCGACGAGGGGCGAGCGGAGCGGTGTCGGCTTGCCCTCGCGAGCTTTGCGGACCTCCTCGGGGTGGCTGTGGCAGGAGGGGGGCGGCGAGGTCAGTCCAAGGTGCCGGAGGGGGGGGAGGACAAGGAGGAGGACCGAGCGGCGACGCACTTGAAGCGGAACGTGTGCCAGTCGCCGAGGATGACGCGAAAGCCCGAGTGCAGCTCCTTGGGCTTGGTGGGCGAGATGCGGAGGCCGTTGACCATGACGATGCCGTGATCGCTCGCGTGCAGGAAGACCTTGTTGTCGGCCGTGCACTCAAAGTGGCAGTGCTCGTCGAGGATGTTTGACCCGCCGAGCTTGATGTCGGCAGGCTTGTCCGAGTCGAGGTTACCGACCTGCGCACGGGGACGCAGCAAGGTCAGTCTTGCGGCAAGAGGAGGGGGACGAGAGGAGGAAGAGGATGGGCGCACCGTCGTCTTGCCCGGCTTGATCTGGTCTGCGGGTCAGGGTCGAGAGAGAAAGAGAGTCAGATGCGTCGGCGAGAAGGGAAGAGAGGGCGAGGACGCACAGATGAGGCACTCGGCCATGAGCGGGTCCTCGGACAGGTTGACGAGGTGAGGAAGCTGCGCGACATCGACGAGGCTGGTCAATATCTGGTCGGCGGGAGGGGAGAGGAGAGAGAAGAAGAGAGAGAGAGCGCGGGCACACCTTCTTGGGCGTGTGCACGCCGACCATGTTCTTCTCGATCGTGATGCCCAAGCTCTCGAGCGCCTTCTCGCGCTCGACCTGCACCTCGCGCGTCTTCTCGAGCTTCTCCTCCCACGTCTCGGTGACGCTCGCCATGAGCTTCTCGCTCGCGTCGAGCTGGTCCTGGAGCTCGGCCTTGCTGATCGTGCGCAACTCGCCCGACGCCGTCTGGTACTGGACGAGCTGCTGCGACGCCGGGACGGCCGCGTCGAACGTCGCCTCGCCGCCGAGCGAGGGCGAGTAGGTGCCGGACGACGAGGCGGACGGGCCGGCGATGCGCGAGCGGAGGAGGACGAGCTCCTCCTTGAGCTCGCGGATGAGCTTGGCGTTCGGGTCCTCGTTGACGACGGCCTTGTTCTTGATCTTCTTGGCCTGGTCGGCGTACCGCAAGGTCGACAGCGTCTCGTCGTAGTCGGCGGGCGAGATGGCGGCGATCATGGCCGTCTTCGAGTTGCCGCCGAGCGAGTCCTTGAGGAGCCACGTCAGGACCTGCGCGCAGCTTGCTCGACGTCAGTGCGGCTCAGACAGGAGGGAGAGAGCTGAGGGACGCACCGAGTCGCGGTACGGGATCTTCTCGGCGGCCGCCTTGGCCTTTGCGCCGCTCGCCGAGCTCGCCGCCGCGAGCGCGCTGATGACGCGCCCGAGCGTCGTCAGGCTCTTGTTGATCTGGGCGCCCTCCTTGAGCCGAGTGCCCGTCGCGCCCGTGCTGTTGGCGCGTTCCGAGCCGGCGAGGTCGACGAGCGAGATGCGCGACACCTTCTCGCCGACCATGGACGTGGTCGGGTCGAGGCGCTTCTGGGTGACGAGTAGCGTGAAGACGGCGTGCGAGCGCGACGACGTCTCGTTCATCTGCGTCGCGGCGACCGTGCGGGCCTGCACGAGGGGGAGAGGCGTGTCAGTGTCCGCAAGGTCAAGGGAAAGCGGCGAAGGTCCCAGCGCATCCCGTCCCGACCCTCGCTGCGCGGAAACCAGGCACTCGAGGCACCGACGACGCACCTTGGTCCCCTCGTCCATGAGGTGCTCGATGTCGTCAAAGTTCTGCACGGCGCACTTGGACAGGTTCTCGACGTAGGGCCCGAGCGTCGGGTGCTCGCGGACCTTGAGCGCCGCTTTGCTCGACGGGTTGAGCAGGTCGCGGACCTCTGCGGGAGCGGGAGGCTGTCAGTACGAGGGGCACGATAAAGAAAGAGAGGGAGGGAGAGAGAGGCGTGGACGTACTCTCCTGGTAGATCTCGGTGTACGACACCTCGACCGTGAACGTCGTGTGGTCGTCCGACTTGTTGCCGATGCGGACGAACAGCTGCTCGCACAGGAGCGGGATTATGCCGCGATCTGCGCCGTAGCCCATCATCGAGTACGACTTGCCCGAGCCTGTGTGCGCGCGCGAGAGCGGGACGAGGGGGAGGAGGTCAGGACGGGGGACGGGTTCGAGGGAGGGACGAGGGATCGAGGGGCGCACCAGTCTGGCCGTAAGCGAAGAGGCAGCAGTTGTAGCCGTCGAACGAGTGGTTGAGGAGGTCCTCGCCGAGGTCGTCAAAGAGCGTCTGCTGCGAGGCGTACGCCGGGTCGTCCTTGGAGCATGCGGACCTGCGGGTTGGGCAGAATCAAGCGTGGGTCAGCTCGCTACTCTAAGAACCACATCGCTTCGACCGCCCTGTTGGTCTGTAGGGCGAGGAAGCGAGAGGCTGGACGGGCGAGAGCGGACGCACCAGTAGCTCTTGTCGAACGCGAACGACTTGACCTCCTTCTCGGTGATGCGGCCCGACGTGACGTTGGCGGCCTGCGTACAACGTCGATCAGATCGAGCACACGCAGCAGGACGAGCTTCCTGCGAGAGCAGACGGCTGAGCGAGAGGGAGCGCACCTCGGGCGGGTCGAGCATCGTCTGGTTGCCCTGCATGCGGACGAGGCTCTTGGCGCCGCGTGCGAGTTCTGTGCGGGGCCCATAAGAGGACGATCAACTCGCTGCTGTGCGGGTTGATGCACACGGCGAGAGGGCGGACGAGGACGACGCACCTCGCGAGTTGAGGGGCCGGCATCGTACGACGACCTTGATGTTGCCGCTACCTGCGCTCATCGTGGCGGCTGCAGCGGTGGTGCGCGAGTGCGCTCAGCCTGGCGGCGGCGGTGGGCGTCGACGAGGGTTGGCGGAACGAGGTGCCGGCGGCTCGAGGTGGGGAGGAGCGGCCTCGGTTGGCGGTGCGAGAGCGGGTCGCGTGTGCGCGCTCGGGCGTGTGGTCGAGGTCGTGGGAGCTCTGCGTGCTGGTCTGGCGTGGACCGAGCCGCGTTGGAGCGTGGTGGAGCAAGGCCGCGGCGGGAGGAGCGTGTTGGCCGGTCGACGCTGCTGTCGTCCTCGTCTCTGAGCGTGATCTGGCTTGATAGATCTCTCATCCATAGTCTAAAAACACAGTCTGCCTTTCAGCTGTCCCTCTCGAGGCGGTTGAGCGGTCACGAATCTTCATCTCCCTCCTCCTCAACTTCCAACGAGTTGGTCGCTTCCCACCGCTCTCGCTTCACCAGCTCAACCCAGGCTCAGCTCTAGCCATGTCCGACCACGGCTCTATGAACGGCGGCGACGACGAGTGCGTCCCCTCTTCTCCCTCCTCTCTCTCCCTCCCCGCCCTCCTCGAGCTCAGCCCCGCGCATCTCCCTCGTGTCCAGCACCCCGTGCTGACCTGCTCCCTCGCCTGACACAGCCACTACGACCGCAACGAATACGTGAGCTACCCCTCCTCGTGCCTCGCCGTCCGAGCTTCGCCCCCCAGCAACAGCACCTGCACCGCCTGCCTCGACTCGTGCTCGGCCGACGCCCTGGACCCGCGCGCCGCCGGCTAGAGGGAGCGAGCAGAAACTGGGCAGCATGACGAGCGCGTGCGAGCCGCAGAGCCGAGCGCTTCCTCGTCGACAACCTCCTGCCTCCCAGCACCGCCTCTCCGTCTCTCTCGAGCGCCCCACTGACCTCCTTCTCCCCCCGCCTCCCTCCGCCACGCACCCCTCGTAGGACTACGACAACGCCGAGGCGGCGGCCGAGTTCCTCGACGAGCAGGCGCAGCTCGGCGGCGGCGACCAGATTGTCGAGTCGGGCGAGCGCGTCGGCGGCGACGGGCCGGCGCCGACCGAGGGCAACAAGGAGCGCGTCACGACGCCGTACATGACCAAGTACGAGCGGGCGCGGATCCTCGGCACGAGGGCGCTACAGATCTCGTGCGTCTCGCGCTCTCCCTCTCTCGCTCTCGGGCTCTCGGGCCCTCGACTGACAGACCCTCGCCCTGCCCCGCCCGACACAGCATGAACGCGCCGGTGCTCGTCGCCCTCGAGGGCGAGTCGGACCCGCTCCAGATCGCCGAGAAGGAGCTCGCGGCGAAAAAGATCCCGCTCGTCGTGCGGCGCTTCTTGCCCGACGGCTCGTTCGAGGACTGGCTCGTCAGCGAGCTGCTCACCGAGTGAGCGGAGCGCGTCGAGGGCGGGTGGCGGACGAAGAGGGCGAGGGCGTGTTGTACGATACGAGTCGTTCTCTTTCACTCGGTCGAGGTGCGGCGGCAGCGAGAGCAGGACAGCGAGAGACGGCGAGGGGCGATCTTCCCAGAGAAAGTCAAAGATAGAGCACGTTGCACAACAAACACGCGACCTCTGCTCCCCTGTACACCGCCCTCGCTGTCGCTCGCTCCCTCCGTCTCTCAGGCCCGTGCACCCTGCCCGAGCTGCTGCTCGTCGCCCTCTGCGCCGCCGTCGTCGGCTATCCGAAGCGTCTGGCAGAAGAGGCGGTAGTTGAACTGGTTCGTCTTGCGGTCGAGGAACGGCGGGTGAAGGAGCTTGTCGACCTGCGGGCGAGGGCGGGGGAAAGGGAGCAGAGGGGTGCACGGTGTCAGGCCATCGGGGCTGCAGTACGTCGTCTCAACCGCAGCTCGGCTCGGGAGGCGTGTGACGCCCCGACGGCGAGCGCACAGGCGAGTCGACGTCCTGCAGGCGCGAGAGAGGGGACGCACCTCGTCGTCCGACATGCGGTCGCCCGTGCTCTTGAGCCACTCGCGCACCTCGTCCGCGTCGCACAAGCCCGTGTTGCGCTCGTCGAAGCACGCGAACGCGTCGAGCATGTCGGACTCGGGGTCGAGCGCCGACAGGTGCGACGCCATGAGGGTCACGAACGCGGTAAAGTTGAGCTGGGCGGGCGCGGACGAGGCGGGCGAGTTGGCGGGACGGGCGTGCAGGAGCGAGTGGATGAGGGAAGGGTCGGGGTGCTGGCCTGTGTGCGGCGCAACGAGGGTCAGGTTTCGGCGGTGCTCGAGGAGCGGTAAGAGAAGGGACGGACCGAGCGAGTTGAGCAGGCCGCGCAGGTCGGACTCGGAGATGATGCCGTCGTTGTCCTGGTCGACGAGCTGCAGGGCGCGGGAGCGTCAGCCGCGCAGCCAAGCGTGATCATGGGCCACGGGGTTGGGGTTGAGCGACACTCGAGGTCCAGAGAGGCCCGCCGACGGCTGACGCACGTTGAAGGCCTCGCGGAAGGTCTGTACTTGGGCAGGCTGTGGCGTGGGCAAAAGCAAGAGTCAGTGCACGGCGCGAGGGGGGAGCTGAGCGGGGGGACGAGGGAACCGAGGACGGACGTCGAACACCTGGAACGCGCCAGAGCTTTGCCGTGGGTGACGGGTGGCAGCCTTGCCGGCTTGAGGGCGACCGAGTCCGAGTGTCGCAGTGCTCATTCTGGTGCGGGAGCGAGTCGAGGGTGAGGGGTCGAGATGAGAGAGGTGCGGCCGCGGAGGAGCGAGCAGGAGGACGGCGACACCGCTCGCCTCTCGAGCCAGGGTCTGCGCACGTGCGATGCTGCTGTAGGGCTCAGAGCACGGTCCGGTGCGACCCACAGCTCGGCCAGGCTGAGCTGAGGCGGGCGAGCTGTCGGTCGACGCGTCCTCGACGCGAGCTCCTCCGCACCTCTCTTGCCCTCTGTACCGACTCGCCTGTGTGCATGAAGCGCTCCAGCCCTCCGCCTACCGACCTCGCCGACACGCCCGCGACCAAGCGCACCACCCTCGCCCAGCCCCTCTCGTTCGACTCGCCCGCGTCCTCGTCCACCATGTCGTTCCTCGTCCAGCGCCTTGTCGACGCCGCCAAGATGCCCGCCCGCGGCTCGGCACTCGCAGCAGGCTACGACCTCGCCGCGTGCGTCCCCCTCTCGAGCGCTCTCGCGACGACGACCGCCCTCTCCCCTCTCGCGGACCTCGGACTGACTCCCTCTTTCGCCCCTTGCAGCGCCGAGGCCAAGGTCGTTCCTGCGCAGGGCAAGGCCCTCATCAGCACCGGGCTCGCCATCGCCGTCCCTGAAGGCACCTACGGCCGCATCGCGCCCCGCTCTGGCCTCGGTCCGTCCCTGCTCCTCGTGCCCTCCCCGTCGCAAGCGTGACGCGCAACCCTGACCCGGGCTTCCGCGACGCAGCGAGCAAGCACATGATCGACACGGGCGCGGGCGTCATCGACGCCGACTACCGCGGCGAGGTCAAGGTCTTGCTCTTCAACCACGCCAAGGAGGACTTCCAGGGTGCGTCCCCTCTTCCTCCCTGCGCAACGCTCTCTTCCGTCCTGACCTCATTCTTCGCCCTTCCCTCGCAGTCAACGCCGGCGACCGCGTCGCGCAGCTCATCCTCGAGCGCATCGTGACCCCGGAGCCGCAAGAGGTCGCCTCGCTCGCCGACACGGAGCGCGGCGCCGGCGGCTTTGGCTCGACGGGCGGGTTCGGCGCCGTCCAAGCGGCCGTCGATGCGGCTCAGGCGGCGCCCGGGACGACGGTCGTCGTCACGCAGGAGGTCGAGAAGGAGGTCGAGACGAGCACCGACCAGGAGAAGGAGGCGCTCGCGACGGGCGCGTGAACGAGACGCTGGCTCGTCTCGCGTGCAACGACCGCTATCACCGCGTCATGTTCGAGGGTCTGTTCCTGCGGTCCTCGGCGAGGAGAGAGAGAGCGCGAGAGGGCGAGGGCAGCCGGTCGAGCCTCTTGCATCAAGGCCTCTTTTTTCGGCGGGAAAGACGCGGCCGCTCCCTGTCACGTTGTACTCAGACCGTCGAGAGTCGCTCTACTTGCCTTGAAGCGGTGCTCGTCGACTTGAGAGGCCGTCGTCGTCGTCGTCGGCGCGTCGCATCGCGTCGTTGGTCCATCTCGTCCTCGCCCTCTCGCTCGCCTCTCGACACTCGGCGCGCCATGAACCGCCACAACGGCCAGGCCAACGGCTTCTCGGTCGACAACCTGTGCGTCCACCTCTCCCAGTGCGAGCCCGCTTCGCCGGGCCTCTCGTCTCCCTCGCGATCTGGTCTTCGCCCGGGTCGTGCCGACGACTGCGCGCAAGGCTCGGCAAGTGAGCGCACGAGAGCCCTAAGCTGACTCTGGCCTGCCTCGACACGTGCAGCTTTAGCCTCGACACCAAGGCGACGCCTAAACGTCCTCGCCCTTCCTCGTCGACCGGCGCAGGAGCTTCTGCCTCGCGCCAGCCGCACCTGTCGTCCTCGCCCAGCCACGCGCAGACGACGCCGTATCGCCCTACGCCTGGACCGAGCAAGCTCCACGGCTCGAGCCCTGCCGGGTGCGCCTCCCCTCCCCTTCCTCCTCGTCTCGTCCCTCTCTCGTTCGACCGTCCGCTTACACCTGCACGCCCACACAGCTTTCCCTCTCCCGCACCACCCGCCACCCCCTCGGCCCCCGTCATCCCCTTCTCGACTCGGTCCAACAAGCTCACCGTCCAAGAGTCGCTCAACGCCCACCTCGCGCTCCCGACCTCGGCCCAGCTCGCCGGCAACCAGGTCCGCGTCACGCTCGCGGCCCAGAACGACCCGAAGGACTATGACTACCGGATCGCGTTCGAGCGGGCCATGGAGAGGAGCGAGGGTGCGTCGCGCGACGATTTCCTCTTTCTCGAGCCGCCTCGCCTCGCACCGCGGCCGATTAGGCGGGCTGACCGGTCGTCGTACTGCGCGCAGTCCTCGACACGTTGATCGACGAGGCGGCGCAGACGTTCAAGGAGTACTACGGCATCGAGGAGTTTGGCGACCCGTCGATCCAGTCGCAGGTGCGCCCCGGCTCGTCCTCCTTTCCGGCCTCCTCAGCCTCGTCGTCCCCTCCCTGACTCTCTCCTCCCACGCAGGACGACATCCTTGTCGTCGGACGCCTGTGCCCCGAGACGGACGCGGCCAAGATGACCGAGACGTCGACCTGGCTCGAGTCGTCGCGCATGCTCGGCTCGGGCTCGCGCGTCCTGCTCAAGTTCGAGCCCGACATGAAGGTGCGCGGCGCGCCGAGCGGCGGCGGCGGCATGGCCATGTTCCCTGGGTGCCTCGTCGCGCTCAAGGGGACGAACGGCGGCGGCAAGCTGTTTGCGGTCAAGGAGGTCCTCATGGTGCGTCCCCTCGCACTTCTTATCTCGCGCCTGCCCTCTCTGCGATGCGCAGCAAGCGAGGTTGTTGGAAGACGGCGGGTAGCTCACACGAGCGCCCGCACGCCCGCAGATGCCGCCGATCGACGCGACCTACACGGCCCCGACCGAGCTCCTCGCCATGCAGTACGGCGCCAAGGCCAAGCAGCTCAACGGCAACCCGATGTCGGTCATCGTCGCCTCGGGCCCGTACACGACCGAGCACGACCTCGAGTACGAGCCGCTCCAGGCGCTGCTCGGCCTCGTCCAGGAGGAGCGACCCGACGTGCTCATCTTGGTGCGTCCAGCCTGCCTCTTGCCGGTCACGCACACGTGCTCGATGTGTGTTTCGCCGTGGAAGAGACGGTACATGACTGACTCGCCCTCGTCGTCGCAGACGGGCCCCTTTATCGACTCGGCGCACCCGCTCATCCAGCGCGGCGACGTCGACGAGCTACCCGGCCAGCTCTTCCGCACCCGCATCTCGACCCGCCTCTCGCACCTCATCGCCAACTCGCCCCGGACGAGCGTCCTCCTCGTGCCGCACGGCCGCGACTTGACGAGCACGCACGTCGCGTTCCCGCAGGCGCCGCTCGCGAGGGAGGCAGAGCTCGCCTTGCCCAAGGTGCGCCGGCCATGTCCTCTCTGTATGACTGGGTCTGAGAGGGGTCTAGTCGCTCTGAGCGTCGTCAGGCGGCCGAGACTGACGCTGCCCTTCCTCTTCCCCCTCCTCTCGTCCTCGCTCGCCCGCAGGGTGTCCGCCTTCTGCCCAACCCGGCCATGTTCAGCATCAACGAGGTCGTGTTCGGCATCACGTCGGTCGACACGCTGTGGAGCCTCAAGTCGCAGGAGTTCTTCCGCAAGTGCGCCGACGCCGAGCCGGTCGAAGAGGGGTCCGAGCCCGACCCGCTCGCCAAGGACGTCATGGCGAGGACGTGCAGGCACTTGTTGCGGCACAGGAGGTGCGTCGGCTCGCTCTCTCTCTCTCTGGCTGTCCTCGCTCTCCTCGAGCGAGTGCTCTCCTGCATGTAGAAGTACTCGACTGACACCCTGTCTCCTCCTCGTCCGGCTCACAGCTTCTACCCGGTCTTTCCCTCGCCGCCGCCGTCCAAGATGCTCGACGCGCTCAACCTCGACATGACGCACTACGACCTCGTCAAGATGGGCAGCTCGGGCCCCGACATCGTGATCGCGCCGTCGATCCAGAAACACTTTACTCGCGTGGGTCCAGCGCTCCTTCCCTCGCTCGTCCTCGAGGCGTGCACCTGCGCATGCCCTGTCGTGCTTGGATGCGTGGGAGCTCACGGACCTCCCTCGCGCCCTCGCAGATTGTCGACTCGACCATCCTCCTCAACCCGTCCTTCCTCGCCAAGTCGTCGGCGCCCGCCTCGGCCGGCACGTTCGCCCGCCTCACGATCCACCCGATGGACCAGGAGCACCTCAACGAGCTCGCGAGCACGGGCATGGTCGACGTCGGCGGCGAGCCGGACGAGCCAGTCGAGCACCGAGTGTGGGAGCGGTGCAGGGTCGACGTCATCAAGGTGTAGCTCGCAGGTGGCTCGTCGATGTGCGAGGAGGAGCATGGTGTTGTATCGAGCTCGTCGGTCTGCGTCTCTGCAAGCTCGAGAGGTGACTCTGCTCGAGAGAGCGGATTCGGACCTTCTCAAGTTGCGCTCGCGAGGGAGTGCCTCTCCTACTCTCGCAATCCCCCGAGTTCCTGCTTCTCGCAGCCTGCCCGGCGCGACTTGGGCATCTACTTGAGCTGCACTCGCCGTTACGGTGTGTCCGCGGACCGGCTTCGCTCCGTCCGCCTCTCCTCGGTCTGCTCCCTCGCTCTCTCTCTTCACTCGCACCAGCGCTCGCACTCGCTGCACCTGTCGAGATGGACGACACGATCACGCTCCGCACCTCGGACGACCCGCCCGTCGAGCTCAAGGCTGCGCGCGCCGTCCTCACCTCGGGCAGCAAGGTCTTTTCCGACATGTTCTCGCTCCCGCAAGGCGCCTCGTCGACCTCGCAAGGCACCAGCATCGACGTCGCCGAGAAGGAGGCCGAGATCAAGCCGTTCCTGCGCCTGCTCAACCTGTCGCACGAGGAGGGCGACCCGTTCAAGGAACTCGACGTCAACGACTGGCCCGTCGTCGCCAAGCTCGCCGACAAGTACGACTCGGCGACGGTCCGCGCGATCGTCCTCTGCAAGTGCTGGTGAGTCGCATCTCCCTTCTGTCGGTCTCGCTGGCGTGAGTTGATCGATTCCTCGCGAGCAGGTCGTGGTCAACGCCGGCCACGAACGCCATCTACTGCAAGTCGGGCTTTGTCGCCGCCGCCGAGCTTGGCCAACCGCACCTGGCCAAAGTCTTCATGCTGCGCGTGATGCTCGTCTACCCCGAGACGGGCTACGCGGACACGCTCAAGGGCCGTCAGGCGCAGTTTGTGCGTCGCGCACTTCCACACGGGTCGAGCGAGCGGGTCTGACCTCGTCAATTGCCTCGCAGGACAAGTGGGACAAGCTGCTCAAGGCTCACGCAGCAATGTGCGCTCTCGAGGCGAGCGGCATCAACCTGTGCCCCAAGTGCGCAGTGAAGGACCCTTCCCTTGCCGACACTGCGTGGGCTCGCATGATGCGCATGGCCATGAAGGAGTGGACCTCGCACAAGGCGGCCCTCCCGTTCAACAGGCCCGTGTGGGGCGTTAGCCAAGAGCTCAGGTCGTCGAGCAAGATCTGCGCGACGTGCAAGACCGCGTTCGACAACTTTGCCAACTCGCTTGACGAGCACTTCCGCAACACGGCGCCCGAGTCCCCGCTCTGAGGTGCGCCCAGCTTTCTCCCACTCTCTCTACGGAAGAGACGATGTGACTGAGTCTGAAGCCCACAGCGCAACGTCCTCGTCCGGCCCTCCGCCCTTCTCGCTTTTCCCTCTTTCGTCTCGCCAGCCTTGCAACGCCGTGTGTGTTCCTCTCTGTACGGTCACGAGAGCGCAAGCAGTCAACGAGAGAGCTGTCCTGCACGCTACTCGGTGCCTTGAACGAGAGGAAAGCTGGCCACCGAGAGGACGAGCTCCCGCTTGAGAAGGTCGACTTGCTCTCTCTCTCGATGCCTGACAGGCTCGTGTACGGTGCGGCGAGCTCTCGACGACAAGCGCGAGAGTGAAAAGGGACCGTCTATTGCGAGTGCATCGCGCGAGTGACCAAGAGAAACGAGGAGGAGGGCGAGGGGAGCTGTACAGAAGGAGAAATGACGACGAGAGAGGCGAGGACGGGGCTTTTGGGACAAATGTGGAGCGAGAGGGAACGAGAGAGGGATGCAGCTATAACGCTCGGAAGACGACGAAGAGAGAGGAAGGTTGTGGAGGGAGGGACGAGGGTAGAAAGGCTCACAGCCCGCCAGGGCTAGTCGATGAGGGCGACGAGGATGCCGAGGTCGACGCCGAGCGCAGCGGCACCCACGGTGCCTGCATCGGCGACGGCCGTAGGCCCGGCGTCGACGGTGGCGAGGCGTAAGGCGACTTGGCCGGCGTCGGCGGGCGACTCGAGGCGAGGCCGGCGGCGAAGCGGACGTGCGCCGACCGAGACCGTGACGTCGAGCGCGGGTCGTCGAGGTCTGGAGAGCTCGGCGACGGATTCGAGGTTGGAGGAAGGGGCTGGCGAGGCGAGGAGGGACGCTGGGTCATTGAGAGGGAGGCGATCGAGGGGAGGAGGGCCCGTGCGGGCGAGACCGGGCGAGACGAGGCCGGCGAGGAGCGACGGCTTGAAGACACTGCTCAGGGAAGATATCGAGGTCAGTCAGTACCAGTGCTCGCACATCCTCGCTGTGCCGAGCGTGCTCGACATCGAGAGGAGGCCGATGAGAGGAATTCGACTCACAGCTCGCGGTCGACCTCGGCGAGCGGATCTTTGGCTCGGCGGCGAGTCGGACCCGGAGCGCATCCTCGAACGATGCTTGACGAGCGAGGTGCAACGACGACGCCGCCGGGATGCTCGCTGCCGGGACGCCGTCCTCGACGCCGGGCGAACGAACCTCGCGCGGCGACCTCGACGCTGCCGAGCGCGCCTTCGTCGCCTTGGGGTGCTCGGCCTCGATCTTGGTCTTGAAGATGTCGTCGAGGCCGCCGAACAGCTGCTCGACCGTGTGCGGCTGCGACGGCGAGTCGGACGGCGTGATGCCGCGACGAGCTGCGGGTGCAGGCGTCGTGCTGCGGGACCTCGACGACGGCGGCCTGCTCGACGACGACGAGGACGACCCGCTCGAGATCGTGATCATGCTCGGACCGTGCGAGTCAAAGGCGACGCTCGACCGGCGTGAGCCCGGGAGCGAGTGCGGCGGCGAGAGAGGTAGGCGCGGCGAGTCGGTCGCGGTGCGGAACGTGTCGGTCGTCGAGTGAGGGGACGAGGGTGCGGTGTCGATGACAGATGCGGACGACGAGACGTGGTGGGTGGTACGGGAAGAAGATGAGGTCGGCGTCGAGATGTAGTCGGGCGAATCTGCTCGACGGGAAGCGAGTGAGCTCTGCGGCTCAGGTTTTTTGAGGCAAGGGGAACGTCCTGACGCACCGAACGGCATTTGCTGAGCGAGAAGGCGACCTTGACGCTCGTCGTGAGCTCCTTGCGAGCCGCCGCGCACCTTGACCGGACGCCCTCGCGCTTCGACCTCGACGTCTCGCGGCAGGACCGGGTCGTCGAGCTCGATCCGCAGGACGGCGCCGTCCTCGACGGCGTCCCAGCAGCTCGACGTGATGCCGCAGCCGAAGAGCGGCGACGGCGAGGTGCAGACGAGGGTGAACGAGGCGAGGGGAGGGCAGACGAGGGCGGCGACCTCGCGCTTGACGTCCTGCGAGATATCGAGAGAGGGTCAGCTCGGGCACACGTCTCCACGAGTAGGAGAGAGACGGACGGACCTCGAAAGAGCGCCGCTCGCCGGCCCTGTCGGTCACGCCGAGGCTCCACCTCTTGACGGACCCATCTGCCCGCTCGAGCTCGACCTTGACGAGCTCCAACTTGGCGACGCCGCGGCTCGACATGACTGGCGGCTAGTCAAGAGAGTAGGGGCGAGGGCGAGGGTCGAATCGGGTCGATGTGCGAGGGCGGTGAGGACAAAGGGCCGGTCACGGGGCGAGGTCGGACGACGAGGCGGTGCGGGAGATCTGGATGAGCTCGAGCGCTCTGCGGCGGCAGGGCGCACTGCTGCGCGTGGCAGGCGGACTCGCTCTGCCGGGGAGGTTGAGCGGCGGCGAGAGGTGGGCGAGGGAGAAAGAGAGAGAGGACGAAAGCGAGCAGAGGTGGATGGCCGGTGGTGACTTTGCTCCGTCGATGGCGGCTTCTCACCGAGCGAGACGAGACACAAGCCTCGGTAGCGGAGAAAATGAAGATCGGCCCCTCGACGAGCACCGAGCGCGGACGGACAGGGGACGCGGACAGGAGAGCAAGCCGAACCCTCGCTCGGACCCTCTCAACCTCGACGGAAGCGCAGGCGAGCATCGACGACTCTCTCGAGGTCGTGGTCGAGGGCGAGCCTGTAGATCGAAGAGTCAGTGAGCTGCAATGCGAGATCGAGAGGAGGAAAGAGGAGGAGGAACGCACCCGACGCAGCTGACGTGGCAAAAACCCTCGAGCCTCTCTCGAAGCCGGACGAGGAGAACGCAGGACGAAAGACTTGTACGACAAGAGGGGGGTACGGCTACATGAACGCGACCGCGAGCTTCTCCTCCTCGAGCACCTCCCTCCAGTCCCTCAGCCACCCCTTCTCGTTCTGCAGCGCCCACACGCGCTCGAGCGCCGCCACGTCGTCGACGTACCCCTTGAGCGGGCCGCACGCCTGCAGGCCGCGCACGCACAGGGCGCGCTCAGACGGCAGGAGGGCGCACGTCCCGGCGAGGAAGAAGGGGATGGCGCGCGACAGGGGCGAAAAGAGGTGCGCCATCGTGCTCGCCGACACGGACGACGAGCCCGCGCCGACCGCCTCGTCCGACGTCGAGCGCGACTCGGCGAACGCGGTCGTCGTCGCGGCGGTCGGTAACGGCGCTTGCGGGTACGGGCGCGGCGCTGCGGCCGAGCCAGTCGCGGCGGCGGCGGACGAGGTGCCGTCGACGGCGGGCCCGGGCTCGACGGTCGCCGAGGGCGCAGGGAGCATCGACGGCGACGGCTCGTACGTCGCGAGGACGCGCGCGCCGATGTGCAGGATCTGCTGCAGGGCGGCGAGGACGACGTGCGAGACGGGCCCGTGCGCAAACACGCTCTGGTACAGGTAGATGATGACGGCGTGGCGCCACATCTCGCCCGTGCTGATGCGCTCGAGGAACTTGGCGCTGTCGGCGAGGTCGTGTGCGCTCAGGGCCGGCGGGCGCCAGCCTCGGATGGCCGTCTCGATCGCGGCCGCCTTGGCCTTGACGACCTCCTCGGGGAGCGCGTCGCGCTCGGCGCTCAGGTTGGCGATGGCGGCAGCGCACACCATGAGGCCGACGGGCAGGCCGAGGAGGACGGGCAGCTCGCACACGACCGAGTTGACGTCGTCGACGAGGACCGACGGGTTGGCGGCCGACGGCTCGCCGGGCAGGCACGTGTAGGTGAACAGGACGCGACGCTTGCCCGACGTGATGCAGCGTACGACGTCGTGCCAGCCAAAGATGGCGAGGAGGAGCGTCTCGGGGTCCCGGACCGACGACAGGTCGAGGAGCGGGCGCCCGAGTTCCGTGATGAAGTGCTCGCCGAGTAGGCGGATGAACGATGCCGCGCCGGCGCCGACCGAGATGAACTGTAGACGCACGAGAGCGTGTCAGTTGCTGCTGCTTGACGGTGAGGCACTTTGAGAGGGACGCACCTGATGCTCGTACAGGTCGACGAGCGCGAGCAGCTTGGCGCCGAGCGGGATCGTCTGCTGGTGGACGTGGTTCAGGGCGCGTTGAAAGTAGCGGTCGGCCTTGGCGCGCAGTTGGCGCTCGTGCGCGGCCGCCTCGGTCGGGTCGCCGTCGTGCTTGGGCTGGTTCTGCTGCGCTCGGATGCGGTACAGCAGACACTGCGTCGGTGTCGCTGCGTCAGGTGAGGTACTGACAAGAGAGAGAGAGAGAGAGAGTGCGGACGCACAATAGCCATGGCCGCGTTGCGGTTCAACTCGCTCGAGGTCGACGTCTTGTACACGCGCTGCACGGCGACGTCGCGCAACGGCTTGGCGAGCGAGCTCAGGTAGGCGTCGTTGAGGGCGTTGTCTGCGTGGGTGTGACGAGGGGTCAACTTTTCTGGGCCCAGAGAGAGCGAGAGAGAGGAGGACGCACAGGTCGGGTCGACCGAGTCGATCTTGTCCGGGTCGTCGACGTCGCCCAGAGTCGACGGGTCCGAGGCCGCGAGGGCCGAGCTGATCGGGTGCTCGGCCGGCGACGGCTCTGCGCTCGCGGTCGCTGTCGGGAGCGAGTCCCAGCCCGCAATTTCGAGATCGAGCGTCTGAAAGAAGTCGTCGACGCCGTTCAGGCCGTGCGACAGGTCGGCGAACGGCGAAAAGGCGGCGAGGTGGAACGACGGGAGGGCGTACGAGGCGTTCGAGTCGCCGGGTGGCGGGATGGCGGGGAATGCCGCAGCGCCAAAGGCGGGTAGAGGTACTGGAGGAGGGGCCGGGTCGAACGGTCGAGGCGGTCCGAGGGCGGGAGAGGCGAAGCTGGTCGCGGCAGCGGTCGTCGGCGGCAGCGAGAAGTAGTGCGGTGCTGGTGGCCCGGCGTTGACGAAGCTCGGCTGCGGCGGCGGGTAGTGCGCGGCGGCGGTGGACGGCGACGAGGACGAGGCGGATGTCGGCGGGAGGTGGGGGAAGCTCGCGGGCGGCGCAGAGCTGCTTGACGCGACTGGGTAGGTCGACGTTGATGCACTGGGCCCTGCGACGGGTGCGCCGCGGTCGCTCGACGGGCCCTCGGACGAGGCGGCCCTCGAGCGCTTGGGCGGGCGGCCCTCTGCGGGATCTGGCCACGAGCAGGTCCACGCGCCCTGGATGCAGCGCTGACAGGCGCCCGTGTGGTCGTCGTGCGTCTCGTCGCACTTCTTCCTGCGCGTGCGGCCTGTGTCGGCGTGGCCGGTGAGGTGAGGTGGGGAGGGAGGGGGGAGGACGAGGACGAGGTTAGATCGCGGCGACAGCGCAAGGGGGTGGGAGCAAGAGGGGCGCACAGGTGAGGCAGCCCTTCTTGGAGCGTCGCTTGCCTGGTCCTGGCAGCTCTGGCGCAGACATGAGCGAGGGGCGGTGTTGGACCAACAGCTCGCCTCGCTCTTCCTCCTCGTCGTCCTCCTCTCTCTCTGTCTCGCCGCCAGCTACCGCGCACACTCTCAAGCGCAGGCTGCTCTGCGCTCCCGCCCTCGCCACACCCTGCTGCACCGGCCCGGTCGCGTTCCAGCAGCCCCCAGCCTCGCGCGTCGCCGCGAGCCGACTCAACTCTGGGCGTCGCTCTCTCCCTGCAGCGAGCGCGGCCAGCATGGGCTGGCTCCAGTCGAGCGCAGCTTCGGAGCGCTGTGTGCCGCCGAGCGTCAGGCGGCGCGCGCAGGCGCAGAGAGGCCAGCCGGCACACGACAAGCGCTTGCCGCGCTCGTCGCCTCTCGAGCCAGCTCGGCCACACAGGCTTGGCTCGCCCTCGCTCTCGCACTCTTGCCTGCACAGAGCTCGCACGGCACCCGTCTCCATGCTCTATCCGCCAGTACGGCCGCCAGCTCCCCTCGGCGACAGCTCGTCGTCGACCTCGCCTCCAGACTCGGTCCTCAACCCCGCACCCGACGACGGCGACGAGCGGGTCGATCACCATCAGCAGTCGACCAGTCGCTCCTCGTCCTCTGCGCCCACCATCAACGGCGACCGGCATCCGACCCGCGTCGACCCCGAGAAGGCCGCCGCCCAGTTCGAGGTGCGCCCGTCCCTCTCCTCCTCGTTCACGTCCTCGTGCGCACGCTCATCTCGCCCTCACCCACACAGGACCTCCGTCGTACCCTGTCCCGACCGTATTCGCCTCACCCTGTCGACCCGGAGAAGCAGGACCCATCCTCGTCGACGTTCGACCTCTTGTCGTACCTGCGCGCCGAGGCGAGCGAGGCCGACGCGGCGGGCCTCAAGCGCAAGGCGCTCGGCGTCGCGTGGACCGGCCTTCAGGTCATCGGCAACGGCGGCGAGAAGGTGCGTCCGCGCTCTCGTGCTTGGGCGCAGTCGTGCGACCGAACCTGACCCTCTCTCTCCCACGCGCGCAGCTCTACATCCCGACTTTCCTCGACGCCTGTCGCGACACCGTCCTGGCGCCCGCACGCCTGATCGGCAAGCTGTGCGGGCGCGACAAGGCCGTGCCGAAGCACCTGCTCGAGAACTTTGACGGGTGCCTCAAGCCGGGCGAGATGTGCCTCGTCCTCGGTCGACCAGGGTCTGGGTACGTCCGCCTCCTTCCTCCCTCCTTTTCGAGAGCCTATGCTCGTGATACACGGACCAGGCCCTGACAAAGCTTCTCCCTCGCGACCCCAGCTGCTCAACCTTCTTGAAGACGATCGCGAATCAGCGCTCGGGCTACCTGGCGGTCAACGGCGACGTCTCGTACGGCGGCATCCCGTCGTCGCTCATGGCCAAGCGCTACCGCGGCGAGGTCGTCTACAACGCCGAGGACGACGTGCACGCCGCGACGCTCACGGTCGCCCAGACGCTCGGGTTCGCGCTCAAGCTCAAGACGCCGGGCACGCTCCCGCCGGGCAAGACCAAGCGCGAGCTCGACAGCGAGGTCCTGAGCGTCGTCCTGCGCATGCTCGGCATCTCGCACACGCGCGACACAAAGGTCGGCTCGGCGTACGAGCGCGGCGTGTCGGGCGGCGAGCGCAAGCGCGTCTCGATCGCCGAGATGATGGCGACGAGGGCGTGCGTGTGCTCGTGGGACAACTCGACCCGCGGCCTCGACGCCTCGACGGCGCTCGACTACGCCAAGGCGCTCCGAGTCCTCACCGACGTGCACCAGATGGCGACGTTCGTCTCGCTGTACCAGGCCGGCGAGGGCATCTACGACCAGTTCGACAAGGTGCTCGTCATCGACGAGGGTCGCCAGGTCTTCTTCGGGCCGGCGCGAGAGGCGCGGCAGTACATGGTGCGTCGCGCTTTGACCCTCTTCCTCGCGTTCGGTTCCACGAGACGCTCACGCGCCACCTTTCTCGCCCGCCGCCGCAGATGTCGCTCGGCTACGCCGACCTTCCTCGACAGACCTCGGCCGACTACCTCACCGGCTGCACCGACCCGAACGAGCGCAAGCTTGCCGACGGCCGCTCCGAGGCCAACGTTCCGTCGACGTCCGAGGCGCTCGAGGCCGCCTTCCACCGCTCCGACATCCACCGCCGCATGCTCGACGAGCGCGACGCCTACCTCGCCGAGACTGAGCGCGACGAGAAGGCGCGGCACGAGTTCGAGGAGGCGGTCAAGGGCGACAAGCGGCGCGGTGTGCGGCACAAGAGCGTGTACACGGCATCGTTCGCGGCGCAGGTGTGGGCGCTGTCGGTCAGGCAGTGCGTCGAGATCGTCCTCTCTCCCTGCGCGCTCGAACTTTCGTCGTCGGGACTGACCCGCTCGTGTCCTCCAGGTTCCAGCTTCGCCTGCAAAACCGCGCCGACCTCATCTTCCTCAACCTGTCGAGCATCATCAGTGCGTCCACGACCGTCCAGAGTCTCTTGATGAGCCGGCCCTGACCTTGTTGCTCGCTCGCGCAGTCGCACTCATCATCGGCTCGACCTTCTACCAGCTCCCGCCAACAGCTGCGGGCGCGTTCAGGCGAGGAGGAGCCATCTTCCTCGGCGTCATCTTCAACGGGTGCGTCCACCTACCCCTGCTCGTTCAGCGCAGAGCCGAGTTCCTGACCCGAGCCTTCCCATTCTGCCCTTCCCAACCTCGACCTCTCCCGACTTTCCCCCTCTTGCCCATTCCAATAGCTTCCAAGCCTTCACCGAGCTCCCGTCGCAGATGCAGGGTCGGCCTATCGTGTGGAAGCACAAGTCGTGGGCGCTGTATCGCCCCGCAGCGACGACGCTCGCCGCCACCCTCGCCGACCTCCCGATCAACTGCCTCGCCATCTTCTTCTTCACCGTCGTGCTCTACTGGATGATCGGCCTCGCCGCGACTGCCGGGGCCTTCTTCTCGGTGCGTCCCTCCTCCCAAAGCTCGAGAAGACCCTCCCTGACACTGCCCACGAGCACGCGCGCAGTACTATCTCATCGTCCTCACGACCTTCCTTGCGACGAGCGCCTGGTTCCGCCTCTTCGGCACCTTGTGCCGCAACTACGACCAGGCCAACCGCTACGCGTCGGCCATCGTCACGATCTTCGAGCTCTACTCGGGCTACCTCATCCCGGTCCGTCCTCTTTTCCCTTTTCCTCTCTCGTCCCGGGCCCTCGACTGACACAGCCCTCCCTCACAGATCTTTGCGCAGAAGCGCTGGCTCTTCTGGCTGTCGTACCTGTCGCCGTTCCAGTGGGGCTACGCCGCCGCCCTCGCCAACGAGGTGAGCTTCTCTTTCCGCCCGGACGAGCGCCTCTTTTTCTTCGACCCGAGGACTGACATGCACTCGTCCCGTCACAGTTCAAGCGCCTGAGCCTCACGTGCGACGGCCAGTACGTCTTCCCGAATTCGCTCGACGGCCTCCTGCCGCAGTACCCGTCCGCGCTCGGCCCGAACCAGGTCTGCACCCTCGCTGGCGCCACGCCCGGCACGGACGTCATCGCCGGTACGGCCTACCTGTCGGCAGCGTACGGCTACCAGGTCAGCGACCAGGTGCGTCCCCTTCTCTCTCGCGCGCTCGAGCCTCGCCGGCGAACCTTCCTAAACCCGCTTCCCTCTCTTCCTCGCCGCCGCAGTGGCGCAACTGGGGCATCCTCGTCGCCTTCTTCATCGGCATCTCGGCCATCCAGGCCGCCGCCGCCGAGATCGTCCCCGACGGCAACTCGGCGCCGCGCATCGACGTCTTTGCGCACGAGGACAAGGAGCGCAAGGAGCTCAACGAGCGCCTCCAGGCCAACAAGGAGCGGTACCGCAAGGGCGAGGTCGAACAGGACCTGTCGGGCTTGATCCAGTCGCGCAAGGCGTTCACCTGGGAGGACTTGACGTGCGTCGCCTCCTGTTCCTCATCCTCTCGAGCGGGTGTCCTGACGCTCGTCCTTCCTCGCAGCTACGACGTCCCTGTCGCAGGCGACAACCTCCAGCTCCTCAACCACGTCTACGGCTACGTCAAGCCAGGTGAGCAGCGCTTTGACCCCTTTTCGCGACATGGCCTTCTCAAATTGACTGACCCTCTCTCCCCTCGCAGGCGAGATCACGGCGCTCATGGGCGCCTCAGGAGCCGGCAAGACGACGCTTCTGGACGTGCTCGCCGACCGCAAGACGACCGGCCTGATCGGCGGCTCGCGACTCGTCGCCGGCCGACCCTGCGGGCGCGAGTTCCAGCGCGGGACGGCCTACGTCGAGCAGCAGGACGTGCACGAGCATACGGCGACGGTGCGCGAGGCGCTCCGCTTCTCGGCCTACCTGCGCCAGCCCGCCAACGTCAGCAAGGCCGACAAGGACGCCTACGTCGAGGAGGTCATCCAGCTGCTCGAGCTCGAGGACAAGGCCGACGCTATGATCGGCGAGGTCGGTCATGGTCTCGACGTCGAGGCGCGCAAGAGGGTCACGATCGGCGTCGAGCTCGCCGCCAAGCCGCAGCTGCTCCTCTTCCTCGACGAGCCGACCTCGGGTGCGTCCACCTCTCTCTCTCCCTCTGTCCCGGGCCTTGGCCACACAGCCTGACCCTCTGCCTATCCAGGTCTCGACGGGCAGTCGGCGTACAACATCATCCGCTTCCTGCGCAAGCTCGCCGCTGCGGGCCTCACGATCCTGTGCACGATCCACCAGCCGAACGCGCTCCTGTTCGAGAACTTTGACCGCCTCCTGCTCCTCAAGCGCGGTGGCGCGACCGCCTACTTTGGCGACATTGGCAAAGACTCGCACGTCCTGCGCGAGTACCTCGCCAAGAACGGCGCCAACTGCCCCGAGGACGCGAACCCTGCCGAGTGTGCGTCCTCTTCCTCCTCCTCCCCTCCTTCCCTCGTCCCTTACTGATTCGTCTCACCCCTTGCAGTCATGCTCGACGCTATCGGCGCCGGGTCGAGCAAGCCGATCGGCTCGAAGGACTGGGCCGACGTCTGGCTCGAGTCGGACGAGTTCGCCGAGGTCAAGCAGGAGATCAACCGCATCAAGGAGGAGAGCCTCGCGACGCCCGAGGTCCTCGACCCTTCTCTTCACCTCGAGTGTGCGTCCCCTGTCCCCCATCTGCACGAGCGTCGTGTCCTGACTGACCTTCGGCCCTCGCTAGACGCGACGAGTTTCGTCCACCAGCTCAAGGTCGTCTCGCAACGCACCCTGCTCGCCTTCTACCGGTCCGTCGACTACACTTATACGAAGTGGATAAACCACTGCGCCCTCGCCCTCACGATCGGCCTCACGGTGCGTCCCGCCTTCCTCCCTCTCCCCCAATCGGCCTTCCCAAACTGACCCTCCTCGACGACCGCAGTACCTCCAGCTCGGCAACTCGCAAGAGGACATGCAGTACCGCCTCTTTGCACTCTTCTACCTCGTCACGCTCCCGGCCATCCTCATCGCCCAGGTCGAGCCGCTCTTCATCCACAACCGCACGACCTTTGTCCGCGAGGCGAGCTCGAAGATGTACTCGCCCGTCGTGTTCGGCATCACGCAGCTCGTCGGCGAGATGCCCTACTCGCTTCTCTGCGCCGTCACCTTCTTCCTCCTCTTCTGTGGGTCCCTCTCTCGGTCCCTCCTTTCGTCCCCGGCGCCGCGCACAGACCCTCGTCTGACTCTTTTCCCTCGCGCTCCCTCTTCCGCAGACTACCCGATCGGCTTCGACTCGGACTCGAACCGGGCCGGCTACCACTTTGCCTTCGTCCTCCTCCTCGAGATCTACTCGGTCACGCTCGGTCAAGCCTTTGCGGCCCTGTCGCCGACCGAGTACATCGCCGAGCAGATGGTGCCCGGCGCGCTCCTCATCTTTGTCACCTTCTGCGGTGCGTCCTCCTCTTCTCTCTCTTTCTGCCCTGTCCCGAGAACGTGGCCCTGACCAAGTCGAACATCCTTGCAGGCGTCACGGTCCGGTACGACGAGCTGCTCGGCTTCTGGCACTGGCTCTACTGGGTCAACCCGTTCACATACGTCGTCGAGGGCACCATGGCGAACGAGATGCACGGCCGCATCATCGAGGTGCGTCCCGCTCTCTCTCGTGTCGGGGCTCGTGCGCCACTCTCTCCCCGTCAGGCCGACCGACCTGACGCTCGCCTCCCTTCTCCTCCTCGCAGTGCACCCCTCGCGAGCTGCGCGTGTTCGAGCCGCCGACCGGGCAGACGTGCGCCGAGTGGGCGGGCGCCTTTATCGAGGCGTCGACCGGGTACTTGACCAACCCGGACGCGACGGCCGCCTGCGAGTGTGAGTCCTCGCTCTCTCTCTCTCTCTCTCCCTCTAGCGTGCTCGACTGACAATTGTGACGCTGCCCGCAGACTGCCAGTACGCCAACGGCGACGAGTTCGCGTCGACGTACGGCTGGAGCTTCTCGAACCGCGGTCGCGACATCGGCATCTTCCTCGTCTTTGTCCTCGTGCGTAGCCTCTCCCCCCTCTCGCCTTCCGTGCCGCTCGTACGTGGGTACTGACTGTCGAACGCGAGACAGTTCAACTGCGCCGTCACGGTCGCGGCGTCCAAGTGGCTCAGGTACAGCAAGCGCTAGATCTCGAGCACGGTGGCGCGCTTCGCTTCCTTCTAGAGCTCTCGTTCGTGTAGATAAAGTCGTTACTGCATCTCGCAACTCGTCGTTCCCCATCTAGCGCCGCGCTCGTGCGATAGAGCGAAAAAAGAGAGGAAGCGGTGGCTGAGGAAGGCTCGCTAGTGGCTCCACGCGAGCTGTAAGGGCAGCGTGCTCTCGAGTCAGACGCAGCCGCCGTGAAGAGTCTAAGAAGGTGCGCTGAGCTGCGGGCGAGGAGGCAGAGCCGGCTCTCAGCCGAACGTGCACAGGCCCTCGTCCTGCCGGCGCTCTCGTGGCGGAAGCTGAGGCTCGTCGAGATGCTGCGAGACACTCCTTTGTACATATAGAGGGCGGTCGCGCTACGGTCGCGCCGACTCCTCGTCGCCTCCTCCTCCTCACCCTCGACCCGCCCGATCCGAAACCGCCTCCTCGCCTCGCCGCCGGCTCGTCACTCGTCGTCCTCGCCCGCCGGGCTCAGTGCGACGAGGTTGAACTGGATGCTGTTGGTCAAGTCCATGATGCGCCTCACGACGGCAACGGCGTCGTCGAGGAGGCCCTTGTCGGTGAGCTTGCCGTGGTTGACGGGCGAGTTGCGCCGGCCGTCGAGCTCGATGAGGAAGCCGTTGTGCGCGACGAACGTGACAAAGTGCAGGTCGGTGTTGTCCTCGAGGGCGGGAGCCTGCGAAAGGGCGGCATCGAGGAAGGAAGAGTGGGTCAGGGACGTCGAGAGAAAGAGAGGAACGAGCGCAACGCACGGCAGTCTGGCCCGTGTGCGCCGTCTCGGTGTGCACGCGCTCGAGGTCGTTGTTCTGCACGAGGAGCTGGGCACGTTCGAGCGGCGACTGTAGGCGAGAGACGTCAGGACGAGAGTCTCAAAAGGGGGCGCGAAGAAAGGGAACGAGCGGGCGCACCTTGTCGATGCAGCGCTCGAACAGCTCGGTCAAGGGTCCCTCCTCTGCAGGGACGAGTCGGCGGGTCAGTATGGCTTCTACAAGGTCGAGCCCTGTCGTGCTCGACGAGCGAGAGCGAGAGAAGGCGGATCGTGCGAGGACAGCCTGACGCACTGATGGGCACGTCCGTGTTGGCGAGCGTGTGCAGGAGCGCGAAGGTGCCGCATGCGTTGGCGACTGTGGGCAATGGGGACCAGAGTCAGTGCTCCCGCTGCCACAGAGAGGGGAAGGAGAGAGAGTGCGAAACGGCGACGCAACTCGTCTGCTTGAAGTAGATGACGTCCTCGACGCCCTCGACGCCGTCCTCGAGGATGTCGTCGTCCTGCTTCTTGCGCAAGTCCTCGTACTCCTTGGTGACGGGGAAGAGCATGAGGACGGCTTTGACGGGCTGCTTGACGAAGGCGAGGAGCTCGGGGTCGAGCCCCCACACGTCGACAAAGCGGTAGCCGTTGGGGCTGGACGTGTCGAGGCCGAGGGATGCACTCCAGCGGTTGAAGCTTTCCGGGTTGCTGTGTGGCGAGACGGGTGAGCGAGTTGGACGAGGGGCGAGGAGGAGGACGGAGGACGAGGCGAGGACGCACCTCTCGAGCGGGAGCCAGCGCGGGTCGTCCATCATGGCCATCGGGGGAGGTGCAGGGCTAGAGTGCGGGCAAGGCAGAGCAGCGAGTGTCGAGGGCGAGGTCGAGACCGGAGACAGGGACGAGACGAGCAGGACCAAGTCGGTTCGCTCGTCCGCTCCTCCACCCCGACCCGGTCCAGCTTGTGCACGATGGCGACCAACATCTTTGGCCACGAGGTGCGTCCCGTCTCGCTTTGACCCGGAGCGGCCCCATGTCGTCGTCGCCGTTCTCCCAGCTCATCGTCTCGTCGCTGACCTCGCACTCGTGTCCCCGGTCCACAGGCTACCCAGGAGCGCGCAGAGAATGTCCGTCCCTCTTCCACATCCCTCATCAGCACTGCCCAGCCGCCCTCTACCTTCCCCAACGCGCTCGCGAGCTCCATCGCCGGCACGCGCCGCGACCCTCGACCACTTTCCCGCACCGCCCTCGCACACGACGAGCAACCTCCCTGAAGCGCTCAGCACGCTCAGAAGAGCTCTCGGATGGGATGGTGCAGCCGGCAGAACCGCAGGGGCTAGGTGGACGGTCGCCCGAGTGCACTCGCAGGAGGACGTCGAGCAGCGGGCGATGAAGCCTTCCCGGCTCAAGGCCAGCGCCATACTCGAGTCGAGGGCGAGCAGGAGCCGCACAGCAGCCGACCGCAGTTCCCTTCAGAGCCCCCTGAACTGACCTTGGCCCTCTGCCCGCAGGCCCGTCTCTCGTCCTTTGTCGGCGCACTCGCCCTCGGCGACCTCGTCAAGTCGACCCTCGGCCCAAAGGGCATGAACAAGATCCTTCACTCGACCTCGACCGGCGAGATCACCGTCACCAACGACGGCGCCACCATCCTCAAGAGCATCGCGCTCGACAACCCGGCTGCCAAGATCCTCGTCAACATCTCCAAGGTCCAGGACGACGAGGTCGGCGACGGCACGACGTCCGTCACCGTCCTTGCGTCCGAGATCCTGCGCGAGGCCGAGAAGCTTGTCACGATTCAGCGCGTCCACCCGCAGGTGTGAGTCCTCGCCCTTCCTCGCCGTCCCGCGTTCTCGTGCCCCTCGTTAGCCAGAATTGACTCTCTCTCTCACTCTTACAGTGTCATCGAGGGCTTCCGCATTGCGTCTAAGGCGGCGCTGACCGCTCTCGAGGGTGCGGCCGAGGACCACGGGTGCGTCGCCGACGTCTTCCTCTTCCTTGTCTTGCCCAAGAGATCACGGCCCCTGACACCTAGCCCTTTGCTTCGCCTCGTGCAGCAAAGACGAGGCGGCGTTCCGCGAGGACCTGCTCGCGATCGCGCGCACGACCCTGTCGTCCAAGGTGCTCGCGGCCGACAAGAACTACTTTGCCGAGCTCGCCGTCTCGGCCGTCCTGCGCCTCAAGGGCTCGACCGACCTCGACCACATCCAGATCATCAAGAAGCAGGGCGGCAAGCTCACCGACTCGTACCTCGACGAGGGCTTCATCCTCGACAAGAAGATTGGCGTCAACTGCCCGCACTCGATGAAGGGCGCAAAGATCCTCATCGCCAACACACCCATGGACACGGACAAGATCAAGATCTTTGGCGCCCGCGTCAAGGTCGACTCGACGGGCAAGCTCGCAGAGCTCGAGCGGGCAGAGCGGGTCCGTCCCCTTTCTCTCCTCCTCTCTCCTTTCCCTCGCTCGCTCGCCTTGACTGACCCTCTCTCTCTTGCGCACTTGCAGGAGAAAATGAAGGCAAAGGTGGCCAAGATCAAGGCGTCCGGCGTGACGTGCTTCGTCAACCGCCAGCTCATCTACAACTACCCCGAGTCGCTGTTCGCCGAGGCCGGCATCCTGTCGATCGAGCACGCCGACTTTGAGGGCGTCGAGCGCCTCGCGCTCGTCACCGGTGGCGAGATCGCGAGCACGTTCGACGAGCCGGACAAGGTCAAGCTGGGTCGGTGCGACACGATCGAGGAGATCATGATTGGCGAGGACAAGGTGCGTCCCTCTCCCTTCCTCCCCTCCGTGAGGAACCTCCCTAACTCGAGTCTCGATCCTGCACCTGTAGCTCATCAAGTTCTCGGGCGTCGCCGCCGGCGAGGCGTGCACGGTCGTCCTGCGCGGCGCGACGGGCCAGATGATCGACGAGGCCGACCGCTCGCTGCACGACGCCCTGTCGGTCCTGAGCCAGACGGTCAAGGAGACGCGCGTCACGCTCGGCGGCGGGTGCGCAGAGATGATCATGGCCGTCGCCGTCGACGAGGAGGCCAAGCGCACCGAGGGCAAGAAGGCGCTCGCCGTCGAGGCGTTCGCGAGGGCATTGAGGCAGGTGCGTCCAGGTTCTCTCTTCGTTCCCGAGCTGTGCGACGATGCTCTGGTCGTCGCATGCCTCTCCGTTCGAGTGATTGGTCTTGACGTCGTCCCGCGCGCTCCTCGCAGATCCCGACCATCCTGGCCGACAACGCCGGGTACGACTCGAGCGACCTCGTCGCCAAGCTTCGTGCGGCACATTACGAGGGCCGGACAGACGCCGGGCTCGGTGCGTCCTCGCTCTCGTTCCCTCCTCCCCCCTCTCTGGCGCTCGGGCCCTCTTTTCGCACTCTCCTCGCCCTCGTCCCTGAGCCCGAACTGACTCGGTCTGTTCTCCCTCTTGCGCAGACATGTTCAAGGGCGTCGTCGGCAGCATGAAGGAGTGCGGCGTCACCGAGAGCTACAAGCTCAAGCGCCAGGTCGTCCTCTCGGCGAGCGAGGCTGCCGAGATGATCCTCCGTGTCGACGACAGTGCGTCCCACTCTCTCTCTCTCCTCTTTCGTTCTGCGCAACGAGCAAGCCCTGACGAGCCGCACGCACACAGTCCTGCGGAGCGCGCCGAGGAGGCGCGAGGGTCACTGAGGGAGGCCGGAAAGGAGGAGCAAGTCGATCCACGAGAAAGGTGTCATCCTGTAGAATTTGCCCCAGCAGCGTTTTTCCCTCTCCCTCTCACTCGCAAAGCACCCGCTCTCTCGTTGTGCCACCATCTCGGACTCGTCTCGGGTTTCGCTCGAGGGAGAGGAAGGGAGCGTGCGAACAAGTTGGTTGCGAGAGCTACACATGAGAGAATAAGAGAGCGAAGTGGTACAGGGTCGAGTAAGATGGAAGATGGTCGCTCGGGCGTCCTGCTGCGGCGAGCGCAGGCGAGGTCCGTGCGCCTCGAAACGACGACGCGACTAGAAGTCGCCGCCGCCCATGTCGTCGCCGCCGCCAAAGTCGCCACCGTCTTGACCGTCCTGGTAGCCCTGCATGTCGAGAGAGCGAGGCGAGGAGTCAGGAGGCGGGCAAGAGGAAAGGAGAGAAAGAGAGAGCGAGTTGAGGGCGCACATCCTGGTAAGCGTCGTTCTGGCCGTCGGCGAGTGCGCCGCCAATGAGGGCGCCACCGAGGAGACCGCCACCGAGCATGAGGGCCTGCGAGAGGGCGAGAACGGGTCAGGAAGGGGGCTCGCCGGCTCGAGCCTCGACGAGAGAGAAGAGGGGGACGCACCGGGTTCATGCCGCCGCCGCCCATCCTCCCACCTCCGCCCATCATGCCGCCGCCCATGCGTCCACCGCCCATCATGCCGCCACCCATCGGCTGCTGGCCATACATCGGCTGCCCACCGTAGCCCTGCTGCCCGCCGTACGGCCTCTGCTGCTGGGCCTTCTTCTCGTCGAGCTTGCTCTTGATCTTGCCAAACAGGCCGCTCGCGCCCGACTTCTGCTGCTGCTGTTGAGGCGGCGGCTGCTGGTACTGGTACGAGTTGGGCGCAGGCGAGCTGGTCGACTGAGGGTAACCGCCGCCGCCGTACGAGTCGCGCTGGCCCGTAGATGCGCCGAGAGGAGGTGCTGGCGTCGACGACTTAATGTCGGTGCCGTAGCTGTTGCCGTAGCTGCTGTTCGAGTGCGAGTTTGAGCTGGCGAGGTGGTGCGAGGGAGGAGGGCCAGGAGGAGGGGCAAACGTGCTCGACGAGCCGCCGCCGTGGGTGCGCTGGTAGTCGGGGTCGTCGAGGGGGTGGGTCCAGATGGATCGAGGCAGATTGGCCTGCACAGCGGGGGCGAGAGGAGGAGCGGGTGAGCCGGCGACCCGGTGGTCTTGGCGAGCGGCGAGCACACGGGCACGGACAGAGAGAGGGAGAGCGGGTGCGCACCTTTGTGTCGACCCAGAAGCTGCGACCGTGACTGTGTGGGTGCGTCCCAGTCAGCTCGTGTCCTCGTCGAGGACCGATGACGACGACGACGACGGCTCGAGGTGGGGGGAGGTGGGCTCACTTTGCGTCAAACTGGGTGATCCAGCCGTCAGGGAGAGGGCGCGAGTCGTGGTCCGGGGCTTGCTGGACGTAGCTCATCGTGGGCGAGCAAGCAGAGGTTGTCGAGAGACGAGAGACGAGGAGGTGGTGGTGGCGACGAGCTGATCAACGTGCGCCCACCTCGCTCTCGGGGTGTGTGCAGTGGCCTTGCAGTCGACTCGCTCGTCGACAGTACGCGCGAGAGAGCCCCGGCACAGGCGGAACGAACGAGAACCGCTCGTCGTCTGCTCGCTCGTCGAAGGCGCTCGAGCCGCTGTCGCTCTCGCTCTCACTCGCAGAGGGACGTGGTCGTACACTTGCCCTGGCAGTGCAACCGCGCGAACCGCAAGCACAAAACGACGTCCTTGCCCCCGCAGCTCGCCCGACGGCACCCACCCTGAGCGTCCCACACTCTCTCGTCGAGCGCGTCGTCTACTCCTTGGTCTTGACCGAACCGCGGAGGAGACCAGTGCGGCGGGCAGCAATGAGACCGGCCTGTGTGAGGGAAAGGAGTCAGTGAGGGCGCGAGGGGAAGGGAGAAGGTGAGAGGGGGCGCACCTTCTGTCCGGACACGGCCTGGCGCGAGATCGTCGACGCCTTACCGATGTGCTGGTGGTTACCACCACCGTGCTGTACAAGGAGGAGGAAGAAGAGAGTCAGTGAGGCGCTCCCGACAACGGAGACGCTGGCTCGAGGGAGAGGGAGAGAGAGAGAGGGAGACGGACCGGGTGGTCGACCGGGTTCATGGCAACACCGCGGGTCTTGGGGAAGTTGTTCTTCTTGGCCTTGGCGGCGTGGAAGGCACGACCAGCCTTGAGCATGGGCTTGTCGATGCGACCACCGCCGGCGACGATGCCAATCGTGGCGCGAGCGAGGCTCGAGACCGACTTCTTGGCGCCCGACGGGAGGCGGATGCGGGTGCGGCCCTGGTCGGCGTCGTGGCCGATGACGGTCGCGTAGTTGCCCGAGGTGCGGGCGAGCGCGCCGCGGTCACCGGCCTGCTCCTCGACGTTGCAGACGATGGTACCCTCGGGGAGCTGGGCGAGCGGGAGGACGTTGCCGACGGCGAGGGTCGCCTTCTTGCCGCAGAAGACAAAGGCGCCGGTCGAGAGGCCCTCGGTGGCGATGAAGGTCTCGGTGCGCATCTTGTAGCGGTACGGGTCGCGGAAGACGACGCGGGCGAGGGGCGCGCCACGGCCCGAGTCGTGGACGATCTCCTTGACGAGGCCGCGGATGTAGCCGTTCTTCTCGGCAAAGTCGAGAGCGCGGAGCTTGGCCGGCGCAACACGGTGGTGCGTGTGCGCGCGGAAGATGCCGCCGCTCTTACGCTGGTTGCGGATGACTGTCGAGGTGGACGAGGGGGATCATCGAGGGAGGGGGCGAGGCGAGGCGGGCGGTCGGTGAGGGGGAGGGGCAGGCGCAATAAGGCGTGCGCACGAGTCGATTGGCGGCAGTAGGGTAGGTCGTAGGCGAGGCGAGGCGGTGGAGCGAGGAGGGGGGGAGGCAACAGGTGAGCTCGGCGGGGTCTCGGTGACGGCACGGGAAGAGGGAGAGAGGGGACGCACCACGTCCCATTTCGACTGGATCCCGTCACAGCACGCACGAGTGCAACCGAGAGAGTGGGCGAGGGAAAGGGAGGACGAGGGGAGGGGGAGGTTCAAAAAAGCCGTCAGCGCTCGAGTCCCGCTCTGGCGACACACTCGCTCCGTGCTGGTCCAACCGTGCCCGCCGTGCCCTGTGCGAGCCCTGCTCTGCTGCGCGCTGCCCCTCCTGGTCCTCCCGAGAGCCGCCGCGAGGACGTGGTGGCCCTCCCTCGTTGCGGCCGCTTTTGCCCCTCGGCGGCTCGACAACGCGACGACGGCGGGCTCTGGGCGGGTGCTGAGAGGGCGAGGGTGGCGTGGAAGGGTGCAGGGTCGAGTCTGGCCATCAAGCAGCGGTGCTCACCTTGGCGTTCGACGGGAGGGAGACGAGCACGGGGGAAGGGGAGAGCTCGCCTCGCTCTCGCGCGCGACCCTCCTCCTCCACGCCTCGCTTGCCTCGAGCGACCCCGCTCTCGACTTGAACCTCTCCCTGGCACGCTCTCCTGCTCAGCCACACCCACTCGTTCGACCACGTCGAGGTCACACCGCTCAACTCGCTCGTGCCGCAACCTCGCGCTCAATCTCGCTCTCGCTCTCGCTCGCTCTCCAAGGTCAACCTGGCTCGAGAGAGAGCGTCAAGCTGCTTTACACACGCCCTCTCGCGCTCGAGCACGCTCGGCCCCGTCTCACCGCAAGTACTGCCCCTCGCCGCGCTCCTGCAACCCACGCGCGCTGCTCCTCGCGTCGAGGAACAGCTCGTCCGTCTCGGCCACGTCGGCGAGCGTGATCTCGGTGCGGCCCTGGACCCGCGACAGGATCGACGCCGGCGTGAGAAGCTGCAGGGCGTAGCTGTCGAAGGCGAGTGTGTGGACGAGAGAGAGGAAGAGAGAACGAGAGAGAGGGAGGGAAAGAGGTCGTCAGGCGGTGCGCGACAGGACCCACGCCGAGAGGGAAAGAGAGGGGCGACGCACCGAAGCGAGGTGCGGATGCCGTCGTCTGCGAGCTTGTCGAGCGCCTCGGGCTGGATCGCCAAACCCTCGACCTTGACGCGCGTCTGGAGGACCGTCTTGATCTCGTCGCGCTGGTACGGCAACGTGCGCACGATCATGCACCGGTCGAGGAGGTCGATCGGGACGCCGTGCGGGCTCACGATGCCCTCGCCGCCGCCGTACCCGGGCTCGGACTCGGTGCCGCGAATCGTCGTCAGGCCGCGGTTGGTCGCGAGGATGACGTGCGGCGACATGGTCGACTCGAGCGCGCGGTTGAGGTACGTGAACGCCTCGATGTCGAGCATGTGCACCTCGTCGATGAAGAGAACGCCCGGGATCAACTCCGCGATCCCTTGCTCGATGTACGAGTTGACGACCTTGTTGATCTCGGCGCGCAGCTTGTCCGTCACCTCGGTGCGGCGGCCCTTGACGAGCTGGCCCATGACGCTCATGATGTCCTGCCCGCCTTGCGGTCGCGCGTTGGCCATGTCGAGGTCGTGCAGCGTCACGTCCTGGACGATCTCCTTCTTCTTGTGCACGTCGCCCTTTGGCAACGGCACGTACTCCTCGGCCTCGAGGTCGTACTCGGTCGCGTACGCGTCTGACCGCCCGACACGCTGCGTGCGACAGGGAACGAGGTCAGAGCGCGTCTTGGGCGAGGGCGACAGGACGGGAAAAGGAGAGAGCGAGGGGACGCACCTTGACGGCGCCCGTGTTGGCCTCGATGTAGATGACGTCGCCGATCTGGACACGCTCCTTCTGAATCGACTCGTAGATGCTCGGGTCGAGGCGCAGCTGCTTGGTGCCCTTTGCCGTCTTGAGCGCGACGACGACGTGCGAGATGGTCTTGCCGTACCCGCTCAGCGGGTTCTCGGTCTCGGCCGGCGTCAACTCGGTCACCTCGCCCTCGTACACCTCCTTGGTCTCCTTGACGCGCAGACCTGGTGGCACAGGAAAGGGAGGGGTCAGTCGAGGGGGACGGCGACGAGAGAGGGGAAGAAGAGTGGGGGCAGTGGACGGACCGATGGCGCGGCGAAAGTTCTCCATGAGGACCTCGGTCTTCTTGACCTCGGAGCTGAAGACCTCGCTGCCGACCATGGGGCAGAACGGCACCTTGTGGCCGAGCTCCTGGGCGACGGCGAGCGCGAGGGCCGTCTTGCCCGTGCCCGGTGCGCCGGCGAGGAGGAGGGCGCGGCCCGAGAACCGCCTGGAGCGGATCAGCTCGAGGACGAGGCCACATGCCTGAGTGTGTGTGTGCGGGTGAGTGGGGCGGCTCGAGGTGATGAGGAGGGGGTGACGGGGGAGGGAGGAGAGGGGAAGGGCGGGCTCACCTCGCGAGCTGCGCGCTGGCCGACAAAGCCCGAGCGGTCTGCGTGGGCAAAGCCGTCGTCGTCGAGCCCGAGGCCCTTGATGTGCGAGTGGGACGAGATGCGGGCCTCGCGCTGGCCTTGGGGGATGCCCGTCGTGGGCGGCATGGCTTGGGCTTTTGGTGGGCGGGTCGGGGGATGGAGAGCTGGTCGAGGTCGGTGCTCGAGCTGAGCGGTCGTGTGCAGAGCGAGTCGCGGTGTCGAGTCGTCGTCGCTCGTCGTCGCTCGTCGCTCGTCGTTGGCGCTCTCACGGCCAAGTCGAAAGTGGGCGTCGCGCTCTCTCCCCTTCCGAGTTGCGAGACTGGCTTGGACTCGAGTGTGACCTAGTCAGCTACGGGACTACACTGCGAGACCAGCGCTCGCCGACAGTAGTGCACAGCGGCTGAGAGAGCGAGCTCGGGCCCGACCGCCGCGCGAACCCACCCTCGCTCGCGAGCGACGAGCCGCTCTCTTTCTTCTGGAAAGCCGCCGGCATCCCCCTGCACCGCCAGGTTACGCGCACCCTCCCTCCCACATCCCCTCACCGACCCTCGTCATGGCCTTCCTCGACCCGTCCCAGGCAAAGGCGCACCTCGCGACCTACTCGCGCAACGACGGCCTCTCGGTCCGCGAGCTCATGGACTCGCAGAAGCAGGGCGGCCTCACCTACAACGACTTCCTCGTCCTCCCCGGCCACATCAACTTCCCCGCGAGCGCCGTCTCGCTCGAGTCGCGCGTCACCAAGAAGACGGTCCTCAAGACCCCGTTCCTCTCGTCCCCGATGGACACCGTCACCGAGACCGACATGGCCATCACTATGGCGGTGCGTCCCCCTTTGTCCTCTCTCTCGAGCGAGCGAGCGCGCGAGCGGCGAGAGCGAGTCCTGACTCGTCGCCCTCCCGCAGCTCCTCGGCGGCCTCGGCGTCATCCACCACAACCTGCCCGCCCAGATGCAGGCCGACATGGTTCGCGCCGTCAAGAAGTGCGTCCCTGCTCCCCTTCGTCCCTCGACGTCGCCGTTGCGCGCCGTCGCTGACCCTCGTCCTCTCCTCCAGGTTCGAGAACGGCTTCATCACCGACCCGGTCTGCCTCAGCCCGTCTGGTACGGTCGCAGACGTGTGGAAGATCAAGGAGACGCAGGGCTTCTGCGGCATCCCCATCACCGGTCCGTCAAGTCATCCTCTCTTTCCTTCCTCCCCCCCCTCCCCCTCCTTCGGCACGCTCTCGAGCACGACCACGGTCGACTCGTCGCTCGCCCTTTCGTGATGACCAACCTATCATTTCCTTCGTTCTACCGAATTGAGTTTGATCACTCGTTTCAAGCCGTGTGGATGCGTGATACTCGTCTTTCGTGACGCCTGACCTGTTGGACGACGACGACGTCGGTCGTGCTTCGAGCGTGCCGCTCCCCCTCAGCAGTCGCCCCCTCTCTCGACGAGCCTCGTACTGACATCCTCGTCCCGCACGCGCAGACTCGGGCAAGCTCGGCGGCAAGCTCCTCGGCATCGTCACCGGCCGCGACATCCAGTTCCGCCCGTCCAACGCCTCGCTCGAGTCGGTCATGACCCAGGGCGCCGACCTCGTCACCGGCCGCTCGGGCATCACGCTCGAGCAGGCCAACGACATCCTGCGCGACAGCAAGAAGGGCAAGCTCCCGCTCGTCGACTCGGAGGGCCGCCTCGTCGCGCTCCTCGCCCGCTCGGACCTCCTCAAGAACAAGGACTACCCGCTCGCGTCCAAGAAGCCCGACTCGAAGCAGCTCATCTGCGCCGCCGCGATCGGCACCCGTGGGCCCGACCGCGACCGCCTGCGCCTCCTCGCCGAGGCCGGCCTCGACATCGTCGTCCTCGACTCGTCGCAGGGCAACTCGGTCTTCCAGCTCGAGATGATCCAGTGGATCAAGCAGACGTTCCCCGACATCGAGGTCATCGCCGGCAACGTCGTCACGCGCGAGCAGGCCGCCGAGCTCATCCAGGCCGGCGCCGACGGCCTCCGGGTTGGCATGGGCTCGGGCTCGATCTGCATCACGCAGGAGGTGACGGCCGTCGGTCGCCCGCAGGCGACAGCGGTGTTTGCCGTCGCCGAGTTTGCGCGCCAGTTCGGCGTGCCCGTCGTGGCCGACGGCGGCATCTCGAACGTCGGCCACATCGCCAAGGCGCTCGCGCTCGGCGCGTCGGCCGTCATGATGGGCGGTCTCCTCGCCGGCACGACCGAGTCGCCCGGCGAGTTCTTCTACAACGAGGGCAAGCGCCTCAAGAAGTACCGCGGCATGGGCTCGATCGACGCCATGGACGCCGGCACGCAGAAGGGCCAGACCAAGGTCGACGAGATCGACAACGCCGCCACGTCGCGCTACTTCTCCGAGGGCGACTCGGTCCGCGTCGCGCAGGGCGTCGCCGGCTCGGTCGCCGACAAGGGCTCGCTCAAGCGCTTCCTCCCGTACCTGTACGCCGGCCTGCAGCACTCGCTCCAGGACATGGGCACCGACTCGGTCGCCAAGATGCAGGACCAGGCGTTCGACGGCACGCTCCGGTTCGAGCTGCGCACGGCGAGCGCCCAGATCGAGGGCGGCGTGCACGGCCTCCACTCGTTCGAGAAGCGCCTCTTCTCCTAGGCGCCTCGTCGCCCCTTCTTCCTGCGCAGGTCGTCGGTCGGTCGGTGAGCGAGGAGGCTTGTATCGTTGGTGTCGCAGCAGTCGTGGTTGGGTCGGGTTGTGCGTTCCTCCTCCTTCTCCCACCTCGCGCTCCCCTTGTAGTTTTCCCTCCCCCTCTCGCCTGGTTTATTCCCCTCATTGCCCTAGATCCTCGCGCCATGCCAAACATCGCACACGCATTCTGCGCTCGCTCGTTCATCGTCGTCGTCGCCCTCGAGAGGAGAACCCGCTCGACCTTCTCAAGTTGAAGCTTCTCGCCTCGTCGCCGCAGAGCACTCGCCGCGCTCGTCTCGATCGCTTCGGCGACGCTCTCCGGGCAGGTCGGCCCCCTGTCCGTCCGCGTGCGCAGCTCCTGGCGAACGACGGACTCGCCGCGGACGGGCACGGACCCCCTCCTGCGCAGCCCGGGAGCCGGTCTTCTCGCTCTCGCCTCTCTCGCTCCTTCCTCTCGCTCGCCTTGCGACCTGCTCGCTCTCGTTCGCTCAAGCATGAGCGCCTCATCGTCGTCGACCTCGGTCGAGCCGTGCACCGTGTGCGACCAGCCGGGCACCCTCTGCTGCGGCGCGTGCAAGCAAGCACGCTTCTGCTCGGCGAGATGTCAGCGCAAAGTGCGTTCCTCTTCTCTCTGTCGTCCCTGAGCAGTCCAGACACGCGGCTGACACGTCGCTCCCGCAGTTCTGGTGCGTGCACAAGGTCCTGTGCGGCCGCGACCCCGACGTGCTCTACTTGCCGCCACTGTCGCCCGACGAGCTCGACAACCTCGATCGCATCAAGGACGCCCCTGTCGTGCAGGGCCTGTCGACACGGACCGCGCTCACCCTGACGTACCTTGGCATCGACTGGGCGGTGCGTCTCTCGAGTTCGCCTCGTCAACCTCGCTTGAGCGCGGACCTTGCAGCTCACATTGCCCACGCGCACGCAGACCTTCATGACTTACGTGTCGTCGGCAGCGGCCGCGCCACCGAACGACGTCGGGCGCAACGAGCTCATCATGTTTGCCCAGCATCACCTGTTCACGGCTCGAGCGCGCGGCGTCTTGCCCTCGATCGGCAAGGGCACCGTCTGGTACAACTTTGGCCACCTCGCGTTCGGCCTGGTCGCCACGTGCAACGCCGAGGACAAGAAGCGCAAGCCGCCGCAGTGGAATCCCTTCGAGGCGACCGTGCGACTCGGCGACGTGCTGCGTCGTCAACTCGTCACGTCGGCGGTCTGGCAAGCAGGACCCGAGTCGAGGACGCAAGACGTTGCGATCCTGCGCACCTGCACGAGCCGGACCGTCGAGGCGGTCGAGCGCGCCGACATTCCGCTCGGAGCGAAGAGCCAGCTCAAGGCGACGCTCGAGGCCATCCTGGCGTGGGCCTCGTAGCCTGTGCCTGCAAAGCTGTCCAGCATAGACACCCTTGCGCGCCTCGACAGCTTGGCTTCATCGGGCGCGGTACCGCTTGCGTGCGGCGAAGCGAGCACACCGCGAGCGAGAGCGAGCAAGTGAGCGAGACCACCAGCCAGCGTGACGCGGCTGCGCGAGCAGGATCTGAGAGCTCGGATTCGCGAGCTCGTAAGCACGAAAGCAGCATAGCGAGCCCTGACGGCGAGGTGGTCGTCGAGAGAGGTGCGTCGGCGAACGCTGGAGGCGAGGCAGCCTCACCGCGTCCCTCGCGCAGCAGAGCGGCTCGTCTGAGCTGCGAGCTGGCCGTACGACACCTCGAGCACGCCCACACCCGTCAGCGTCCCGCCACGAGCTCTCGTAGCTCGCCAGCACCTCCCGCGTCCTCATCGCCCCCGCGACCCTCTCGAGCCTCGCTCCCTCGCCTACAACCGCCCTGATGACCGCCAAAATGCCGACCCTGTGCGCCGTGTGCCAAGAACCTTCAAACACCCGCTGCAGCGCGTGCAGCGAGGTCGCCTTCTGCTCTCGCCGCTGCTCGACCCTGGTGAGCACGTCGTGCCTCTCCTCCCTCCCGCTCTGCAGCCCCCGGAAGCAAGCTGAGCCGTCCTGTCCACAGCTCTGGCCGTCGCACAAAGCCATGTGCGGCCGCGACCTCAACCTCTTCTACCTGCCGCCGCTCTCGACCTCCGAGTTCAAGAAGCTGCGCGCCATCAAGGACAAGCCGTACGGCGCGAGCGGGCAGAGCCTCGTGTACGAGGTGCTCGAGGAGGGGCGAGGCGGTAGCCCGGACCGCGTCATCGAGGTACGCTCCCTCCCCTCGCTCGTCGTCGCTCAGACGAGGCCCAGGACCTGACCGCTCTGTACGGTCCGCAGGCCTTCTGGTTCGCCGTCACCATGTCCGCCGACTCGGACGCGACGGTCGAGGACATCCGCGTCGCCTCGCTCCTCCTCGCCTACGAGTACCTCCACCGCGCCAAGCAGGAGGACAAGCCCGCCGACCTTGCCGCGCCCGCGCTCTCGTGCTGGGAGGCCTTTGCGCCGTCGGCGAGCTCGTTCCGCCTGAAGTACCTCGACACCCTCGAGCAGCTCGACGGCCAATCGGCAGCGCAAGCCGACGCCGCCAACCGAGGTCCGCTCGTCGTCCTCAACGGCGTCCTGCGCCAAGAGCTCGTCCACGCGACGCTCTGCGCCCACGTCATGCAGCCCAAGCCGATCCTCACTATCCCCGAGCTTCGACCCCTCTTGCGCAAGGGCTACGAGCGCCTGCTCGAGGCCGTCGACGCGGCCGACATGTCGCCGGCGACCAAGAAGGCGATGCGCGAGTTCTCCAACACGCAGTCGCTCGCGCAGGCGATGCAGGGCTGAGGAGCGGGCGTCCTGGACGGCATCAAGTTGCGGCCGCTGGTCGAGCCGCAGCAGGACGTTGCTCGTCGAGTCGAGGTGCGCCCCTGTCTCTCTTTTCCGGTCGCGCTCGAAGCCTTTCTCGTTACCTGCACCGACTGACTAAACCTTCAGCCCACAGCTTCGACGACAGACCCTCGCCATGCTCTGCGTTGCACAATGAGCGCTCCTGCGCCTGGACGACTCGGCGTCGCCGCGGCCTCGTCGTCGAGCGTCCCTCGAGCGTTCTTGGTCTCGCCTCTCGAGGCAGGATAGAGCGAGGGCCACTTAGAGCGACGTTGGTTCTTGAGCGCAATGGAGCGTACGACCACGTCCTCCTGCGAGGGAGAGCGAGAGCGAGAGCGGCTCGAGCGCTTTGACGAGCGGGCCGACGACGAGCGCTTCTCATTCTTGGCCCCCTTATGCGAGAGCGCGCACACTGTCGGTGAGCGAGTCGACCTCACTGCCCGCTGCACACGACCCGGGCTGGCGGACCTTGATCAGCTCGTCGTCGCCTCCTCCTCCTCCTCGTCTCTCGCTTCTCCCCTCTCCACAACCTCTGCTTGCTCGCCCACGATGAGCTACGCCCAGCAAGCCCCCGATCACGACTCGCGCCCTCTACCTGACGGCTGGATCACCCAGTTTGACGCAAAGTGAGCCCGCCCGCCCCCCACCTCGAGCCGTCGCCGTCGCCGTCATCGGTCCTCGACAGGGACACGAGCTGACTGGGACGCACCTACACAGTCACGGTCGCAGCTTCTGGGTCGACACAAAGGTGCGCACCCGCTCTCCCTCTTTCTGCCCGTATGCTCGCCGCCCGCCAAGACCATCGAGTCGCCGGCTCACCCGCTCTCCTCCCGCCCCGCCGTCGAGCAGGCCAATCCGCCTCGATCCATCTGGACCCACCCTCTCGACGACCCCGACTACCAGCGCACCCACGGCGGTGGCTCGTCGAGCACGTTCGCCCCTCCTCCTGGCCCTCCTCCCTCGCACCACCTCTCGAGCTCCAACTCGCACTCGAACACCGGCTACGGCAACAGCTACGGCACCGACATTAAGTCGTCGACGCCAGCACCTCCTCTCGGCGCATCTACGGGCCAGCGCGACTCGTACGGCGGCGGCGGTTACCCTCAGTCGACCAGCTCGCCTGCGCCCAACTCGTACCAGTACCAGCAGCAGCCGCCTCAACAGCAGCAGCAGAAGTCGGGCGCGAGCGGCCTGTTTGGCAAGATCAAGAGCAAGCTCGACGAGAAGAAGGCCCAGCAGCAGCAGCAGCGGCCGTACGGCGGGCAGCAGCAGGGCTACGGTGGGCAGCCGATGTACGGCCAGCAGCCGATGGGTGGCGGCATGATGGGTGGTGGACGCATGGGCGGCGGCATGATGGGCGGAGGTGGGAGGATGGGCGGCGGCGGCATGAACCCGGTGCGTCCCCCTCTTCTCTCTCGTCGAGGCTCGAGCCGGCGAGCCCCCTTCCTGACCCGTTCTCGCCCTCTCGCAGGCCCTCATGCTCGGTGGCGGTCTCCTCGGTGGCGCCCTCATCGGCGGCGCACTCGCCGACGGCCAGAACGACGCTTACCAGGACGTGCGTCCTCATCTCGCGCTCTCTCTCTCTCTCCTTTCCTCTCGTCCGCCTCCTGACCTTTCCTCGCCTCTCGCTCTCTCGACGTGCAGGGCTACCAGGACGGTCAAGACGGTGGCGACTTTGGCGGCGGCGACGACATGGGCGGTGGGGACTTCTAGTCGCGTCGGCGTTCCTTTCTCCTCCCTCGCCACCTTTGTCTCTGCCCTGCGGCTCTATCCGCCCTGTACCACTCTCCGATCTCATCATTATCTGTCTGCAATGCGAACTGTCGAACCTGAGAGATCTCTCGCGTGCGACTGCTTCCAGATCCCGCTCCTCTCCACCTTCTCTGGAATCGACGGACGAGCGAGCCAAAGAGAGAGAGAGCGAACGAATCTGCGTTTCGTCGAGCTGCTATATACTGTCTGCGTCTTGAACTGCTGCTGCTGCGACACCCCCCTCCTCCCTCGGCACCTCCTGTCCGACCTCGACTCGAGAAGGGGCTCAAGCGCCAATGACGGCAAACTCGCCGACGGTGCCGCCGTAGCCCTCGGTCGCGTACGAGCCCTCGACGGTGAGCTGCACGTAGCGCGCAGTGACCGTCTCGTTGAGCGAGATGTCGGTCAGGTTGCCGATGTCGACCTGGACGATGAGCGACTCGGCGAGGTCGTACGGCGCCGAGAGGGTCACGTTGCCCGACGAGATGGGCGACGCCGACGCGAGCTCGGACGACGAGTTTGAGACAGCGATCGAGTAGTATGTCGGCGGCTCTGCGTGCAGGCGAGAGAGTCAGTCGACGGACAGGGCGAGAGAAGGGACTGAGGGAGAGGAGGAGGACCGTGCGCACCGTTGTTCCAGTTGAGGTGGAAGCCCTTAATCTGCTGCGCCTCGCCAAGGTCGACGGTCATCGAGGTCGGCTCGGTCGTGAACGGCTGCCAGGTCGTCTAAGGGAGGAAAAAGAGAGGGCGAGTCAGTCGTTGTTCAGCAGGCCGAGGAGGGAGACGACGGACCGAGTTGGCGCCGTCGATGGCGGCGAGCGCGTACTCGCCTGGACGGCTCGTGCGGTTCATCGGGTCGATGTGGAAGCGCGTGTCGTTGTTGAGGACGCTCTTGCACTGAGCGAGGTTGCCGTCGACGAGCGTGCCCTCGGTCGAGCGAGTCGGGACCGTGATCGACTCGCCGCGCGAGATCGTGCTGCGGTCGAATGCGAGAGTCAGGTCGTATCCGAGAGCGAGAGACGACCCGGCGAAGAAGGAGGAGAAAGGGGAGCGCACAAGTTGCCGCCGGCCTTGCCGCTGCGGACCTCGATGGGCAGGGTGCCGTTGCCGCCACTGCGGTAGGTGATGGTCGTGTTCTTCGACTCGACGGTGACGTCAATCGAGGCGCCGTGCCACTTGAGGCCCTTGACCGTGTAGTTCTTGAGCTGAGGCGGGAGCGAAGGGTCGAAGTAGGGACGGTCGAGGCGGAAGCGGTACCCGGTGTAGCCGTGCGTGAGCGTCCTGCGCAGGAAGTAGACGAGTCAGGGAGAGGTCCACGGTACGGCCACGCGCCAAGTCAAAGGTGGGTCTGCTGGGAGACTTGCGACGAGGCAAAGGAAGAGGCGAAAAGGGCGAGTCGAGGCGAAAAGGACACAGCGCCGACGGCTCGACAGGGAGGGAGAGACTCACTGGAGGTAGCCTCCTGCGCCGGTGAGGAACGTGAACGCCGGGTTGGTGCCACCATTGTCGGCCCACTCGTCGATCTGCTGCTCCGAGAACTGGTAGAACGGCGCGCGCGAGTACGGCTGGATGCCCTGGAGGAAGTAGGTGTACGAGGCGCAGCCAATGGGCGACAGCTCGGCGGCGAGGATCCTGCGGGGCCCGGGCAGGAGGGTCAGGGCGTTCGGGTCGAGGAAGAGGGGCAGGAAAGAGAAGGCGAGCGACGCACGAGTAGATGCTGCAAGCGAGGAACACGAAGAGTCGGTGAGCTCCAGCTCGTCGAAAGGTTCAAGAAAAAGAGAGAGGGGACGCACCCCCAGGTCATGGCGGGGCCGTCAGGCGAGTTGGCGCCCGAGTAGAAGTCGAGGGTCGTGAGGGCGACACTCTCGGCCGACGAGCCGTACGTCGGCTTGCCGCTCGGCCACTTGAACTCGTACGGGTACTCGAGCAGGACGACGTCGGCCTGCTTGATCTCGGCGGAGCCGTTCGTGCCGTCGAAGCCGAGGATGATGCCGCTCCGGGCTTGCGGGATCAGGGTCTTCTCGTAGATGTCGGTCAGGTTGCTCGGCAGGTCGTCGACGCCGAGGATGGCGGCAAGCTCCATCGCCTGCTTGATCGTGACCGTGAGGGCGCCGTTGGCTGTCGAACCCGGGTTTGAGAAGGTCAGTTCGCGCCGACGAGAAGGACGACGCCGACGATGGGAGAGGAGGAAACGAGAGGACGTACTCAAGCCCGTGTTGTTGACCTGGTTGGCGTACTCGTCGGCGCCGGTCGTGTTGAGCGTGACGTACTCGTACGTGCCGTTGCCCGTCTCGTTCTTCGTGACGAACGACGCGAACATCTCGGCAGCGCCCTTGACGAGCGGGTAGCCCTTCTCCTCGAGCCACGTCTTGTTGTTGGTCGTCGCGTAGTACTGCCACGCGGCGAGGGCGATGTCGCTGTTGAGGTGGTACTGGCTGTGGACGAGGGACGAGGAGAGGGAAAGGAGGAATGGCGAGATTAGGGGCGGTCGACGAGAAGGACGACGAGCGAGGAATTGGGGACGCACTAGTCGGCGCAGGGCCCGATACCGGTGCAGTTACCGAAACGAGCGCCGGTCCACGGGTACAGGGCGCCGGCGAGGCCGAACTGCTTGGCGTTCTCCTTTGCGGCGCCGAGCTGGCGGTAGCGGAAGTCGACGATGCTCTGCGAGAAGCGACGTGTCAGATCGAGGCACGACGAGTCTAAAGGATGGCGGAGAAGGCGGTCGGCAAGGCGAGGTCGAGAAGGCGAGGGGAAGAGGCGCAAGGTTCGGGGAGGAGAGGGAGAGAGACCAAGGCCGCAAACTCACCTCGGCGTAGTCAGGGTACAGCGCCATGATCGACGGCGACATCCAGATGTCTGCGGGCGTGCAGCGTCCAAAGGTGAGCGGTGGGCGAACAAGTCGAGTTTAGGAAGGTCGACGGACCGGCGTCCCAGAAAATGTCTGCGAGGCGGCGAGGCTGCGTCAGGACGACTCGGGACGAGGAGGAGGAGAGGAAGGAGGACGTACGACCGGCGTACGAGTCGGACGTGAGGCCTGCAGGAGCGATCGAGTTGTCGCCGAGCCCAGTGGGCTCGGACCCGTTGCGGACCTGCTCGTCGACCGACCGAGTCAGTCACGACGTCGCCTGACGAGCGTCGAGGAGGAGAACAGAGAACGAGAGTGCTCACGTTGGTCAAGATGTGGAACAAGCTCGCGCGAGTCGCGATCTGCAGCTCCTCGTTCTCCTCGCCCGGGATCTCGATGTCGGCGTCGTCCCAGACGGCGTCCCACGCGCTGCGGTGGCTCTCGAGGATGACGTCCCAGCCGGTCGAGTTGGCGAGGTTGGCCTTGGCGAGGGCCGTCTCGAGCTCCTTGCCCGGGAACGCGTCCGACGAGGCGATGCCGACGTACTTGATCGCGTCGAGCTTGCCGTTCGACGGGACCGACGACGCGAGGCGGTAGCACGAGCTCGCCGTCGAGACGTTGGTCGACAGGATGTCGCCGAGGCAGCTCGAGCCGGTGTCGTTCGACCACTGCGTCGACGAGCGAGGCCAGATGTCCATAACCGAGACCTCGTACGCCGTCACGTTCGAGATGCCGACGGGGCGAACGGCCGTGTGCAGCGTGTTGACCGTGTCGGGAACAGGACCCGACGAGACAAAGTCAGTGCGCCACGCGCCGGCACCCTGCGCGAGGAGGACCAAGAGTCACTTTCCGAGGACGGGTTGAGGAAGGAGAGGGAGAGGGCGTACGTCAAAGACGTCGGTGAAGGCGACCTGCATGTTCTCGTTCAGGCCCTCGACGGTGAGGCGGATGGCGCCGATGTTGGGCTCGACGCGGTGGGCGATGACCGTGTACGACAGGCGGATCGGCTCGGACGCGCCCTCGGGGGTCCAGTCGAGCGAGGTGCGCACGACGCCGTCCTGGACGCTCATCGACTGGGTCCAGTTCGAGATCTGCTCGTCGGGCGTCTGCGTCGAGTACGTCTGGTTGTTGACCGTGAAGTAGAGCGACGACCAGGTCGGCAAAGTCGAGATGGGCTGTTGGCCGCCGGTTTGCGCCTGCATGTCGAGCTCGAGTCAGTACTGGCTCGGCGTCGTCGTCTCGAGGAGGAGAAGGAGGACTGGGGCGCACAAAGTTGGTCCCGGCCGTCTCGGGCTGCTGGTCGTAGAAGCCCGCGACCATCGCGGCCGTCATTCGGGGCGTGAAGAGCGGCCACCCTTGGGTGCCATCGCGCGCCGTCAGGTTGTTGGGCGTCATCTCGCGGTAGCCGAAGCCCTCTGCAGGACGATTGACGAGGCGGTCAGGCTCGTTTGCCTCGGCGAAAGCGTGACATGTGGGGGAGGGGGAGGAAGGAGGCGAGGACGCACCGGCCGGGATGCGCTGACCGATGTAGCCGTTTGAGACGTAAGGTTGACGCTGCCACGAGGTGCGGTTGACCTCGTTGGTCGACAGGTCATAGTTGGCCGACTGGGCGTTGGCGGTCGAGGCGAGAAGAAGAGCGGCAGCCGCGCCGACGAGGCGGCACTTGGCGCGTCGGCGAGGCGGTACAGTCGAGCTGAGCATGTCGGAGGATCGAGGCAGCAGCTGTCGAGACGAGCGCGCTCGGGTGGGGGAGGAAGAAGAGCGAGGGCGAGTCGAAGAATGAAATCGAGAGGAAACGAAGGCGTGGGCTCCGGCGAAATGCCCAGCGTCGCCCCACGCTCGTGCTGCGCCAGGGACGGGCTCTGCCGACGAGGGCGTCCAGGACGAGTCGAGGGCGAAACAAACTGCGTCATGCTTGACCTTCTCGTCGACGCAGGCCGAGCGGATCGTCGGCTTAACTCGCCTGTTCCGGAACGACCAGGGTCAGTCGGCCGTCACTCGCCTGCCGCGCAGAGCGTGGGACGAGAGAGAACGGAGGGGACGCACCGTCTGGTCCCTCGCACAAGGCGGAGCAAGTCGTCCGAGAGCAAGAGCTCGAGCGAGCAGGCTGACTCCCGACGTCGAACTGCTCGAGCGGCCCGCAAGAGGCTCGCGCGGTGCCCTGGCTCGAATGCTGTAGCAGTTTGGCGTCCCGCACGAGCGAGCAGGCGCCGCGAAAGGGGCACGAGGCGAGAGAGGTTGGGCCGGGGCGATGAAGACCTTTGTGGCCAGCCGAGGGCGCAGTCGCGGCGTGTAGCTGTCGAGTAGCAGCGTGCACACAGCTTGGTGCACTGCGCAAGCCAGCCGGTGGTGTTGACTTAAAGGACGAGGAGCTCGAGCTGGTCCTCGTCGACTCGGAGGTTGGTCGTACCCTCGCCTCGCTCCCGCCTGCGAGCTGCTATGGCCACCTGGGATGCACCGACAAGCAGCCTCGGACCGCCCTCGACGCCCCCAAGACCGCCCCGTACCCCGTCCTTCCTCCCCTTCCTCCTCACCTCGCTCCTGTTCGCCCTCACCGCCTACTGCGTCCTGTCGCCCCGCCCGGCTCGCCTACTGCGTCGATGCGAGCTGCGCCTCCACCGACTCGCCTCCCGCCTATTCGCCCGACTCCCTGTCCCCGCCGCGCTTCAAGCCCCGACCGACCTCTCCATCGCCATCCGCTCCTTCTCCGACTACTCGCACGCCCAGGGCCGCGTCTTGACGCGCAAATGGGCCGCATTCGACCGCATGTCGCGTGCACACCGCCGCATCGGCGTCCAGCTCGGGTGGAAGGACACGCTCGCGCGCGCCGAGGACGCCGTCGAGGTCAACGCCGTCGTCGCCGACGAGTTGGCCGCACTCGGGCTCGAGCTCGCGAGGCGCGAGGGGATCCCTGTTGGGTTGCGCAGTCGGCTGGCCGGACGCGAGGACGGCCGTGTCGTCGAGGTATGCCCGCTCGCCCTCATCCTTCCTTTCCTCGTACCCCCCCTTTCCCCCTCGAACAGCCTTGGGCTGATTCTCCTCTTGTCCTGCAACGATGCTCCCTATCCTTCCAGACCCTCAAGCACTTTGTGAGAGACTGGAGCTGCGAGGGCAAGAGCGAGCGAGACGCCCTGTTTCCTCCGGTCCTCGACGCCTTGCGAGCCGCGTTTGGCGGCGGCGAGCGCGAGGGCAAGAAGGTGCTCGTGCCCGGGTGCGGCCTCGGTCGACTCGCCCACGATATCGCGCTCGAGGGCTTCTCGGTCGACGCCAACGACTGTGCGTCTCCTGCTCCCTCTCCTCCTCGACGAGTGTACCCTGACCTCGAGCCTCGTTTCGCAGTCTCGCACTTCATGAACCTCGGCACCTCGCTCCTCTTCAGCCGCACCCACATCGTCGACCAACACACCGTCGCGCCCTACGTCCACTCGTTCTCGCACCAACGCACCTCGTCCAACCTCGTGCGGCGCATCTCGTTCCCGGACGTCGTCCCGCGGCGCGACCTCGCCCTGCGCTTCGTCCCTGGCGATTTTCTCGAGCTCTTCACGTCGCTCGACCAGTACGACGCCGTCGTGACCCTGTTCTTCATCGACACGGCCGCCAACTTGCTCGCGTACCTCGACACGATATGGGCTGCGCTCAAGCCCGGCGGCGTCTGGGTCAACGAAGGCCCGCTCCTGTACTACGGCAACCCGGGCATGGAGCTCCCGTACGTCCCTCGTTCTCTCTCTCTGGAATCCTCTCCTCTCTCGAGAACGTGCCGGAAAGACTGACACGGCCCGAGCGAGACGCAGGCTCGAGGACGTCGTGCGCGCCGCAGAACTCGTCGGGTTCGTCATCGAGAAGCGCGACGAGCTGCGCGAGGTGCGCTATACGGCCGATGAGCTCGGCATGTACACGTGCGTCTCCTCTCTCAGCCTGCGAGGTCACTCGGTCACTTGAGCGGCACCGCTCACTCGTCCCTCTCGCACGCAGCTTCGCCTACGACTGCGCGTTCTGGGTCGCACGCAAGCCGAGCGAGGCAGGGAGAGAGCCAGGGGCAGAGCGTGGTCCGGCGCGAGGGCTGTAGCTGCGGCAGTTCTGCATCTCTCGAGCGCGAGTCGATCCTCTCTGAAAGAGCGAGTCGGGAGAGAAAGGAAAACTGTATTCTCTCCTCCTCGCACACGGAACTACGTACACCTCGCTCGTCCTCCTCGTTGCTCTGCCGGCTGGACCCGCCGCTCTCGAATAGACGACCGCTCACTGCGCCTTGCTCGGGTCGAGCCCGGTCGAGCCCGTCATCTTGGTCTCGAGGCCGTGCGGCGTCTCGATCGCGAGCAGGGCCGAAGCGCCGACGAGGACAGTCGGGACCAGGATGATGACCGTGATCAGGACCGCTGAGGGTGGGGCGGGAGAGGGAAGGCTCGAGTCAGTCGAGGCCAGGATCGAGGAGAACGAGGGAAAAGAGAGAGGGGGGACGCACAGAGAATGAGCGCAGGCGTGAAGAAGACGTAGCGGTGGAAGAGGCCGCTGTTGGGCTTGGGCTGGAAGATGCTCGTGCCGTTGCCCGAGCCCTCGTCGTCGTCGCCATCGTCGCCGTCGTCGGACGAGCCCTTCTTGAGCGGCACGGCGTCGAGGATGCTGCCGTCCCACTCGGTGTACGGGTCGACGGCGGCAGCGTACTCGGCCTGCGTCACCTCGACCGGCTCGCCGTCGTCGACGACTGGGCGCGCGAGCACGTCGGCGTCGGCGTCCTCGCCGAGTGCCGCCTCGCCCGACTCGACAGCGTCCTCGGCAGCAATCTCTTCGAGAAGCTCCTCGATGTACGTCTCCTCGCTCGACGAGCCGTCGACGTCGTCGGCAAACTCGCCCTGGCGCTTGACGAGCGACCTGGCGGCCTTCTTCTGCGACTTGCCCTTGTTCTTGGCGATCGACGGGCGGACGGCCGAGACAACGATGACGTGACGGCCGGTCGAAGCGGCCTCGAGCTCGTGCGCGACGGCGTCTGTAGAGGAATCGAGGCAAAGAGGTTTAGTGCTCGGCGGCCGGGAGGAAGGGGAGGACAGTGGAGGAAAGAGGGGGACGCACCAAGCTGCATCATGATCTCTCGACGCGCCTCGCGACCCTGCGCAGAGCCCGACTCGGTCGCGTCGAGGCCCTCGACGACCACGACCTTGATCTCCCTCTCGCCCGCACCGGCGCACTTGGTGAAGCGGCGGGCGATCCTGCTGGCCGGGGCGTGCACGCCGGCGAGGCTCGCCGAGACGTAGGGCATGGTGACGCTGCTGTCGGCAGCGAGCGCGGTGCGGATGGCCGAGTCGGAGGAGGTGGGGAGGAGGGCGAGGTCGGAATAGGCGAGGCCCGGGGCGACGAGGAAGGAGAGGGACGAGAGGGAGCACAGGTCGGCGGGCTCGGCGTCGTTGCGCTCGAGCGAGAAAGCCTGCTGGCTCTCGGCGACACTTGCCGCTCGGGCTGACGGGGTCGGGTTGAGGAGCGAGGCGAGGTGGAGCCTGCGAGGAGGAGAGCGGCAAGTCAGCGCATGCTCTGAGCACATGGTCGGGGGGGTTGCGAGAAGGGATCTCTGCGAGCGACAGTAGAGTCCCGAGGCTCGACGGCCCTTGTCGCCGGGTCCGCCTCGTCTCGGCAGGGGGGGTGCGTCAGAGGCGGCCCGACGACGGCCTCGCACACCGCTCGAGGCGATCCCTGGACTGCACGAGGCGAGCCACTGTGGGTCGCCGATGCCCCCCTGGAGCACTGGCACTCCCTCGAAGCGTGCTCGACGCGAGGACGACTCGTGGCTGATGAGGAGGAACGAGGCGACGCACCGGCTGTCGCTCCACGCGACGACTGGGTAGGTGCCAGCGAAGGCGTGTGCTGCACTAGCGCATGCTGCGAGTGCGCCGAGTGCTTGCAAGGCGTGCATCGTGCGAGGTCGAGAGTCGCAGGTGGTCGCCGTGGGGGAAGAGCCTCGAGCGGAGCAAGACGATTCTCAAACCTCGCTCTCGTCGCTCTCTCACAGCTGCCGGAGACGGGCGAGCGCGCACAACCGAGTCGCCGCGACACAATGCTCATGTTCCACACCAAGCGCGACAGAAAAAAAAAAGGCTCGTCCTCAAGCGGCATCCTCTCCCTCCCTCCTCCTCCATCGTCCTCGCGCCCTCACAAGTCGTGCGAGAAAGCGCACCGGTCGCCCCAGTCGCACCTCTTGCGCATCTGAAAGTACTTGCACGGCGTGCCCTTCTTGGGCCGCAGGTTGACCCTGCGCGACACGGGCGGCATCGCGCTCTGCGCGTGCCGGTGCGCGAACGGCGCCGGCGCCGACGGCGGCTTGTACCCGTTGTAAGGGTCGGCGCTGTGCGTGGCAGAAGGTGCACCCCATGCTGCAGGCGCGTGCTGGGCCGAGGGCGGGACGTAGCCGTTGTAGGCCGACTGCGAGAGGGGGTACAAGTCGACGACGTCGGTGTCAGTTTGGCTCGGCGCAGGGCGAAACCGACGGCGAGAGAGAGAGAGAGAGAGAGAGAAAGAAAGACAGAGACGCACATGCGCTGCACCGAAACCTGGAGGAACATAGGCGGCGTGCTGGCCCTGCTGCAGGTGCGGCGGGACGGGTCCGTGCCCGAGGGCATGCGCCGAGGCGCCCGGGCCAATGCCGAGCGCTGCGAGGTCGGGACCGGCCGCCATGTTCGGGTTGGCCTGCACGAGCGCGGCGACCTGCTCGGGCGGGTAGCTCCGCAGCGCCTCGAGCGCCTCGGCGTCGATTTGCCCTGGAGGAGGCTGCACCTGCGGGCCCGACGGCGGACCTGCCCCGAACGGCGGCGCGTGCGGGTTGGCGCCACTCGTCGCCGACCCGCCAATGCCGCCGAGCGCGTCGAGCCCGGCGACGCCGCCGTTCGCCGTGAGCTGGCTCAAGAGGGCCGAGATCTGGTCCGACGACGCGAACTCGCCGGCGCGCGACATCTGCGCCACCTCGATCGTCTGCAGCACCTCGGGGTCGTGCGCCATGTCGTCCGACAGCTGGATGCGCTTGATCTTGTCGTCGGGCTCGACCACGCCGTCCGTCTCGCTCGCGGGCGGCTCGGCGAGCGACTCGGCCGGCATGTCGACGTCCATCGAGAGCGCCTCGACGGCGGCATGCAGCTCGAGCTCGTGCGACTGCTTGGGCTCGGACAGGAGGGCGAACTCGGGGTTGTCGGGGAGCTTGACGTCTAGCCAAGAGGGAATGGGAAGGGAAAGCTTGTCAGTCTTCTGAACGGCTGAGACAGGGCGAGGCGAGGGAAGAGGAAAGGGGACGCACCGACAGGCTCGTACCAATCGATGAGCTCCTCAAAGTCCTCCTCAAAGTGCATGGCGAGCGACAGGCCCTCCTGCTCCTGCATGAGATGCAGGCTCTCGTCGAGGCTCTGCGGGCGTCGTCTCGGGGTCAGGTCATGCCTCCCGACGTGCGGATGGGGACGAGAGAGGGAGAGGGGGGGAGAGAGGTGAGGGAGGGAGAGACGCACCTCGCCCTCGGCAGTCACGGTCGCGATCTCGTGACCGTCCTCGTCGCCGTACACGGCCTTCTCGATCCACTTGATCTTCTCGAGCTCGCTCTCCTCGGCCCAGCTCACCTTCTTGCGCACGCGCACGCCGCCGTTGCCCAAAGTGCCGCCGGGCTTGCCCGTCGGCTTTCCGACTCGACGAGGTACGGCGGCGGCCGTGCCGGTTGCGGCGCTCGACGACGAGGCGCCGGTGCTCGGACCAACGGGGAGTGGTGCGGGTGGTGGAGGAGGAGGAGGCTTGGGGCCATTGGCGGCCTTGAGCTTGTCGAGCGCCTCCTTGAGGGCGCTCGTGCCGGACGGCTGCTTCTTGAACGACGGCATGGCCTTGGGGAGCGGGTTGGCGGCGACGACCTTCTTTGCCGACGACGACGACGAAGATGCAGGCGTCGTCCCGGTTTTGGCCTTCTTGGCAGGGCCTGCGAGGCGGCAACATCGAGTTTGAGAAGGTCAGTGACGAGCTCGACTTTACCGCCTCATTCACGGACAGGGGGGGGCGAGAGAAACACGTCGACGCACCCGGAGCTTCATCGGCTTTGCGCTTGACCGTCGACGAGCTGGAACCGGTGGCGGAGGACCCTGCACGGGCCGCCTCCTGCATGGCGACCCACTTGTCGACGAGCTGCGACGTGGCGGCCTTGACGGCTGCGGGCACGCACGACCGCGTCAGTCTCTCGGCACGAAAAGAAGATTGGGCGAGAGGAGGAAGAGGAGGGACGCACTGCTGTCGGCCGACCGGGTCTGGATGCGCTTGACGCGCCTCGCGACGGCCGAGTGCGCCCGCAGGTGGTCGATCGAGAGCGGCAGCTTGTTGAGCACCTGTGGCACGAGGGTGACCGCAAGGGTCGAACGAGTCAGTACACTGAACGGCACGGCTCGGAGAGAGATTGTGACCTCGACCGCCGACGGCTCGGGAGCGGGGTAAGGGAGGGGGGAGGACGGCTGCAGAAGCCTCGGGCTTGCTCTCTCGCACACGCGCGCTCCGATGAGAGGCGAACAGACGCTGTCGCTCGAGCTCCCGAATCTGCCGCGGCCGACGCTCGATTTGCATCCCGCTCGGTCCTCCTCGCCGCGAAGCGGCCTTCCGTCCTTCTCGCGCCGACTGCCGCAAAGGGCTCGCCGCTCCTCTCTCGCTCGGTCGGCACATGGAGCGCACAGGAAGGGGAGGGCGCAGAAAGAGGAAGGGGAGGGAGAGGGGGCGCACCTTAAGGACGAGGGCGAGCGTCGCGTGCTCGAGCTCCTTGGCCTTGCGCTCCTTGGCCGCCGCACCCTTGACCGCGCTCGCCGCCTCCTTCTCCTTGGTCGACAGTACGACGCGCTGACTGGCGCCCTCGAGCCAGCACTGAAGCAACTCGAGCCCGTCGCTCTTGCCCGACTCGACGGCGCCGCTCTTCTCCTTCTCCTTGCCCTTGCCCGCGCTCGCGCTCGCCGACGTCGCGGAGCCCGCGTCGACCCACGCGCGCCAAAAGTCGTCCTTGGCGTACGACGCGAGGGCGCTCAGGACCTCGGCGCGGCCCTCGGGCGGGACGTCGCTCGCGTCGCCCCACGGGCTCGCCGTGCTCGACCGGTCGGCGTACGTGAAGAGGCCGTGCAGGTTGCGCACGAGGAACTGGGCGGCGGCGAGGGGCGAGCGCTGGAGCCGCTTGGCGTCGGTGTAGGTGCGGATCTTGGGGAGGAACGACGTCCAGTGCTCGGGCGAGTAAGTCGACGGGGCGGGCCGCTTCTGGACAGCGACGGCAGGCGACGCCGAGCGTGCGACCTTGGACGACGAGGACGAGGATGTCGAGGCCGACGCCGTCGCCTTCTTGGCGACCGCAGGCGCCGCCTTGGGCGTCGACTCGCGAGAGGCCGATGCCGACCGCGAGACGGGCGGCGCCGAGATGGCCGACGGCGTGATCGTCATGGTCGGCGCGCTCGAGTCGGCCGACAGGGGCGGGTTGAAGAGCGCGCCGGGCTGGACGGCGACGGTCTGGCCCGAAGCCGACGACGACGAGGCCGACGATGAGGCAAAGTAGCCGCTCCAGGGCTGCTGCGTGCCGCCGAGTTGTGCGCGACCTTGGTGGATGAGGTCGGCCGTTGCTGAGAGCGACGACGACGCGACGGCGGGGTCGCCGAGGTTGGGCGGCAACGGCGAGGCGTGGCGGTAGAAGGTGCCCGGGGCCGAGAAGGGCGCGACGGCACCCGGGTACGTTGCGAACGGCGACGGCGTACGGGCGTTCGCGCTGCGGACGTGCGGGAACGACGGCTCGACGGGCGAGTGGGCCGGGAACTGGGCCATCGAGTGGTCGACGAACGCGTTGTCGTCGACGAGGCTGGATGGCTCGTCGGCGGCGTACGAGCTCATGTCGAGCACGTCGTCAAACGTCGTGTCGAACGACATGGCGGGCTCGGGCTGTTGAGGGACGGGCGCAGGAGCCTCGGGCGTGGCCGAGCGAGACGAGGACGACGAGAGGGTGATGGAGGCAGGGGCGGGAGGGAGGTCGGCGGCCGACGGCGCGTACGGGGACGGGTGGGCCGGGATACGGTCGCGGACGTAGTCGACGAGGAGCTCGTTGTTGACGGGCGGGTCGGCGCCGAGGTGACCTTGGAGCCAGCTGGCGAACGTCGGGTTGGACAAGAACTTGACGTCCCAGGGCGTGGTCGCGAGCGGGCGGAGGCTGTTTCGAGGCGGACGACGCACAGGGCGACGCAGGAGACACGAGCGTCAGTGACAACGTCCAGGCAAACGCGACGAGGACTGCTGGTTCCCGAGCCGAGCGCGCGGACGACGACGCGTCCTCCGAGCCACAACCATCTCGCTCGAGGGCAAAGGCAGACGCTCGAATTGCATGCAAAGGCTCGCTGTCGTTCTCTCGCTCTCGGAGAAGAGGAAGGGGCCGCCTCACCGCTGAGGAACCTTGTTGAGGCCGGCGAGCGTGGGCATACGGCAAAGGCCGAGTAGCTGCGGCGAGAAGGAGGGGACGGGACGGCTCGGGTCAGCTCACAGGGGACCTTGAGAGACAAGTGAGAGGAGGGACGCACTGCAGCTGACTTGGCGGACTCTGTGAGCGAGGCGAACGGGGCGGTCGGGAGGACGGCGAGGACGGGTGGTCGAGGTCGGCCGGGCGAGCGCTTGTGCGTGTGGCGGTGCTCGCGGTGGAGGCGGAGCGCTTTTTCGACCCTGCTCGGGAGGTTGGCGCGGAGCCGGGTGCGGCGAGAGGACCGAGGCGGAGGGCGGGTGATGAGGCGGCGACGACGACGAGGCGAGGGGCAGAGTCGGCGGCTTTCTCGACGCGAGGCTTTCGTGTGCGCGCGCTAGATCTGGCTCAGAGCACGCTGAGACTCTGCTCGGGTACCCGCTGTCTGCGCAGAGCGAGCGAGTGGACGACGAGTGGACGAGGGTGGGAGCAGAGCGGCAGGCGAGCGCCGAGCTGCCGTGTCGTAGCCCACGAGGGGTTTGTATTCCCCGTGGCTCAATCTGTATTGAGCAATACGAACGCGCTTAGCTTTTGGACTCTGACTGGCCCCCCGCCTTCTGAGCGACCCGTCCTCGTCGTCGTCCGCCCGCTCGCTCGCTACCGGGCATGGCCACGCGCTAGCTGCGTCCTGCACATGCTCCCAGTGCACGGTTCGGTGCCGTCGCAACCTCAACTCGCGCGCACGCCGTCCCACTCGAACCTCGTCGAACTCGCCCCACCTCCGCCTCTCGCCCATCAGCCCCAGCACTACGCCTACCCGCCCCAGCAGCAGCAGCAGCAGCAGCAAGTACCGCGACAGATGTACGCGCGCCAGCCACCGCAGCCGCCGCAGCAGCAGCGCGGGCTCGCGCCGGGGCCGCGAGCGGTCAACGGCATGCCCTCGAGTGTGGGGCCAGGAGGGCCAGGAGCGCAGATGATGCCGCCACCGGGCATGCATCGCGTCGTCGGCCTCGGTGGAGCGGGAGGACAGCCGCAGCCGCAGCCGGGCCAAGTCGTCGGACCGTCGCACCCGTCGCACCCTCAGCACGCCGCCTGGGTCCAGCACCAGCAACAGCAGCACCAGCAACAACAGCAGCACCACCACCAGCAGCAGCTTCACTCGCAGCAGCAGCAGCAGTACCTCCCTCAGCCTCCCCCTTCCTACCTCCCTCAGCCGCCTCCGCCGCCAGGGCACTACCTCGCACAGCCGCCGCCGCTTCCTCCTGGCCATGCGCCTCGTCAACCCCTCCCTCACTCCGCCTACGCCTCGTCGAGCGCCAACTCGGTCCCGTCATCGCCCGTCACCCACGCTGCCCTCCCCTACCCTCCACAACCTCAGCCGGGCGGGCCTCCTCCCCTCGTTCCCGTCGGCGCGCACCCTCATGCCGCAACGCCAACCCGCAGCGTCTCGTCGATGGCGGGCATGCGGCCACCGGGGCCTCTGAACAGCGGCGCACCGGGAGGAGGAGGCGGTCCGCCTCAGTCGAGCGCGTCGCCGTACGCCGCGTCGCCGATGCAGCAGCCGGGCCAGCCGCCTCTACAGCAGCCGCAGCAGCGGCCGAGCCTGAACGGCCTGCACCCGGCGCACGTGCAGCAGCAGATGCAGCCGCGTCCGATGATGCGCCAGTCGATCGCGCCTCAGCCCAACACGCTTCTCGCCGCTCATCTCGCCCTCAACGGGTGCGCACCCATCTCTCATTCTCTTTCTCTCTCTCGTTTGGGCGTCACTGACGACCTCTCTCGCGTGCAGCACCGGGCCCATCACGGCGACGGCGGCACCAACTGGACCTGCACTCGCTCGCCTCTCGGCCCTCAACGACGCCATCATGCTCGCGCTCGAGGTTCGTCGCTCTCCTCTCTTCTTCCACGATCCTTCTCTCGCCCGCCTGAGGACGTGAGCCTGACGCACCTGGACCACCTGCCGCAGAAGGAGAACCCGCTCGATGCACTAAGGTCCGTCGTCGCCGAGCACTTTACCGAGACGGGCGTCATCAAGATCGGCCTGTTCGACAAGTCGACGCAGATGAGCAAGGTCTTCGGTGAGCCCCGCTCTGATCAGCGTGTCGGCCTGCCCTTTCTCGCAGCGCCGTCGACTGACCTTCGCGCACGCGCAGAGATACCCTGTTCGGCCTTCCCTCGGTTCCAGCACCTCAACCACGTCCTCGGCGTCGTCACAGCCTTCATGACGGTCCACTTTGTCCGCGAGTTTCGCCTCACGACGCCCGACCCGGCCTCGCTCTCGTCGCCGCTCCCCGCCGGCGCACCACCGCCTCCTCAAGTGCACGTCGGCTACCTCCTGCAGGCCGACGACGCGTCGTGGACGTCGCGCTTTGCCCAGGGCACGCGCGTCGACCTCCTCGGCAGCCTCACGCTCCACCTCATGTTCAAGGACCTCGGCGGCGGCAGCGCCGGCTTGCGCATCGAGAGCCTCGACTTTGACGCCAAGGCGTTCGAGGAGAGCGTCGCTCGAGGCGCCATGGAGGCCGTCTCGGCCTCGTCGATGCCGCCCACCGCGGGCCCGCCGCTCGCGACGTCGGTCAAGCACGAGTCGCGCTCGGGCGGGCCGGACGAGGCGGACGAGCAGCAGGTCCAGGGCGCGCCGACGGGCAGGAAGGGCAGTGCGGGGTCGGCGGCGGCGCAACGCGGCATGGTGACTCGGCGGCGGAGCGCGAGCGCCAAGACGGAGCAGGATGCAGGAGGGCGAGCAGGAGGAGGCGACGAGGCCGACGATCGGCAGGGCGGCGGCGCATCAGCCGACGGCGGCGACGGCCCACGAGAAGAGCAGCAGGACGGCGTGCAGCGGCAGTCGAAGCAGGAGGACGACGTCCCGAGCGCGGTCGTGCGGGTCCGGGGCAGCCCCGTCGGCGGGTTCGGCATCACGAACTTGGGCATGCGGTGTCTCGAGGTCCGTCCCTCCTCCCTCTCAGTCCATCATGGTCTGTGTGTCCTCTCGCGTCGACGTACTCACCATCTCCTTTCGCCCATCCCTCGTCGCAGATCGCCGAGTCGGTCGCCCAACTGCAAGAGCTCATCGCGCTCTCGATCGAGTCGGGCGTCGGCCCTCTTCGTACGCCTCTTCTCTCTCTCCCTCTCTCTTTCGAGATCTCTCGGCTGGGGCGCACGGCGACTTACGCGCTCATTCGTGACTCGCAGAATGCCTGTCGACATACGGCGACCGGCCCCGTCCTCCTCCCTCATCCTTTCCTTCCGGCGCCCCTCCTCAGCCCCTCAATGCGCCACAGCCTTTCCCGCACTCGCCCATGGGTCAGCCGCCGACACCGGGTGCAGCGCCTGTCGCCGCCGCCCTGCAAAACCCGTCGACGAGCAGCTTCTACAGCTCGGTCGCCGCGTCGCCCGGCGGACGGCCCGGGAGCGCCGCAGGGCCCGGTGCAGGGCAAGGGCTCGGCCAAGGGCAGGGCCACGGCGACGCCGCGAGCCCGACGGCGGGTGCAGGTGGTCCCGCCGGCGCAGGAGGCAAGCGCAAAGCGCCGAGCGGAGCGAGCGGGCAAGGCGATGGATCCGCCGGCATGGATGGCGACCTGGGCAGTCCGCAGAAGGTGGCGCGAGGTGCAGGTGGAGCCCGAGGTCGTGGCAGAGGCCGATGAGGGCGACGCGCCGAGGTCGATGAGGGCGGTTTGTCTGTGTGGGGGAGCAGGCTCGGCGGCGACGACATGGCTGTTGTAGTGCTGGATGTGCCTCTTGTTCGCGCCGTGCAACGCCGATACCGTGTACGGCCATCTGCCCGAGCATGCCTGCGTCGAGCGGCGTCGCCTGCCTCGCCCGAACTCGACTTGCGAAGGTCGAGCTAGTCGAGGCTCGTGCGGCGCTCTCTCTAGCCGCAGAAAAGCTGGCACCCTGCTAGCGAGACGTCTCTCTCCGAGTGCGCTTACGGCAACTGTCGCGGTCGTGCGAGTGCGACCGCAATCGAGCGGCCGGCGCAGGCGAGCGAGGACGTCAATCTGCGGCTCAGAGCAAGGTTGCAGCGAGGCGGCGAAAGCTCGTGGCGGTGCGCCGCTTCGCTCTAACGGTGGAAGCACGACTCGACGAGGAGCCATGGCGGCTTTTGACAGCGGGCCTCGCTCTGATTCGTCTCGCGACGGCAAGCTTCCTCTCGTTTGGCTCAAACAGAACGTTGCACTTTCGCTCCTCTTCTGCCTCTTGCTCAGGCACTCTTTCGCTCGGCTAGGTCTCGAGGACAGGACGGGACAATCACACGTTGCAGAACTGCTAGAATGCCGCCGCCGCCTCGATGTCGTCCGCATCGAGCCAATCCGTCCCCCTGCGCAAGTCGTGGAAGCGTCAAATTGCCGCGAGAGAGAGACGGGAGAGGAGGAGAGGACGCACAGGTCGTACAGGGTGCGCCAGACACGGTCGCGGACGTGTGTCGGCCAACGAGGCGACGACCAGAGCCGAGTTTCAAAACCTCCTGCCGGCCCGGGTCAAAGTCAGGGGGCGGCCCGCACGCTCACACAGGCAGAAGAGGACGCACGAGATTGCGTAGAAGAGATGAGGGCGGCGAGTGGAGCCTCCTCGGTCGCCGGGTCGATCGTTCGTCGCCCCGTCCAAGAGGTCGCCGACGAGAACGAGGCGGATCTGCGCACACGAGGCGACGTCAGGCTCACTGCGCCAGGGCGCAGAGGAAGGTTGGACGCACGCCATAGGGGCCAGGGACGAGTTCCAGCCGTACTTGACGCCGTCGACCCCGAGCCACGTCTCGTCGAGCTTGAGGAGCGCTGCGAGCGGTCGAGCGGAATCAGGACTGGGTCGCGAGTAGAGGGAGAAAGGGAGCCGAGAGCACGCACGAGCATCGAGGAAGACGTCGCGGTCCCTCGCAGGTGCGACTTGAGCGCGCACGTCGGCGTTGATGCCGTTGCCCGTGAGGAGGACCTGGACCGGACCTGCAGGTCGTTCGGGCGTCAAGACCTCATTCACTCATGGTCCACACTCGAGACCACGGACCTGGTACGACATGGGTGCCGTTCCACCGAGTGAGCCACCCTCGCTCCCGGAGCGGCGCGAGCTCCCGCACGACGGCATGGTACGTCTCGTTGCCGCGAGTTTTCTGCGCGACGTGGGCGGGCGTCAGGGCAAGAACGGGCCAGAAGTGAAGGGGGGGACGCACAAGGTCGACGAGCAGCCGTATCGGCGTCATGTTGCCCTCGTAGAAGCTGCGCGGCCGAGATGATTAGAGAAGAACGGCCTCGAGAAGGGGGAGAAGCGGTCGGCGCACCTTGTCCAAAGTCTCCTCGGCTCCCGCTCGTTCTCCTGGCTGTAGTAGTCGACGTAATTGAAGAAGGTGGTCTCGTGGTCGTGCACGTTGGCGCGCTCGAGGACGTCGACGAGCTGCGAGATGTACAGGCGCTGGAAAGTGCGGGCTCGAGTGAGGGCGGCGACGCTGTGCGACACCTGCGGGCGCGAGGGCTGTCAGCTCTCGACGGGGTCGGCGGGGAGGAGGGGGGAGGAAGGCCGGGCGCACATAGAGCACGTCATCCTTGGGGTTGAGCCACACGTCGGCCTCGATGGAGAGGACGCCGTGCGAGAGGGCGGTGTAAACGGGCACGTCCCGCCAGTAGTCGTTGTGCGAGTGAATGCGGCGCTGCAGGTGGGTCCCAGGTGAGCTGTCGGGCGAGGGCACGACGGATTACGGAGGGTGGACGCACCTCGGGCACGTTGCGCGAGAAGCCGGTCGGCATGCGGAGCTCGGGAGCGTCGTGGCCGCCCTCGTACGGGCTGTAGGTCTGCGGGGCGTGGCGGTGTGGTCAGCTGCGAGTCTCTGGAGAGGGCGGAAGGCAGCGGCGCACCGGCAGCATGCGGTACTCGCCTCTCCCCACATCTCGCCCATGATGAGACGACGAGGTTGGGTCGAGCGGGATCTGGAGGGCGTGGGTCGGCCAGGATGCCGGAAAGGCGACGAGAAGCACCAGGAGAGCCGTCGGTAGCAGCAGCATCTCGCCGCGAGCTGCGATGGTCGAGCAACGGCAGCTCGAGCTCTCGTCGCCGAGTTCCTCCTTACGACCGAGGTCGGGTTCTCTCGCTCGCAGTTGACAGGCAGCGCGCACTCTCGTTCGCGGCGACAAGGGAGCCTGTGAAAGAGTTGCAATGTCCACGCACGACGAAACTAAAAACATGCACGGGCTCGAAGGACCGCCAACGACGCTCATGCCCTGCTGCGACCGCGCTCGACCTCCTCGGGGATACCGTGCGTGCCCTGGACCTCGTCCGAGTCGCGAATGCTCTGCAGGGTAGGGCAAGGGGATCGAAAGTGGGTCAGGCTCACCGTCGTGCTGGGCGGGAAAGAGGGAGGGAGAGGGAGGACGCACCCTCGCCTTGGACACGGCACGCCGCTTGAGCGCCGGGTCGGTCGCGTCCTCGAAGTAGGCCGGAAGGATGTACTTGAGGCGCCACAGCTCCTCGGCCGACACCTCCGAGTGCGGCGTCATGAGCGAGAACTTCATGGCGCCCTCGGCCTGGGTCGCGACCTGCTTCGACTCGACCGCCTCGTGCACGGCGGCGAGGATCGACGCAGTGATGTGCTTCGACAGCGAAGCGTTCGTCTTGAGCGTCTTGAGCACCTCCTCGACCGTGACGGGCGCGGCGTCGGTCCTCCACGCGTCGTAGTCGGTCGACGTGCACACAAGGGCGTACCTGCGGGGCGAGAGCGTCAGGGTCGGGTCCCTCGGCAACAGGAAAGAAAGAGCGAGAGGGGGGACGCACGCAAGCTCGGCCTCACGAGCCAGCTTGGACTCGGGCACGGCGCTCATGTTGATGATGTCGCCGCCCCACTGGCGGTACATGTTGCTCTCGGCGCGAGTCGAGAACTGGGGGCCCTCCATGACGACGAGCGTCTTCTTGTCGTGCAGGCGCGGCTCGTCCGACGGGTTGATGTGGTCCGGGAACGTGTTGATCGCCTCCTTGACGAGCGGGACGATGAACTCGCGCAGCTCGACGTCGAACGGCTCGCCGAACATGGCGTGGCCGACCATGGTCGTGTCAAAATAGGTCGAAGGACGGATACCCTGCGTGTGGGCCCACAGTCAGCTCATGGCGGGTGAGGTGGGGGAGGAGGACGAGGGAGGGGGCGCACCTTGGTGCGGTCGATGATCTGGTCGGGGATGATGATGTCGCCCGGGCGGATCTCCTCGCGCAGAGAGCCGACAGCCGAGAAGCCGACGATGGCCTTGACGCCGAGGTGCTTGAGCGCGGCAATGTTGGCGCGGGCGGGGACGGCCGAGGGCGGGATGTTGTGGTGCGGGCCGTGGCGCGCGAGGAACGCGAGCTTGATCGGGCCTTTGGGCGTGTCGAGCGAGGCAATCGAGATGGGCGAGGAAGGCGGGCCCCAAGGCTGCAGGCAGGGTGAGACGAGGGCAGGAGGAGCGGGGGAGGGGGAAGACGAGGTCAGCTCGCGCTCTCGGCGGGGGTGGACGGCGGGACGCACAGTGATGGGGTTGACGGTGCGCTCGATGTGCAGGTTGTCGAGCTTGTACAGGCCAGAGCCGCCGATGATGCCTTCATCGCCCAAGTCGCGGAGAGGTCGAGACGAGGAGGCGAGGACGGGGGGCCACGCCGGTCAGTCCTTGCTCGACGGGGCTTGGGCGAGGGACAGGAGAGAGAGTGCGACGCACCAACTAGGGGAGGGTTCTCCATGATGGCCGAGTGGAACGGAGGAGAGCGAGTTGCCGAGGGAGCGCGGACCATGGTGGCAGTCGAGGGCTAGTTTGTCGTGGGTCGTGGGGAGCGAGAGCGTGCAGCAAGGGGCTCGAGTGAACGAGTGAGTGCAAGGAAGCAGACCAACGTTGCAGCTCGACAGGCGACGACGTCGCACGTCGCTCGGACTCTCTCAGCTGACCTTCTCCGCTCGCGGCTTGCGAGCTCGCAACCCAAGCCCGAACTTGCGCAAGCTCCTCTCGGATCGATTGCAGAGAGCTGCACGTGCTACGAGCGGAACCAGTCACGCGCAGAACACCGCCTCGTGCGGAGCCGCCGTGCGCTCAACTTGCCTCGTCAACTCGGTCACCTGACCTCCGGCTGCGCCCTCGCCGGCATGCCTTGGCGCCGGTCGCGCGCCTCGGCGGCCGTGTCACCTGCTTGCAAAGTGGATGAATGCGGTGCCGCAGGTCGAACCCGTGCGCGCCGACGAGCGGAAAGGCGGGCCCGAGGGCGAGGGCGAGGTCACGGCTCGAGCGCGACGCAGGTGACCTCGTCGAAAGCTGGCTGCAGAAGGCGGGTCGAAAAAAGGTGAGCAAGGGGCACTGGGCGAGAGAGAGAGAGAGAAGAGAGAGAAGAGGACGCGGACGCACGCAGGAGAGTTTGGCGGCCGTCGGAGATCTGCGGGCGCGAGCGGCTCGTCAGGCCGGGTACGGACGGCGACGGCGCATGGACGACGACGACGACGACGACGTGCCTGGCTCGACACCCGCACAGTCGACCGCGTCGGCGCACCCGACGCTCAGCCGGCCCGCCTGCTCGCCGCCTGCGACGCCTGGGCCAGCTTGGTGCGCTCGTCGCGGATGTCGCGCATGCGCTGCTCCTGCATGCGCCGCAGGATGGCGACGACGCGCTCGTCGGGCCCTTGCGCACGCCCGGTTGCAGTCGCGGCGTTCGAGCGCGACGACGTCGACGACGAGCCGACGCCCATGGCGGCCGCAGCCGGGCCGGCGCTCGACCCGTTGCCCGACGACGACGGGCCCGCCTCGAGCTGGGCCCACAGCTCGTACAGCGAGACGATCTCCTGGACGATCTCGAGCACGAGCGACGTGTCGACCTGGAGCGACGCGAGGAACGTGATCGGGTCCGTGTGCCCTCCCGGCCCGACGACGCCTCCACTCGTCGACGACGACGGGCCCGCCGCCGTCGAGCTCGAGCTCGGGGTGGCGGCATCGGTCGACTGTCGCCGTGTGCGCGACGAGACGCTGCCGCTCGCGGTCCTCGAGGGCTTGGACGCCGGGTCGTCGGGCGTGGTGGGCGAGGCGAGGATCTGGCTCGAGGCGGATGCGGGAGGGTGCAGCGCAAAGGCGAGGTAGACGGCGGCGACGGCGATCAGGTGCGGCGGGTGTACGAGGCACAGGGACGAGCGGAACGTGTCGTTGATGATGAACCTGTGCGGGCGAGGGCGACGAGGTGCGAGTCAGGTCTTTGTCGGTGACGAGGCCGCACGAACGAGAAAGTGGGCGCACCAGGCCATCTGGAGAGCCGTGTCGTCCATCTCGAGCATGCCCGCACGACTCGCCTTGCCCTCGTCGCCGCCGGTCGCCGCGCCACCATCGCGCCCGCACAGCTGGACAAGGGCCCGGTACGGGTGAAACACGATGAGGTGAAAGTCGAGCTCCTCGAGGAGGTAGAACTCCATCTCGGCGAGGCGGTGGTTCTCGGACGTGAAGCCGTGCAGGCCCATGTCTGCGCGGCACGAGGGGACGAGGTCAGGCCGGGGCGCGGAACGGGGTCGAGCGGACGGACGCACCGTTGAAGACGACCTTGGCTTCGCCGACGGCGCTCTTGACGTGTACGGGCGTCTCCTCGGCCTTTGCGGCGACGTAGCAGCAGGCGGCGGCGACGAGAGCCGGGTCGGTCTCGCAGTACGAGTTGCGGAGGTAGAAGCGGCGGAAGAAGACGATGGCGGTCGCGAGTACTTGCTGCCGCAGGCCGAGCCGCTTGCAGATCTTCTGCATGGCTGCGGGCGAGGAGTCAGCAAGACCGGGGGCTGGCGAGCGAGAGGATCGACGAGGACGAGAGAGGAGGACGGACCGCTCGCGCTCCAGATCTCGATCCAGCCGAGTTCCTGCTCGTTGGCGAGGCGGTAGTCCTCGAGACGAGCGGTGACGAGAGCCGCTCGAGGATGCAGGTGCTGGTTGGCGTGCGACGAGAGGTAGAAGTTGGCCGACATGGTTCAGAGGTGGGGAGGGAGGGGCCCTCGCGCAGGGGCGGCACTGTGGGGTTGACGGGCGGGTCAGGACTCGGGAACACTGGCCAGATAGGAGAGAAACAGCCACGCGCGACCAATGAGCGGGACGAGGTGCGACGAGTGCGCTCGACGAGGCGAACGAGGTCGAGCGGCGGCACGACGGCCGGGTTGCGGCTGAGGAGCGGGTGGACTGGATGTACGAGAGCAGTGCACGAGTCTGGCGAGTGCAGCACGCTCAGCAAAGACCCACGCGAGGTCGGTGAGTGAGGCCGGCTCGCACAGCTGCTCCTCGACCTCTCTCCACCTCTCGTCGCTCATGTCGCGCGGCAAACGAAGCCGTGCCCACAAGCAGGCTCAGGCCGAAAAGGCTGCTGCAGCCCGTGCCGAGCAGGCCGCGTCGGCCCCTCCTCGCCCGTCCGGCACCGCCAGGTTCCAACCCTCGTCCAACTACCTCGCCTACCAGCACCCGCCACCGCACCCAGCTGCTCCGCCGTACCCGTCGTACCCACCACACCACCCCGTGCCACCGCCCCAGCACGTCCTCGACGACGCCCTCGCCGGGTTGCAGCCCCTCGCCTCGTCATCTGCCTCGCACTTCGACCCTCGCCTCCCGCCTCACGCACAACCGCCCGCCGCGTACGGCTACCCGCCACCTCGTCAGTCGGTCGCCTACTACGGCCCACCCCCGCCACAAGCCGACCCGGGCCCGAGTCGCTCCGCTTGGCGTGCGCTCCTCTCTCCCTCCCCACGCCTCGGGGTATTTCTCCCTCGAGCACACGCACTGA